GACAACATAGAGGCTGGGGGAGCAGGGCTGGTTGGGACAGGAGGAGGAGGAGGAGGAGAGGAGGAGGGGAGGAGGAGAACATGGAAGCTGGGGGAGCAGGGCTGGTTGAAACAGGAGGAGGAGGGGGAGGAGAGGAGGACATGGAAGCTGGGGGAGCAGGGTTGGTTGGGACAGGAGGAGGAGGGGGAGGAGAGGAGGACATGGAAGCTGGGGGAGCAGGGCTCGTTGGGACAGGACCCAGCAGGAGCTGAGTTGGGGGTGGTGCAAGGAAGCATCTACTTCCCAGCGATGTTATGGAGGCGCCTTGAGAGGCAAAGGGCCCGGCTGGCGCTCGAACGAGGGATGGATCCTGCTATTGCGGGTGTTACCAGGCGGTGATCATGACAGGACGTGCTGTGTGCGTGGCAGGCACGACTGCTTTGCTGTACGCCTGAATAATCCCACGGCATCCCTTTATGTAAGAGGACAGATTCCCGTCTTAAACAGTGGTGAAACTGAGGCTCAGAACAGCGTGGGGACGCATGCAGGGTCTCCTGCTGTGCATGGCGGGTGCTAATGGAGCCAGGCCTGCTGGAGCCCAAGAACACTAGACTCACAGACTCTCCCCTTTGAAATGCTACAGCTGGGCATCATTTTATAGATGGGGAAACTGAGGCAAGGAACTGTCTCCACGGCCACGACACAGAAGCAGAGGCCAGTAAGACCCAGGTTCCCCCTTCCTGTCCAGCCCTCTCTCCCCTCCCAGCCCAGCCCAGCCCAGCCCCCTCCTCCACCAGCCGCACCCATTCGGCGGAGCCCATGACCTCTTCTGGCCTAGGCCTGAATCTGCAACAGAAAACACGGTGAGCTCTGAGCTGTGCTTGTGTAACAAGGATTTCAGCATGTGATGCTTCCGGGGTACAAAGGATCCCCTAAACCCCACGTGGCCCATCCTCCCCTGAGGAATGCAGGGCGGGCCGTATTGCCCCAGTACAGCCCCTACCCCCAGAGGGACAGCCGGCAAAAACAGCACGCAGATCAAAGAGGAACTGGGGACGTCAGTTACAGGATCACTGGCCCAGCCCATTGTCTGCGTTCACTCTTCACCTGGGAGTTAGGCATGAAACGCATTGAAATGCAAATGGATGCTGAGCAGGTGTCAGTGGAGAGGCAAGGGGAGAGGGACAGTGTCTCCCGTTGCCCAGGACAGGAAAAGCAGGCACGGGCTAGACTTCCAGAGCACGTGTTACAGTTGAATCATCCGGACCTTCTGAGTGAGGATGATGACGATTGTCAGCCCAGTTTCACGGCTAGGGGGAGCTGAGGCCTGGCCAGGTAGCTGGCTCCAGCGGGGGATGGGAGCCCAGGCTTCCTGGCATTGCTGTTAGGAGAGTGTCCCGGCCACTCTGGAGAGAGAGGAGGTGAGACTGCCTCCAGGAGGCCCCTCTGCCATCTCGTTCGTCTCCTCCAGGGTGGACAGAGGCCCCTCCCAGTGGCTGTGCCAGACCCCGTGACTCCAGCAGGGATGGCACCGTGCCCGAGAGGCCACAGTAGAGACCCAGAAACAGCGAAGGAGATACCAGGTTTATTGGAGGACATTACACGCCGGGGCAGTCTGGTGGCAGTGGGCTGGGCAGGAGAGCCCTGCAGTTGATACAGCGTCTTCCCTCTGCACCCTCCCGGTAACAACCTCCACGCAGCCCAGCACGGAGGGCATCGACCCCCACGGGGCCTGCACTCCAAGGGAGGGGCCGGAACCCGTTCCTCATGGATACGGGGTGAACCCCGGGCTGTTCACTCCCAGATTCCTTAGCTGGGGACTCATTTTACTCAGACCCAGGGATCATTCTCAGGGTGAGCTTTGGCAACGGCTGTCAGGTGCCTCTGCCATACCCCAGGGAGAGAGGCTCTTGCCGCCTGCTTAAAACCCTTCCCTCACTCCCAGCCCTGGGAGATGAAGTCAGAGCTCTGTCCCCTCCCCAGCAGCCTGCCCGTGACACTGGCCTTGGCGCCGTGGGGCCTGGCATCCTGGAGCCAGATGCACTGGGTGCTCAGCACCTCCAGCTGCGGGGTCTGTGCTGGGTCATCCCCTCCTTCTGGAATGGCCTCCGCCTTCCTTGGCCGCCGACACCCCACACTCCTCAGATGCTGGCCTGACGCCAGGCAGTGAGTCAGTGGTGAAGAAACTGGGGCCCATCCGGATCTTCCACTGGGGAATTGAACACCGGAGGCTCTGGCGGGGCTGGAGCATCACAGAGGGAGGCAGGCCCACCAGGAGGCCACACACAGAGCCGCCGCCCCGGGCTGCAGGGCCCAAGGGCCCAGGTGGCCCAGCACAGTCACAGCTCCTGAACCCTGGGTCCCCACCTGTCCTGCTGGGCCCGTCCCAGCTCTCCTGTGGTAGATAATACAGAGGACCCTGCCTCCTCTGGGCCTCCAGGGCGTGGCAGCTGCCTGTGGTGCCCGTCATGGTCGTGGGCAGCTCGGGGCTGTGGACCCAGCAGAGGCTGCACACCCAGCACCACCGCCTTGGACAGCACGCCTGCTCTCTGAGCTCCCACGGAGGGGAGAAAGGGAAGATCCTCTCCCCACCCATCTCCAGGTTCATAGCTAAGGCCTCCATTGCAAGACACTAACCAGACAGAAGCAAAACAAATTCACGTCATTTAAGTCTCCTGTGGTGTGGGAGTGCTCAAAATGAAGGCCCAAAGGGACAGGAAGTCCATGTTGGATGCTTAGGTTTGGTGGACAGGGCTGGTCCTGGAGAAAAGTGATGGGAGGGCAGGGGCTGTGATCTGGTGAGGGGAAGTGGGCAGGGGGTGGGGCTTAGCCAGGCTGTGGGTCCAGCGTTTTCTCAGCGTCCTGGTGTGGCATCCCTGCCCGGGCCTGGGGCAGGACACCTGTCATGGGAGGGACTTCTGGGGGAGGGTGGGAGAAGGTCAGGGGACACCCTTCCTCAGCTTAGGGGCTGCTTCAGGGAAGGAAGGAGCGGGAGGAGAACAGGCTTCCTGCTCCTGCTGTGTTCTCAGTTTCCAAGATGCCACATTTGGGGGAGTGTTTCCAGCACGCATAACCAGTCTCTCATATGGAGAATGGAGCTGTGAAATCCCACCCCCTGGTGTGGCCAGGAGGAGTACCCTGACACAGAGGCCCCTCCCTGCCCCACACACTGTGCCCGCTGTGCCCGAGAGCTGCCCGCCTCTCGCCTGAGTGGATCTCAGCTCCCTCCAGGACTATCTTGTCCATGAAGGAGGGTGAGGCCCTTTCCCACAGGCCATCATGGAAAGGGGAGCAGCTCTGGGCCTTGCCTGTGGCCCTGGCAACTTCACTTGGCACTTCCAGAGCTCATAGCTTGACCAAGGTCCTGTCTCCACCTGAGAACCCCAGGCCAGAGCCCTGGGTGTGAATCCAAGGACCACCTGGCTCTTTCCCTTCTCCCTGGGACACTGGGCCTGGGACACTGACCCAGGGACCCCAAGCCCCATCCACCCCTCCCAGGTTCTGGGGCACAGACATGAGTACCCCTGGCCCTGTCCACTCCTCCCAGGTTCTGGGGCACAGATCCAAGGACCCTCTCACCCTCCTTCCTCCATTTTCTCCTCAGAGGACCAGTCCAGCTGCCTGCACAGGCCTCTCTCAAGCCCCATCCTCCTCTGCATTCTACCACGGCCTCCAGCTGGGCCCAGGCCTCCCTGCCTCCACCACAGCCTCTGGTCTGGGCTTTTGAAACACAGTCTGGCCACGGACTCGTGAGCGCCTCATCTTATCCAGACTTGGCGGTGGTTTGGGCAGGGCCAGCTGTGTGATTCGCAGGGTGCAAAGTGAAAACCGTTGGCAGTCAGGCCAAGTGCTTTCCCTTCCTTCTGCACTCTCTCTCTCTCTGGGCCTGTCACGATTTGGCATCGTGCTCCCTGGCTCACAGGGACACCCTCCCAGGCCCCCAGCACTGGCCTAAAGACAGTGTGCAGGGCGCCCACCCCTGCCCCTTCCTGGGCCCAGGCATGGCCCTGGCACTCACCAGGGACAAGGACAGTGTGGAGACAGGACCACGGGCACAGGCAGCTGAGATGGTGTCCTGAGGGCTCCGGGCTGGAGAGGGACCCTGGGCTCTCTGCCCTACACAGACCCCTCAGCCTTCACTTCCAAAGCTCCAATTAAAGACAGTATTATTCACGCCTGTAATCCCAGCACTTTGGGAGGCCGAGGCGGGTGGATCACGAGGTCAAGAGATTGAGGCCATCCTGGTCAACATGGTGAAACCCCGTCTCTACTAAAAAAATACAAAAATTAGCTGGGCACGGTGGTGCGTGCCTGTAATCCCAGCTACTCAGGAGGCTGAGGCAGGAGAATTGCCTGAACCCGGGAGGCGGAGGTTGCGGGGAGCCGAGATCACACCATTGCACTCCAGCCTGGGTAACAAGAGCGAAACTCCGTCTAAAAAAAAAAAAAAAAAAAAGACAATATTATTAAGAAATTCAAGTTGGTGACTGCAGAGAATTATTCTGAGCAAGGTCCCTGGGCTGTGGCACTGGTCACAGGCTGTGAGGCTGGCCCTGGTGTCAAGCCTCAGCCCGCCTGTGCCTGCACTGACCCCTGCAGCAGATGCCACACCCCTGCCCTGGCACCACCACTGTCCTGCTCTGACCTCCCTTCCCTCCTCTGGCCCTGGCAACATGAGCTCCCTCCTCCCAAACGCCCTTCCTCCCACCCTCACACAGGATTATAAAGTCCCTCCCACCTTCGAGGCTCAGACACACCTCCTCTGTGAGGCCCCCCTGGATTTCATCCTGGAGAACCTCCTCTCCTAGCTTGTGCCGGCTGGTCTGGGGACAGGAATGGTGCCTCATGGAGGCCCTGAGGTTGGGTCTGCACCCCAGCATGAGCACAGTGCCTCCGCGTGGCCTCTGGAAAAGGCTGACTTCTGCTAGGGATCTGCTGTGTGGGGACATCCGCCTCTCTAGGAAGCACCTTATTCCTGACGTCCTGACCAAGCTTTCGTTTCTACTTTTTCTGCCCTAAAGCTCTACGTGTCATCTGACTTGGGGAAAAAGTGGACTCTTCTGCAAGATCGAGTGACTAAAGACCACGTGTTCTGGTGAGAGCACTTCCCCCAACCCCTTGGAAGCCCCCAGGGGCCAGCAGCTCCCTTTCCACCCCTGGACCCTCCCCAGCCCGGGCAGGGTCCCCACCATCTACTACTGCCTCTGCCCACAGCCCCACACCCTACTCATTCCAGGGAACCCCCAGTCATTCTTTCTGCTCCGCAGTGGGTGGCATTGGAAATGGTAGAGTCCGGGGTCGGTGTCCCTCGGGCCATGTTTTTACTTCTGAACCAGCTATGTGGACATGTGCCACTATTGTTCCGTCCCTGAGCCTCGAAGCCTCCCCAATGGAGACAGGTGCTGATGTACATGTCCCCAGCACAGCACCCGGCCCACTGCTCCTTGCTCCCCGCCCAACCCAGGCCCTGACTCAGCCCCTGACAAACAGCCCCCGTGGGTGCTGACCCAGTCTGCCTCGGCCCTGCTCTCCTGCTTATCCATGCCTGGGCACTCCTCCCATTGCTTAACCTGTCTCCCTTCCCAGCCACTGCTGGGTACCAACAAGCAGGCTCCGTTTGGGGTTGTACCCCAGAAAAACCCCCACCCCGGCCTCCTGAGGAGCCAGATCCAAGAAAAGGGGCTCCTGTCCCAGGCAAAAGGCCACTGGGGGCCTGCATCAGACAGCAGGTCCCAGCCCCTTGAGTGCATCCTCCGGGAATCTATCAGTGCACTTCCTGGACAACACGCCAGTCTCACTGAACCGGGGGGCACTCAGCTTTCCTTGAGGAATGTCTGTGGGATGTGCCTGTAAGGGCCCTGGAGGACAAGGGCTTGCCCAAGGTCACAGGCAGCAGCACTGGGCCAGGAGCATGTGTAGCGGCTCAGAGCTGACGCTTGCCACTCTCCAGCTGGGGCCACACCCATCCTCCTATTCGCACTGCCTTTCCAGATGCACACTGCTCTGTGTGCTGATTCCACAACATCCCTCTTTCTTGTATGTGCAGACGCAGACACATGCACGCACACACATGTGTGCACACAAATGCACACAAGCACATGCACACAAATGCACACACATGCACATTGCACACGCACACACCCACACACATGCATATACACACATGCACATGCACACGTGCACACATGCAAATAAGTACACACATGCAAACATGCGCACACGCACACAGATGCACATGCGCACACATGCACACACAATGCACACGCACACACATGCAAGCCCATACACATGCACACAAGCACAGGCATGCATGCACATGTGCACACACATGCACACACCCACACATGCACGTGCACAGACATGCACACACATGCACACGCACACACAAGTGCACACACACAGAAGCACACCATGTACACAAGAGCACATGCACACACACACACACACACAGTGCTAGCCTTTCTCTTTATCCCATGTGTGCAACAGACATTGTGTGGGCCACGGCTGGGTCTCTCCAACAGAAAAGCGCATGGAAAGGGCTTCCTACCCATCTCCCTTTGTAATGTCACACTGACCGTAGCAGGAGACTGGCGTCCTGGCCACCCCACGGCTGAAGGGAGGCTTTTTCCTTCTTTGGAATGCTGACTGCTGGTGGGCACGCCCTTGGCTCATGGAGAGATGTAACAACCGCCTCTCCTTGGGCTGCCCACGGGAGGGCTGGGTTCCTCCCTCAGAAACCAGAACACTGCCATCCATCACTGGCCTTGTCTCTGCTGTCAACTCAGGAGGCAGAGCGGCCCTGCCACGGACGCCTGGGCCTGAGCGCTCAGAGGTGGGGCGCAGGGCCAGGAGGCGGGATTTCTGAGCAGGGTCGCTCCGGGGAATTGGCGGAGCTCTGTTCACTCCCAGCCCAGGCCGGGTTCCTGGACAGCTCTCCAGTAAGAGAAAGAAACCGACCCGCAGCGCCCAGGGGGAAATTGGCGATAATTCAAACGTTATTATCCCAGGCAAATCAAATTGTTTTCTCCCCGAAGTGTCTCCAATAGCACAGAGTTGTTATTGGAGGGAATCACAGCAGACGCTGGCCCCTGTGGCCCTGGGATCTCTCCTGGAGGGTGGGGACAGCCTTGGGGATGCCCCCGTGCCTTGTAAGCAGTAAATAATGCTGTTTTGACAGCATTTCCAGGGAGCTCTTTGTCCTTGAACTGGCGGCACGAATTACCAAAGCTCCGCGTTCTGTCTGAAGCTCAGACTCATTCACGTAGTGCTAAGCCTCGCAGGAAGCAAGCTCATTAGGTCTGCCAGCGGGAGGGAGCGGCCCCGGGGGCCCTGAGACCTGCTGCCTCCTGGGCGGGGCCGGGCACAGCCCCATATGCTGCACTGAGGCTCAGAGAGGCTTGGGGACTCGTTCTAGGTCTCATGTCACGAGGGGGCTGAGGCTCAGAGAGGGTCGGGCACTCACTCATTGTAGGTCTTATGCCATGGGGGAAACTGAGGCTCAGAGAGGGTTGGGCACACATTCTAGGTCCTGCTGCCCCCAGCTGCAGCCCTGAGCCTTGGTCCATCTCTGGCTGTGGCCAGAGGCCCTTGCCCACTCTATTGGAGGGTCTGGCCGCCTGGGCTTCACCGGGTGTTCCTGAATCTGCCTCCTTGCTCAGCCCCACAATCGCCCAGGGAAAGCCTCAGCCTCCCTCTCCATCAGCTCCAGGTCCTGGCCCTGGTGCAGGGCACAGGGGCAGCAGGGCCTAGAAGGAAGAGGTGGAGGGCTCCCCCTACAGTGTTTGTTATCACACCTTTCAGGGCTCAGCAGAACCATTTGCGCTGGAGCTGCCCTCAGCACAATGGAGTGCAAGTCAGTTCCCGCTTCGCCAAAACACTCATTCCCTGAGGGCTGCCTGCCCCAGGCCATCTCACGGGACAAGCAAGAAGGCCTGTGTGTCAGGCTTGTCATTTCCTGCGGGGAGTGGGGCCCTATCTGAGGTGTTATAGTGAGGTCTAAGAGAGTCTTCTAAACCCATGGCTGATGGACTCAGAGCAGAGACCAGGCCTCAGACCACCTGTAAACCTGTGTGTGGTCCAGGGCCCTCGCCGGCACACTGAGAAATGGATGTGGGAAGTGCTCAGAGCAAGAGGCTAAAGGAATGAACATGGTGAATGAGTGAATTTATAGGGTGAGTGAGTGAGTGATGAGAGTGAGGTAATGAATGAGAGAATGAGTAACTGAGTGAATGAGTGAGTGAGTGATTGAGTGAGGAAATGAATGTGTGAGCAAATAAATGACTGAGTGAATGAGTGACTGAGTGGCTGGTGGGTGGGTGGGTGAGTGAGTCTGTGATTGAGTGAATGAGTGACTGAGTGAGTGACTTGGTGAGTGGATAAGTGAGTGAGTGAATGAGCAAGTCTGTGACTGAGTGACTAAGGGACTGACTGAGTGAATGAGTGACTGAGTGACTGAGTGACTGAGTGAGTGAGTGAGTGAGTGAGTGAGTGAGTGAGTGACTGAGTGAGTGAGTGAGTGAGTGGGTGAGTGAGTGAGTGAGTGAGTGAGTGAGTGAGTGAGTGAGTGACTGAGTGACTGAGTGAGTGAGTGACTGAGTGAGTGAGTGAGTGAGTGACTGGGTGAGCGAGTCTGTGATTGAGGGAGTGACTGAGTGAGTGAGTGAGTGAGTGAGTGAGTGAGTGAGTGAGTGAGTGACTGACTGGGTGAGTGAGTGACTGGGTGAGTGAGTCTGTGATTGAGGGATTGACTGAGGGACTGAGTGAGTGAGTGAGTGAGTGAGTGCCTGGGTGAGTGAGTGACTGGGCAAGTAAGTCTGTGATTGAGGAAGTGACTGAGTGACTGAGTGAGTCTGTGATTGACAGAGTGAATGAGTGACTGAGTGAATGAGTAAATGAATGACTGAGTGAGTGAGTGGGTGGGTGAGTGAGTCTGTGATTTTGTGAGTGGGTGAATGAATGAGTGAGGGCAGGGGGAGGCTTAGCACAGGCCAGGTGCCATTGCCCCACTTCACGGATGATGGATGATGAGGCTAAAATTCCATCTTGCTGGTGGTGGGTCTGCTGCTGAAGGGAACAATGTCTGCCTGTACTCAGGAGAGAACAATGTCAGGCCCAAGACCTCCTTTCCAAGGAGCTTACAAATGATCTATTCACAAAAGCCGAAGTCAGCATTCCACCTTGAAAGGGAAAGCTCTTTACCTAGGGTCAGAGTGATTGATGCTGGCGCCCCTGGGTTTGAAATCTCAGTGGACTTCGGGGAGTCCCAGCCAGTTCCTGTCACATGGCACATCTGCGGGGCCTGTGTCACTCAGACTCATTTATGGATTTCCCCTGTCTACCTGGGGCCATTATGGTGGACCTGGTCCCTGAAGAGGGTGAAGCAAATGGGGATCCTGGTGCAAGGCAGGTTGGGAGGAAGGTTGAGAACCGAATGGGGCCATATCTGGGTGGGAAACTCAGTGATAGGAAGAGGCCGCGGGAACTGGGCACTCTGCCTGGGACATCACAACCTCCTCCAAGCAGGCTGTCGGGGTGCTCCTGTCCTCAGCACTGAGTGGCCACTCACACCAGGAAGTGACTCCCTCATCTTGAGGCTCAGTTTGCTCTTGGGCAAAGTGTCCATGAGAGGGACTGGTGTGGTAAACGGATAAGCAATTTTAACAGCCATGAGCTGGAATGACCAGTCAGCAAACCCAGGAGTTCCCAGGGAGTCTCACTTTGCAGAAGGCTGAAGCAGGTGGAGGTTCTCAGTGTGAAGAAAGTGGTGGGTAGATGGCAGTTCAGTAGGCACATGGAGGTAGTGAAATCTGCGAGATGGGATGTGATGCTTGGTTTGAGAAACCCCGGACTAGATCCTCACTAAGGCTCCTTTCATCTGAAAAATTCCACACTCCCCTCCTGGGAGCCAGGCTCAACGCTGGGCATATGCTGGATACGGCACCAAAATTGGATCCCATCCCTTCCTTCCCTGCAGGACCAGCCCATGCTCCATCCCTGCCCTCCCTGCAGGACCAGCCCATGCTCCATCCCTGCCCTCCCTGCAGGACCAGCCCATGCTCCATCCCTGCCTTCCCTGGAGGACCAGCCCATGCCCCATCCCTGCCTTCCCTGGAGGACCAGCCCATGCCCCATCCCTGCCTTCCCTGGAGGACCAGCCCATGCCCCATCCCTGCCTTCCCTGGAGGACCAGCCCAAGCCCCATCCCTGCCCTCCCTATAGGACCAGCCCATGCCCCATCCCTGCCTTCCCTGGAGGACCAGCCAATGGAGCTGGGACCTTGGGACATGTCTTCTGTTCCATCTCAGGCCTCATTACAGGTGCTTCACAGACTTGGCCCCTCAGAGAACCCCCATGAGCCAGGTGTTATTGTGCCATCTTAAGGACAGGGAGCCTGGGCTCAGAGAGATGCCGTAACTGCTTGAGCTCCCATCTTAAAGGTGCCATAGAACTGCAAAGGGAGCTCAGCCCAGGTTGGAGCCCCCTTCAAGTCAGGCTCCTCCCTGTGTCCCCATGCAGGCCCCCAACTGCAGGCTCTGGAGGTCGGACATGCAGCTGGTTTGTCACGGCATTCTCCATGCCAACAAGGCTGGGCACCCCTGTGTTGGATCAGATGGACTCGTGTCTGAGGTGCTTTGTAAACTGCTGAACGCAGCACTGGTTGGAGTCATCATAAGTGCCCACTCAGGTCCCCAGCATGATTGGGCAGTCTCCACCAAAACTTGACAAGTGCCCTATATCCACTTGGCCTTGAGCACAAGGGATGAGTGAGGCAGGATGGCCAGTGCCCTTTGTCCATCTCGCAGGAAGTGTGAGAACACAGACCTGGAGACAGCCCAGGCCACAGTAGAAGCAGTGTTTAAAGGGCCACTCTGATGATCATGCCCAGAGGACCATGTGTGTACCTCAGTATCACCCCCACCTGTCCCCTAAGTCCTGAGCCCATCCAAGAATATGGTGTTGAATGCCACCTGCATTCCAGACACGTGTCCAGTGGCCACTTGGTCACTCATGATGTACACCAGGCAGCCAGCTAGCAACTTGGGATGCTGCCTTATCTGTTCCACACCCCTCATGCTCCCACTACTCAGGCCAAATGCCAAGGAGGAAGGAAGTGCAGAGGGAGAGAGGAAGGAATCCCCAAGGTTTCTGTGGGATGTAAGACAAATGCCCAGAAGACAAAAGCCTTCTCATCCTCAGATTTTTAACATATAAAATGGAGTTTCCATTCCACCTCATAGTCCTGCGATGGAAACAAGGTAATAATTATAAAGTTCAATAGGCAGCGAGTGGCCAGCCTTGAAAAAAATGGCTCTTCCTTTCACCTCCCTTTCTTTAAGTCTCATTTAAGCATTTAATAAACACCTATTATGTGCCCCCCACACATTCCCTATGGTCAGAAAGCCTGTACCCTCCTGAGGAACTGGCTTCCACCTACTCATGGAGAAAGATTTGTCCTCACACTGCAAGTAGAAGAGAGAACACCCTCCCATTCCTGCCCGCGTCCCCTTCCTGTGTGGCAAGACACTGCTCAGTAAGACTTCACCTCCTGAGCCCTAGTGTGAGCAGCTGGCATGGCAGCTTATCAGCTTCAGTCCTAAACAGTTTGAGCCTGAAACAAATGTTCATAGACCTTTCTCTAATCTGTGAGATTACTGAGGCAAGGACAAGAGCAGGGACCTGAAAAGTGCACCTCTATATGTCCAGCCCTAGCCCAGGGCCAACTTGTGGTAGGTGCTCAGTAAATGAGTGGATGGGTGCATGCATGGATGGATGGATGGATGGATGCCTGGATGGATGGATACATGCATGAATGGGTGATGGATGCATGCATAGGTGGATGGATGGATGAATGGATGCATGGATAGGTGGATGAGGGATGGGTGGGTGAGGGATAAATGCATGATGGATTGATGGATGGGTAGATGATGGATGAATGGATGGATGCATGGATGGATGGATTAATGGATGCATGGATGTATTGGTGGATACATGGATGGATGGATGCATGGGTGGATGGGTGCATGGATGGGTGGATGGATGGATGCATGCATGGATGGATAGATGCATGGGTGGATAGAAGCATGGGTTGGTGGATGGATTGATGGATGCATGGATGGATGGGTGAGGGTGGATGGTTGCATGGGTGGATGTGTGCATGGATGAATGGATGCATGGATACACAGGAGGATGGATGCATGAGTGAATAGATGCATGAGTGGATGGATGCATGGGTGAACGGATGCATGAGTGGATGGATGCATGGGTGACTGGATAGATGGGTGGATGGATGCATGGGTGAATGGATAGATGGGTGGGTGGATGCATGGGTGGATGAATGGGTAATGGATGGATGCATGGATGGATGGATGGATGGATAAATAGATGCATAGGTAGATGGATGCATTGGTGGATGCATGGATGGATGATGGATGCATGGGTGGATGGATGAATGTGTGGTGGATACATGAATGGATGGATGGATGGATGGGTGATGGGTGGATGAATGATGCATGGATGGATGGAGGGATGGATGATTGATGGATGGATGCATAGATGAATGCATAGATGGATGGATAGGTGATGGTTGGATGAATAGATGCATAGGTGGATGGATGCATGGATGGATGGATGGATGGATGATGGATGAATGCATAGGTGGATGGATAAATGTGTGGTGGATACATGAATGCATGGATGGATGGGTGATGGGTGGATGGGGATTGATAGATAGATGCAAGGATAGATAGATAAGTGGGTAATGGATGGATGGATCGTGAATAGGTCATTATGTTGTGTGTGGCCTCCTCACTAGCCTGTTCACTCCTAGAGGACAGAGGCTGTGTCTTATCTCTGAGCCCTCAATCCCTGGAAAATAGTGAGTGCTCTGATTGTTCTTGCACACACAGCAGGCTGATACAGACCTGAGCTAGGACAGGTGGCATCCAGCACAGTGAATGCAGCACCACGGTGGGGAGTAATGCTGGCAGAGTGGGTGAATGAACAGGTGAATGTCCCTCAAAGGCGAGGCTTTCAGACCACAACCCTGAGCAGCAGCCTTTGCCCTGTCATTGCTGGCTCTTCAGAGAGGACAAATACTGCATAAATCCAAGGCAGAATTGGTGCCAGTGTAATTATTGGAACAGCCAGCGAAGTGCCCAAGGAGGCAAGTGAGGCTTTCCACCTCCAGCCAGCCCCATGCAGGTGGACAGTCTGTGAGAGCATAGGGGAGAGCCTTGGACAAAGGGGCCAGGGCAGGTGTAGCCTCCAGCTGAGAGCCTGGACTGAGGGAGGGGCAGCTGTCTGCCTCCTCCCTACCACTATCCCTTCACCGCATTATTTCATGCACAATGCTATGCAGAGCCAGGCAGCAACTGTGTGGTGAAAAGATGTTGCTTTGGGAGTGGCAGAACCTGGGTTGTGGATCTTGCTCTATTAGCTCTATGACCTTTAATCTGTTTTCACCTGTCTGGTCCTTGGTTTCCTCATCTGTAAAATGGGCATAACCAAATCATTTGAGATCATTCGAGGTAAGTGAGATCAGGCAACTAGAGCACCTAGGACATTCCCTGCACCTGAGGAGCTGCTATTAAATGAGTTCAGGTGACAATCAATGGTGACATGCCATGTGCAGCACAGAATCAGGACCTGGCTTCTGCCTCTAAGGACAGAAGCTTCCTCCCTCCCCTCCTGCCCAGTTAAAGACTCCACCCAGCAGGGCAGTGAAACAGAGGAGAGGAGTGGGGCAGGGAAGGGGTGTGGGTGGGTGGAGGGTGGAGTGGGAGAACTACAGCCCCAGCCTGAGCGTCCTGACCCAGGAGCCCAGAGGGAGGCTGCGGTGTCTTCTTCATCTCCATCCCAGGGCCATGGAAGGGCTTGTACATGGTAGGTTCATCCCACTGGGCCCTTAGAGGTGTCTGTGGAACTCGGCCACTTGGCCAAACTCCCGGATCTATATCGTGGCTTCTCTGAAGCTGGGAGCACCCCTAGAAGAGGCAGAGTCCTGTAAGAGATGGGGCACCTGGACGCGTGACATTAGGAGAAGGCCTTGGTTGTGAGCAGGGCAGTGTGTGGGGTCTGAGGGGAGCATGCGTTTTGGGGGTCGAGCAGACCTGAGCAGGAGCCTGAGACTGCCCTGGTCTGAGCCGTGTTGCCTTGGGCAAGTCACAGAGCCATCCTGACCCTAGTGGGGTCACCTGTGAATGCAGATGAAGACACCTGCCTCACAATGCGTGGTCCAGGCCCCTGTGTGGGGACAGACTGGTGCAAACTGTCGAGTGCTGGGGTAGGGGGTGCATTCCTCTCGCTGGAGCCTTTGCCACCTCACGAAAGGATTCAGGCAAGTCCCTAGAGGCAGCACTAGGCAAGGGGTGATGACTGAGACAGTCTTCCCAAGGGCACACTCCACCAGGTGATGGGGAGCAAGAGGCGGAGCAGCAGCTCAGGTGAGCCTGCCTCAACTCCCAGGTCAGCCTTTTCCACAGTGTGGCTCTGGGAGGGTCACTTTGCTTCTCTGAGCCAGTTTCCACACTGATAAAATTAGGGTAGGATGGGAGTCCCAGTCCTGCCTGCCTCCTGTGGTCATTTTAGATGATCAAAATAAAACAAACAAAAATGAAAAAACAATACAAAGTATGAAGGAGGAAGTCTTTTACAAACACACCGTGACAGGAAGGGAGCCAGCCCCTCGCCCACGCAAGGAAGACCCAGACACGGTAGCCCAGGAGCAGGTGGGCTCCTGAGGAGGTGGTGCCCTAGACCAGCAGAGCAAGGGTGGCTTCAGACCCAGGGAGGCCGCATGGCTGCGTGGGGTGTGGGGAACTGCTGGGGGACGGGCACAGTGACTCCATTCCTGACCCCAGCCTCGGCTCTTCTTTTCCAGGGCTGTGTCTGGGGTGGACGATGACCCTGACTTGGTCCATGTGGAAGCCCAGGACCTCAGTGGAGGTAAGCCGGGCAGTGCACGGGCACCGGGTATTCCTGAGTCACCTCGTGCCCGACACAGCTCAGCGGTGCCTGTGTTCAGTTGCTCGTCCCCAGTGGCTGGCCCTACACAGCTGGCCTCACTGCGTCTCAGTGTGGCATGATTTTAAATGTGCTTGTTTTCCAGCTGGGAATGAATCGAAGTCAAGGAGCTCCACTCCAGTGGAAAAGTCTATTAAGAGGGCGATTTGTTCTGGCCCCTGAGCATTGAGTGTTTCCCACTAACTCAGCCCCCAGCCCCAGCATGTGCTAAGTGTGGAGATGGTGGGAGGCGGGGCGGGCCCAGTCCTGCCCACCTGGATCCAGCCAGCTTCCGGCTGAGGGCTGTGCCTGCTGTGTGACAGGAGGGTGCTCTGAGGAGGGCAGAGCAGCACAGTCCCCGCAGAGACATGTCTGTGCGGCATCACCCAAGCCAGGATGTGTCCCCGTTAGAACAGAAATGCAGGCATCAGCTCCCAGCCCAGCCATCAGCCAACCGCAGGGCCCAGGGCCAGTCACCTCAGTCTCCTGGTCTGTGAGATGGATAGTGATATGAAATGTGTGAATGTAGGGTCGTCACAGCCAAGCTTTTGGGGGCAGGGTCAGTTGCTGGGTATGCCCCCCCACCCTCATGCCCCCCACCTCCTACCCCACCACCCCCAGGCAGGTGGGGCCAGCATTATTACCATTCTGTGTTGATAACCAGAACGACAAAACTCAGGGGCCATCCAGGTTTGCCTGGGGTCACAAGGTCCCAGGTGGTGCCCCTCTCCCCACCCCTGCTGGGAATGCTGCTTCCTTTTGGAATTTCTTACCTTTGACCCTAGGCACCCTGCCAGCCACCTCTGCTGGACTCCCCGATCCCAGCTCTGCACACTCCCCAAGGCCTGGAGTTCCTTGAGTACCAGTGGGGGCTACTGATCACCTGTGTCCCCAGTGAGTCTGCTGAATGAATAAGCACTTAGCCAGATGCCCAAGTTGCCCCTGAGGAGCCCTCTGGGCAAAATATTGCAAAATAACATGGGTGACAGATAGAAAGACTGCCTGCATCACACCATGCTGTCAGGATTGGCTGTCTGCCCTTTTCAGAGCTTCAGCTGTCCCTGGCTCATGGGCACCTGCTGCCCACAGCGCTTCTCAACTCCATGGCCATTAATTTCATCTAGGTGGCTCCTGCATGGCCATGTGGGAGTGTTTATAACACAGAAATTGGCAAGCACTATCATCAGGGCTCCTATACCCGGCACACAACCCATCGGCCTGAGAGGTTGCCTTGGTCTGTGGTGTTGGCTCTTGGCTCTAGGCCTAGAACAGTGAGAGCCTGACTACGGTGGGATGGATGAATGAGTGAGTGGTTGGGGGAATGAATGAATGAATAGGTAAGTGATTAAGTGAATGAGTGAATAGGTGAGTGAGTGAGGGAATGAGTGATTGAGAGAATTAGTGAGTGTGTGGGCACATGAGTGAATGAGCAAGTGAGTGAGTGACTGAGTGAGTGAGTAGGTGAATGAGCGAGTGAGTGAGTGAGTGGGTGGGTGAGTGAATGAGTGGGTGAGTGAGTGAGGGAATGAATGAGTGAGTGACTGAATGAGTGAGCGAGTGAGTGAGTGAGTGGGTGAGTGGGTGAGTGAGTGAGTGAGTGAGTGAGTAAGTGGGTGAATGAGTGAATGAGTGAATGAGCGAGTGAGTGAGTGGGTGAATGAGTGGGTGAGTGAGGGAATGAATGAGTGAGTGACTGAATGAGTGAGCGAGTGAGTGAATGAGTGGGTGAGTGAGTGAGTGAATGAGTGAGTGAGTGAATGAATGAGTGGGTGAATGAGTGAATGAGTGAGTGAGTGGGTGAATGAGCGAGTGAGTGAGTGAGTGAGTGGGTGAGTGAATGAGTGGGTAAGTGAGTGAGGGAATGAATGAGTGAGTGACTGAATGAATGAGCGAGTGAGTGAGTGAGTGGGTGAGTGGGTGAGTGAGTGAGTGAGTGAATGAGTGAGTGAGTGAATGAATGAGTGAGTGAGTGGGTAAATGAGTGAATGAGTGAGTGAGTAAATGAGTGAGTGGGTGAGTGAGAGAGTGAATGAGTGAGTGAGTGAATGAGTGAATGAGTGAGTGAGTGAGTGGGTGAGTGGGTGAGTAAATGAATGAGTGGGTGAATGAGTGAGTGAATGAATGAGTGAGTGAGTGGATGAGTGAGTGAGTGGGTGAGTGAATGAGTTAGTGTGTGGGTGAGTGAGTGGGTGAGTGGGTGAGTGAGTGGGTGAGTGTGTGGGTGAGTGAATGAGTGAGTGAGTGGGTGAGTGAGTGTGTGGGTGAGTGAGTGAGTGAGTGAATGAGTGAGTGTGTGGGTGAGTGAGTGGGTGAGTGTGTGGGTGAGTGAGTGAGTGTGTGGGTGAGTGAATGAGTGAGTGAGTGAGTGAGTGTGTGGGTGAGTGAATGAGTGAGTGAGTGAGTGGGTGAGTGAGTGTGTGGGTGAGTGAGTGAGTGTGTGGGTGAGTGAATGAGTGAGTGAGTGGGTGAGTGAGTGAGTGTGTGGGTGAGTGAATGAGTGAGTGAGTGAGTGAGTGAGTGAGTGAGTGAATGAGTGAGTGTGTGGGTGAGTGAGTGGGTGAGTGGGTGAGTGAGTGAATGAGTGAGTGAGTGAGAAACCTGAGGCTGAGTTTAGGGGTGGGCCTTTCTGGTTCCTAAACCCTTTCTGTTAACCATTCACCATGCTGCTGGGTCACCCAGGGCCAGGGACAGAAGGAGAAGGAAGGGAAGGAGGTGGCGGTGCCCTTCCTGCGGTCCCTGTGGCTGTGTCTTGCTCCCGGCTCACAAGCTGGAATTCAGGGGCTTCCTGAGGCCTCTAGGCTCCAGCCGTTCCACATAAATTTGTCCCAGGGAAACAAAAGGATTTTAACAAAATTAGCAGCTACCTGACAAAGCATGCCTTCAATATTGCTCAACCATAAATATCTGGAAAAGGGTAGAAACATTTGCTTAAAATTTGCAGGAAAGAACCCTTGAGCACCCCCCGCCCTCACTCCTGCTTAGGTGTGAGGGACTTCAGGAGGGTGCCGGGCCATGCATATCTGGGCGCAGTGTCACCTGTGCTGACCCCTCCTGCAGGGGATGGCAGGCCCCAGAGCATCAGGAGCACCTTCCTGAGGGTGGCAGGAGCTTGTGTCAGAGCACGTGGCCCACAGTGAATGAGGATGACACCCCCAGCCGCAGGTGTCATCGCAGTGGCCTCTGGAATTCAAGCCCACAAAGGCCCATCGCAGTGGCCACAAAGGCCCATCGCACTAGTACTGGAGAAGGATGGAGCCCAGCACATATGTCTCAAGCTGTCCTGGCCCCTGCTGCACCCTGACTGCCTGGGCCGGCGCCTCTCTCCTACAGGTTTTCGGTACGTCACCTGCTCAATCTACAATTGCTCTGAGAAGACTCTGACGGCCCCGTTTGCAGGCCCCATTGACCAGGGCACTCTGACTGTGCAGGACGATTACATCTTCTTTAAGGTGAGGCTGCTTCAGGGCTGCTGAAAATTGGCAAGAGGCGACGTGGTAGATGAGCCACTCGTGGCAAAAATGGAATCACTCAGAAAAGAGGCAATAAACAGGTATTTCACTTTCAAGTGCTACTTCCCAGGTCATGGTGTTTGGCCGTGGCTGTGGCTGCCAGCATCCATGTAAGCCCCCGCAAACCCAGAACTGCAGCTGAGGGACACTGGGGCTCCGCCTCCCTTCTGGCCACCATGAAACTCCCAGCCACTCAGGGTCCTGAGACATAAACCCACTTAGCCCCACTTGGTTTTATCAGTGACTTGGGAACTGGCCAATGCCACTTCTGGTCATGGCTCTTAGCCACCAGGCACCAGCTGTCCACACCCCTGTGACCAGGACCCTGCCGCCTGTGCCCTCAGGTCACGAGAGGACCCAACCTCAGCAGCCACTTGGTCCCAGCTAATTCAGAAACTCTAGCACACCAGCAATCCATCCAGCTTTTCGTCACCTTCATGGATGGGGAGCTCAGCCCTCGCAAAACAGCCTAGCCCTCTGCTGAGTAGCCCCAGTCACTGGCCTGAGACAGGGTCTGCTTCATCGGACTCCTGTCCACTGGGTTCTGTTCTGCCCTCCGGGACCCCGTGGGACAAGTCCAAAGTTTCCCCTGAGAAAACCCCTTGAGGGCATCTGCTGGGTGCCCTCTCCCCAGAAGGCCCTCGGTGCTCCCCAGCCTCCTCCTTGCCCTGTCTCAGCCACGCTTGGTCACCCCAGCTCCTGACTCTACACTCAGTGTATGCCAAGGGCCACCATGGAGTTGGGGGCTGGAGCAGGCAGTGGGCGTCCCAGCCCCTGCCATTTCAGCAGGCCAGGCAAGAGGCTGCTGCCACCACCGGCCCTGACCTCCAGCCCTGCCCAGTCTCCACTGCCCTCTGCTGAGCCCCAGACCCTGACTTTTGATGCCCAGTCCATGCATTTGCTTGCACTGTTCCCTGTACCGTGCCTTGCTTCTCCGCTGGCTGATTCCTTCTCCTTGAAGACTCAATCATGTACCTCCTCCTCCAGGAAGTCTTCCTGGACTTCTGCCTCCAGTTCAGGCTCCCTGGTGCCTCCTCTGAGGACCTTCAGCCTTGTGCCTTCCTCCGTCACAGCCCAGGCCCCACTTTGTCATTCTGTGCCATTTACTGCTTTTGTCCCTACACCTGACTCAGGCAAGTCGAGGCTGGGCTCTAGGTCTGAACCCAGCACCTATTTTCCTAGCTCCTAGCATTGCATTTCTGCAGATATCCACTAAGTACTGGAACGAAGACAAGGTCAGCTCTCTGGGCAACCATCTCCCATGGTGAGTGGTTTCTAAACATTAGACAGGCTGGCCTGTCAAAGCTCTGAGGCCTAAGACCCTTGGAGCTCACCTATGGCTGAGCAGGCTGGGTTATCACACAGTGCAGCAAGTGGGAACACACAACCTGGGCATCTCGGAGGGGTTAGAAGGACCTGATTGTCAGGTGTGGGCCACAGGAGGTAATTTGAGAGGCCCTCAAGGAAGCCAGGCATGACTCTGGATTGGGGGATGTGAGGAGGTGAGGTCATGCCAGGACCGGGCGTCTCAGTGAATCTTCTCTAGAGGGAGGGGTGACTCAGGGGAGGCAGGAGACTCGGGAGGCTGGAGCTGGGCAGTGAAGCAGCAGCCCTCGCTTATCTCAGCCAAGGTGGGGTGTCTGTGCATCCTGGAGATTTGAACAACATCCACATCTGGTCTGTGTTCAGACCCAATTGTGAGGTGGTCTCAATCTGCGCAAGGTCACAGAGTGAGCTTGTCTGGTGTTGGTGCTCGGCAATCGTGAGGGGCAAGAGAAGGCTGGGGCCACTGGCTCCATCCAGTTTCTGTCCTGATTTCCATCTTTCTCAAGAACTGCAGAGGAAAGCGCTCCCTACCCCAGCCCAGGCCTCCCCTGCTCTCTCCCTTCCTTCCTCCTTCCACTCTGGGCCTCAGAGGATCTGAGAGCCTGTGCTGGGACCGGAGAAACCTCAGCTCTTCCAGCCCCACCTCACCACCAAGGTCGCAGGGCTGGTGGCTCAGGAGGCTGCACCTCCGTGGCAGCGAGGATCCGTGGCGTCTGTGATCAGACACTTGATAACAGTCCTGTCCCTATGCGCCTTTCCGTCTCTGGGAACAGACACCTATGGCCACAGCTCATGGGGTTGATGGTTATGGGATCAAATGAGCTGCCCAGGAAAAGCACTGGGATGGTGCCGGCTTTGTCGTGCCTCGAGGGTCAGTGGTGATCTTTCTTCACAAGCTCATCTTTGGGCTGTCTCCTCTGTTGGAACTTTCTCCGCCTTGTTCCATAAGTTGGATGCAGAGAAACAGGTGCTACGAGTACATGGGGAAAGAGGTTAGTTCTGACTGAAGGAAGAAAGGACAACTTTGCAGAGGAGGCATGCTAATGTGGGGCTTTGAAGGATGAATAGGAGTCTGCTCATTTTAAGCAGAACAGGTATAAGCAAAGTAAAAGGGCATTTTCACTTGCTGAATATAATATGTAGTTTTTCATTCATTAGAATCCGGCTGCAGATGGAATCAAGCCTCTGAAAAACGTGTTTCTTCCCCTGGTTAGGCAACATCAGCAAACCGGACGAAATACTATGTTTCTTACCGTCGCAACGAATTTGTCCTGATGAAGCTGCCGAAGTACGCACTGCCAAAGGTAAGGTGCCCCCCACGCTGCCTGCCGCCCAGCCCTGAGGCCAGACCCTAAGCCTGTCCTGACTCGTGGGGCAAAGGACTCACACACAGGTGCCTGGTGGTCCCAGGCCAGGATGGACAGGAACAGTGCGGCCACACTTCCTCCAGCCGCTCGCCCCTCACACTCTCCATTCCAGCCCACCCAGCCCTTCCAGCCTCAGCTGTGCCCAGCCTCATCCTAGGCCTCTGCCAAGCTCTTCCTTCTTCCTGGTTCATCTTTGCCCAGAACTCTAGCACATGTGGTATTTCAGGAGAAATATCAGTTGCTAATGGCCCCCCAGGTGGGCCTGGGCCTCTGTTTTCTGGTTCCGTCCCACCCTTCTCCTTGCTGGTGCTCAGAGTGCCAGGGACCGCTCCCTCCAATGTCCCTCTCCCTTTTCCCTTTTGGAAGCCAGACATTCAAAAGCAACTGTAAATATGGGAGAATTTAGAAAATCACCACACATGTCCGGGGACAAGCAGAGGCTCAGAAAAGGCCTAGGAAGACATTAAGCTTATGTGTAAGGCTGATCCTTGGTAAAGAGATAGCCTGCAACCATCAAAAATAAGAACAAAACATGGCAAGCTCTATGGAAAGGGGGCAAGCTAATTTCCAGAGTTACCATATTATTAATGTTCAATATAATTGGACATTAGGCTCAACTGCCCAGCTTTTGACATAAAATAGTTACAAAGCATACAAAGAAACAGGAAAGTATGATGCATTCAAAGGAACAAAAACAAATTAACAGAAATCTTCCCTGAGAAAGACAGAAGGCAGACTTACTAGACAAATACTTTAATACGACTTAAAGAGACTCAAAGAACTGAAGGGAAAAATAGAGAAAAGCAAGAAAATGATGGATGGACAAAATGGAAATAGCAATAAAGAGATAGAAACAAAAAGGAACCAGAAGAAATTCTGGAGCTAAAAAGAATAAAAAGAAAAATTTACTAAAGGGATTTGAAAGCAGATTTGAAAGGCAGAAGAAGGAATCTGGGGACTTAAAGAGAAGACGATTCAAATTCTCAAGCCTGAGGAACAGAAAGAAGAAAGATCAAAAGTGAACATAGTCTACGGGAGCTTTTGGACATCATCAAGCAGACCAACATATGATTGTGGGAGTCCCAGAAGGAACAGAAGAAAGATAAAGGCAGAGAGACCATTTTTGAAGAAATAATGGCCCCAAATCCCCCCCATTGATTTATATTGATGAAAGACATAAATATCAAAAAGTTCAACAAACTCTAAGAAAGATCAACACAAAGACCCACACCAAGACACACAACCAAACTGTCGGAAGACAGAGATGTGTGTGTGTGTCTGTGTGTGTGTGTGTGTGTGTGTGTGTGTGTGTGTGTGTGTGTGTGTAGTTGGAGTCTCACTCTGTCACCCAGGCTGGGGTTCAGTGGTGTGATCTCAGCTCACTGCAACCTCCACCTCCTGGGTTCAAGTGATTCTCCTGCCTCAACCTCCTGAGTAGTTGGGATTACAGGTGCCTGCCACCACACCCAGCTAATTTTTTATTTTTAATAGAGACAGCATTTCACCATGTTGGCTAGGCTGGTCTAGAACTCCTGACCTCAAGTGATCCACCTGCCTTAGCTTCCCAAAGTGCTGGGATTACAGGCGTGATCCACCATGCCTGGCAGCAGATGTCTCATCAGGAACCTTGGAGTTCAGCAGGCAGTGAGTCGATATATTCAAAGGGCTGAAAGAATTTGATGAAGGTGTTGGTTCATTAGACTGTTTCATGAATTTTATATAAACATCTATGGAGAAATTTCCCCTATTATGTCTATTAAAAATGTTTTTAAACTTTTTGAAAATTACTTATTTAAAATGCATTCATGACAACTAATGGAAGAATGCATCTATTTGCCATTATCATACAACATAATAAACAATAAATGTATATGTGTAGATACCTTTCTACCTGCTTGCCTCTCCAGTCCTCCCTTCCTCATTCCTCAAGGAGGTGTTGAAAGTCCTGGATACCCCTCGTCTCCATCTGCCCCTTCATCTTAGGTCAGCAGATCCCAGACTTTGGCTACTATCTTGCTTTCCCCCTAAAAGACTGAATTTCCCAGCTTCCTTTGCAACTAGGTGTGGTCATGCTTCTAAAGTCTAGCCAGTGGGATGCTAGCAGAAGTGTCCTGTGAGGCTTTCCAGAGCCAGACTTTCTTTCCCTCCTCTCTTCCACTGCCCTGCTGCCTTGCACATTCACGCGATGGCTGGAGCTCTAGCATTCATCTCACACCATGAGGACAAGGACTGCATCACAGCACAGGAAGTGGGGACTCAGAAGGAGCCTCTGTCCCTGGTGACTTTGTAGAGCCTCGATACCAGATTGACTGTTCTGGAATTCTTTTACACAGCAGAGACTTGTTTAAGTCCGTTTTGTTTTTGTTTTTGTTTTCTGTTTCTGTTACTTCCCAGCAAACCTAATTCTACCTCATAACAAATATTGGCAACCTTGGGGTTCCTTCTGCATTTTTCTCCAGGTCCTACACATATGTATAATCACGTATACTATACATATATTTCAATGTGTCTCACATCCTTCTTTTAAAAATCTCAAAAAAAGAAGAAAGTAAATGCAATGTGAAGCAAAGATTGCGTGTTATGTATAAACCTCTTCTCGGCAGATGTTTTTAAAAGACCATTCTCAATATTGGCATACATAAAACGAAATCAGTGCCCTCTACTCCTGCTGGTGGGGAAGCAACTCACGTCAATATTCAGGACAGCCATTTAACACCAAGTAACAAGGGCTTTCAGGACCTCGCAATGTGGCAGTTTGCCTTCTTAGGAGCTGATGGCGAGGAAATCACCAGAGAGGCAGAGATCGGCGTGCGGAAACGTTCATGACACGTCGCAGTGACGCTGAGAACACTGACGGTTTCCCAGCAGGGAAGCATGTGTGAAATGTGGCCCGTCCACAAAATGGAATATCATGCGGTGGTGAACGTGGTGTTCACACATCATTTTAACGGTGGAGGAAATGCTCCTCCTGTGGTGTGAAAGGGCAACAATGAACTGCACGGGAAAGAACGTGAGCATCACACTTGGGAGAAAGCCCAGACGGAGACATTTGAGAGCGCTGGTGTCAGGTCCCTCTAGGGGGCAGCGCTCCTGACCTCGGTCACCTTGTACATTTTTCCTTGTTTCCCAGACTGTGGAAAACACTTACCCGATGCATTGACCCAGGGCCACGGGAGGCACCATGTGACTTGCTGCGATCACTGTAAATCCTGAATCCTGACAATGTGGTTGACACCCAGCCCCTGAGCTCAAAGCATCCATGATCCCAGTCCATCCCCCCACCCCTGCAGAAGTCTCACATCCCACCTGACAACCTGACTGCACGGTCTAATTCCCTGCCACGGCCTGGGCTGGTGGACAAGCCTTCCCGTAGACGGACAGCAGAATGACCGATGCCTGGATGACAGAGTGTATTTTCACCCAAGGTGCCGAGCGGGGAGGAAGGGGGAGCTGAGCTGAGGAGGGCAGAGCAGCCACAAGCCTGCTGCCTCTGGGCACCTCACATGCTTCCGTGGGCTCCGCATGGGGATGGCAAGGCCCTGGCACCCTGCCCCATCATCCTTCCCTGGTTTTGTGTGTTGGTTCCAGTCGTTTCTGTGTGTTGACTTTCGGTCCATAGACACAGGACTGCGGCTCTGCTGCTGTGGGGTCCTCCGTGCCCGTGGGCTGCTTGGTAGCTGCAAATAGCAACCCTCTCCTTTTCTGCAGAGCCGCTGGGGCTGCACAGCTCAGGGAACAGGAGGGCAGTGAGGAGAAAGGACCAGGCCTCCACAGGCAGGAGTCCAGCTCGGCCCTGAGCCGCCTGCCAGGGCAGCTTCTTCCTCACTCTCCACTGAAAACAGCCCCACTCCCCAGAATCGGGTTTTGATCTGTTACTGCACAGAAAAAAAAAAAAATCCTTCCCTGGGCCCTCCCATCAGATGAGAAAATGTGAAGGGAGGCATCCCCAGAGCTTCCCAGCCACAGCCACGGGGTAGTCAGGAGGGGCGGCTCCGGAGGTGCGGCCGGCCGGGCCCTCCTCTGCCACCATCCTTTGCCCCTGGACCTTGGCACTGTCCTCAGAGTGCAAGAAAGTTCCAGAGTGAGAGAAGACAAAGGAACAGAGGTGGGAGGGAAGCCGGTTATAGCTTCAAAATGGGCCTGTCTGGACCCCTTGACTCCCGCCTCCCACACAGCATTTGCTGCTGGCTGGGCAGGAAAAGGAAGCAAGAAACTCAGGCGTTCCCGGTTTTCCTTTTTATTCACTTGGGTCTTGGCTGCTTTCTGACTTTTAAAACCTGGGACTGAACCCCAATACTACTGCACTGAGTCCACTCCAGAGCTCCAACACCCCTGCTTCCACGTGGAAACTGAGGCTGAGGACTTTGCCCTGGCTACCCTTTCAGCTTCTGAGACCACCTTGTGGGCTCCTTCTCTGCCTCCCCTCCAGGCTGTGGCCCCAGGGCTGAGGGCTGGCAGGGACCGGCACAGAGGGACCAGGGGACAGGCCGGTGTGTGTACAGGTGGGGTTAGCATCCCTGGACAACGAATCTTGAGCGGATGCACCCAGGGTCGCCTCCCTGCAGGCCACAGAGGACAGGGCCTTTCTAGGCATCCAATGGCCAGGAAGTTTCTGGCATGGAGTAGGTGATTCCCAAATGTGTATTGAATAAAGGAGGGACAGAGACTCACCTGTTTCTGCAGATAGGAGGAGAGGGAGGAGCTCCAGCCCTCACCTGTTTCTGCAGATAGGAGGAGAGGGAGGAGCTCCAGCCCTCACCTGTTTCTGCAGATAGGAGGAGAGGGAGGAGCTCCAGCCCTCACCTGTTTCTGAGGATAGGAGGAGAGGGAGGAGCTCCAGCCCTCACCTGTTTCTGAGGATAGGAGGAGGGGGAGGAGCTCCAGCCCTCACCTGTTTCTGCAGATAGGAGGAGGGGGAGGAGCTCCAGCCCTCACCTGTTTCTGAGGATAGGAGGAGGGGGAGGAGCTCCAGCCCTCACCTGTTTCTGCAGATAGGAGGAGGGGGAGGAGCTCCAGCCCTCACCTGTTTCTGCAGATAGGAGGAGAGGGAGGAGCTCCAGCCCTCACCTGTTTCTGCGGATAGGAGGAGAGGGAGGAGCTCCAGCCCTCACCTGTTTCTGTGGATAGGAGGAGAGGGAGGAGCTCCAGCCCTCACCTGTTTCTGCGGATAGGAGGAGAGGGAGGAGCTCCAGCCCTCACCTGTTTCTGCGGATAGGAGGAGAGGGAGGAGCTCCAGCCCTCACCTGTTTCTGTGGATAGGAGGAGAGGGAGGAGCTCCAGCCCTCACCTGTTTCTGCGGATAGGAGGAGAGGGAGGAGCTCCAGCCCTCACCTGTTTCTGAGGATAGGAGGAGGGGGAGGAGCTCCAGCCCTGGCCCCTGGAATCACTAACCATCTGGGGGTGAATGGAGGACGAACTCCTCCACCCTGTGTTGGACGGATGGACAGACAGACTGATGTGGGACCAGGAGGAGGAGGAGGTATCCCCAGGCCACCCTCCCATAACCCAGCTTGGAGGCAACCCAACACCATCCCCATTTTAGGGATGGGAAAATGGAGGCCCAGGGAGGTGAGGAGTCTTGTCCAAGAGAGCCCGAGCCCTTCCCCACCCTCACTGCCTGTGCACCCAGGTTCCCGCTCCCTCTCGCGGCCCCCGGCCCGGCTCTGACCCTGTGCTTCCCGCACGTCCCTGCAGGATCTGCAGATCATCAGCACGGATGAGAGTCAGGTGTTCGTGGCGGTGCAGGAGTGGTACCAGGTGGACACCTACAACCTGTACCAGTCGGATCCGCGGGGTGTGCACTACGCGCTGGCGCTGGAGGATGTGCGCAGCTCGAGGCAGGCGGAGGAGAGCGTGCTCATTGACATCCTGGAGGTGGGTCTGCCCCCCCCCACCACCTCCTTCTTCCCCTCCCTTCTGCCCCCTGCCGCCACCTCCTTCTTCCCCTCCCCTCTGCCCCCCCCGCCACCTCCTTCTTCCCCTCCCCTCTGCCCCCCCCGCCACCTCCTTCTTCCCCTCCCCTCTGCCCCCTGCCGCCACCTCCTTCTTCCCCTCCCCTCTGGCCCCCCCCCCGCCACCTCCTTCTACCCCTCCCCTCTGGCCCCCTCCCCCCCCCCCCCCCCCCGCCACCTCCTTCTTCCCCTCCCCTCTGGCCTGTCTCTAATGCTGTCCCAGGTCTGCACACACCTTCTGTAAAGAGCCGCATCCTTTAGGCTTTGCAGGCCAAGAGGCTGTTATGTAGGTACTTCCAGAGGAAGAGAATTTCCTTCATAAGGAAATTCAAAATGCGGTGATCATTGAGGGCAAGATTTGTCATGAGAAGAATGGAATTCTTTGAGCGAAGAGCATCTGACTGACCTGGGTCCAGCCAGAGTGTTCCCTGCCAACCCCTCACAAGCCCTCATCACACGTCCTGGGCCGGGGTCACCCCTCAGGACACTCAGGCTCTGTGAGATTCTCACGAGTGCCCCATTTCTCTCTTTCTCCACCCCAGCCTCTTCATCTCCTCTTTCCTCCCCTCTGTGTGTCTGAAGTCTGCCTCCCTCCTGCTCTCTCTCTCTCTCTCTCTTACTCTGTCTCCCTGGAACCCAGCCCTCCACCCTCCTTCCTGCCACTCCTCTCACCACATATGAAGCACTGCGCCCCTTCCTGGGTTGCCATCTGAGATCTGATGGGAGCCTCCCTTGCTGCCCTCCCGGGTCCTCCCTCGGCCTCACCCCTGAGCCTCCACTGACCTCAGAGAATGCCCCAGGCATTGCACCACCATGGCTCCATTTCCACCTGGATTCCTGCAGCAGCCCTGCCCCAGCCAGGCTGCTCAGGCCCTCTCCTTTGTTCCTGAAATGCCATGGCCAGCGAGGGGGGTCACTCAGCCCATGTACAGATCAGGAAACTGAGGCTCAGAGAGGCAAACGACCTGCCCATGAGGACCCAGACGTAAGCAGGAAAACCAGGACTGGCCCAGGCTTGTCTGCTCTGAGACTGCCACCCTCCTCTTGCCTGTGGGGACACCCCCAAGTGGCCCATGACGCACACTGGGAGAGTGTCCTGTGGGTGGCCAGCAGACCTGGGCAGACAGTGGCATTGACGGGCTTGTGGGTGGGAGGTGCCAGGCCCAGCATTCATCATCCCTCCCCAGCAACAGCGGGACTGTGGTCCCCAGGACAGTCATGAGTGGAATCACGTGTCTGCAATGATAACCCAATTGTCAGTATTTACACGACACGGAGGCAGCCTCACTGCCGAGAGCACCCACCGCAGGCGGCCCTCCTCCACCTGCTAGGCAGCGCCCACCCTACCCCCTAGTGTCCGCAAGGCCCCACCCTGTGAGCCTCTAGGAGGGGACTGGGTCTGGCCCAGACCTGGCTCTGGAAGGCAGTGGGTGGGTGATGATGGGATGGGAAAGGTGCCAAGAACAGGGTGGGGTGGGCTCCACGGCCGTCCTGTCCACAGGCATCTGTGATGCCCACACCACAGCATGCCATGCTCTGGGCCCTGCCCTCAGGACACAGGCTGGATACGACATGTACCACCACCCCTCACGAAGCAGGAAGATGCCTCCCAGCCAGGGTTCTGACTGAGTGTGCCGGAGCCTGGGGACACAGCACGGGGGCAGTTGGCCAGCCTGGGGCAGGAGTCAGGGAGTGCTTCCTGCAGGAGGCTGAGCAGGAGTTAGCCAGGTGAGGAAGGAGCTCAGAGGCACACACAGAGGCCTCAAGGTGAGAGGAAGAGAGGAGCCAAAAGAGGTTCACAGTGGCCGGTCCAAAGGCAGCACCCACCATCCACCAGCTGGGTGCCCTCCCAAGGGATGTCCCTTCTCCGAAAACCATCAAACATGGGGCACAGCTGGTGTATGAGCACAGCTCTGGAGCCTGACTGCCCGGGGTGCAGGCCCATGAACATGTATGTATTTGCTGTGTGGCCGGAGGTGGGTTTCTTAAGCACTCCGCCTCCCCACGTGCAGCAGGGATGGTAGTAGTGCCTTCCTCACAGGGCTGCTGTGAGGCTTACGGCCGCTCCTGTTAAACAGGCAGAGCAGCGCCTGGTTCCGGTGGGCACTCACTTTGCTTTCCCCGCACTTGGCCTTTCTGGGATCAGGGATAATTCCCGGGGGCTGGCCCCTGAGTCTCACTGCACATGGCCAGTACTGCTGCTGTCACGGTTGTTGTGCACTCAGCACAAATCCAGGAAAAAATGTTTGGTGCAGGCCACACAGCCAGCTACTGCCTCGGGAGGCTGCGGGGTCTCTCCCCCTGCAGGGCACAACCCAGGTTCCAGGCGAGACAGCAAACCTTTCCTGGCTTCTTCTTGTGCTGGAGCTTAGGTTATGAATGGGGACTTAGGGGGCATAGCCCTGTCCCCTGCCCCCAAGGAGTCCTGGTGGCCACAGGCATCATAGTGGGATGAATAGTGGCCCCAAAATAGCCATCAAAATGGTGGCATTTTCATGCCCAGGCCCTGCCGTGTGACCTATTTGAAAAGGGATGTTTGCAGCGTAATGAAGTGACAGACTGAAGCAGAGATCATCCTGAATTATCCACAGAGGGCTGTAAATGCAATCACAGTGTCCTTATCAGAGCCGGGAGAGGAGCCACAGGCACACAGACAGGCGCCGTGGAGACAGAGGCAGAGACTGAGGCCACAGGCCAGGGAGGGATGGAGGCATGGGGCTGGAAGGGGCAGGAGGGATCCTTCTCTGGAAACTGCAGAGTGAGCACAGCCCGCCCATGCCTTGATTTTGGCCTCCGGCCTCCAAGAGAATGACTGAAAAGTCCCACACGTTGTTTGAAGTGACACAACGTGTGGGACTTTTTCTAACAGATGCAGGAATGAACACAGCTGTGATATGGGCAGTTATGCAGAGCCACACGATTCCAAACCGGTGCTCGGCCAGCCAGACCCCCCGGGGGCCTCGGCCTGTATCTAGATCCACGTTATTTATTGCTGAGCGTTTTCATGGAGTCCTGGGTTTCTGCAGGGTCTGCACTTGGTACCACATCTCACAAAGAAGCTGGACTCTGGGGCAGCGGCCCCATCTGTAGCCATCGAGTGGATTGAGCAGGCCACGGAGTGATGCCAGTGGGCAAGAAGGAGCAGGCCCCTCCCAGCCCCTGAGACTGTCATTCCAGCAGGACCATCGCTGAAGCTTCCTCTGCAGAGAGGAGAACTACCCCCTAGACCACAGCACCCTACGCAGATAACAGGCAGCTGAACGCTCTGTGCATGGATTTCCCACGTGGATGGCACTCCCTGGAAATGCTGGGAGGATGCTTACAGTGTGAGCCACTTGGCTCCTAAAACTGCCTGTCTGTGTTGATAAGACCTGGTGGGTCCCAGGGAAAAGAGCCTGCCCCACCCCCCAACTCCCACATCCAATGAAGGCAGCCCTGAGTCTCTGAGAGCCAACTCCAAGGGTAACCTAAACAGGCCACAGCCGTCAGTGGGAGGCAAAAGATCTGTAACTACCACTCTGTGCCTCCCCCAGCCTTGCGCTTTGAAACAGATAACTTGTTTGCTAGTCTCCCAGCTCCACAGGTGGATTAGTTGGATTAGCTCCACATCTGGTTTAGTTGACTTACATAAGGTTTGGAAATTTTGATCTGGTGACATTTAGATGAGACTTTTGATGTTGAATTAATGCTGTAATGAGATGAGAACTTTGGAAACCTTGATGGGGTGAATGTGTTCTGCTTGAAGACTGATGTGTGTCCTTGGGGGTCAGAGGAGGGACTGTGCTGGAGAGAATAGTGCCCCCCTCAAAGACGGCCACATCCCGAGCCCCAGAACCTGCATGTATTTTACCTTATGTGGCAGAGGAGGAGTGCGGTTGCAGATGGAATTAAGGCTGCTCATCAGCACACGGGAAGATGACCTGGGTTATCTGGATGGGCCCAGTGTCAGCACACAGGTCCTTAACATTGGAAGAGGGAAGCAGGAGAGAAAGTCAGAGAAGAAGTGATGGTGGAAACACAGTCAGAGAGATGCAATGTTGCTGGATTTGAAGATGAAGGAAGGGGCCATGAGCCAAGGAATGCCGGTGCCTCTAGAAGCTGGAAAAGGCAAGGAAAGAAACATTCCCCTGGAGCCTCCATAAAGGAGTGTGATGCTACTGACACTTGACTGTAGCCACATCCCAGGCTTCTGCCCTCCAGAGCTGTAGGAGAATGCATGTGTGTTGTCTGAAGCCACTGGGTTTGTGACCATCTGTGATAGCAGCCATAGGAAGCTCAGACCCCAGTCCACTGATTTTATCATCATGGCTGCTGTTCTTCTCCACATGGGGACCTGCTGGAGTTGTGAGAATTCAGTGAAAGGACACATACTAAGCTCATGCCTCAAACATAGAAGCACTTAGTAACTGTATAGCGTTACTATCCTAACTGTAATCTTTGGCTATGGGCCTTTGGGAAGGTTGCATCTCCTTTGAGCCTCAGTTTCCCATGGTGCAGGCTGCATATACAGGTGCAGAAACAGCTTCTGGCCTGGCACACAGGAGGCCTGGACAAGTGGTTGGCATTCTCATGCCTCTTCACACCACACTAGTGGGTCTTGGTAAATATGGGTCAAAACCCTTCATGAAATAAGGAACCCGCGGGAAGACCCTCTCTGTGGGTGAACCACTCGGTTGAACTACGTGAAGTTGCCAATAATTTCACATTTCTTGTAGGTCAACTTAGTAGCCACTTACATATGTTTGGGTCACTGCCATGGGCCTTTTAGGAAACCTTGAGAAAGGGAATAGTTTAGCCCTGAGCAGTGAAGGCAAGTGATCCCTGTCTTGGGTGTTCTAGGGGAAGCATGGACCCTCCTGTCCTCATTTCTTGGCATTTTTGTATGGGGATTGAGCTGGGGAGTCCCCAGAGGCAATTCTATTGGTCCAGAACATGTGGTCCAATAGAAACTAGAGGTGTTGGGGGGATCTGAGCTCTGCATCAGGACCTCTGAGGCAAGAACGGGGTTGACTCTGAGGGATGGGCAGGTCAGGTGTCCAGAACCCCACTTGCCATCTGACGGTTGGTGTCTGGACCTAGGAGAACAGCTCAGCACCATGAAGATCATTCAGGCTTCAGAGCTAGATGAAACTACCTTCCCACTAAAGCTGGGGCCAGAGGTCCAAGACTCTGGCCCCTCTAAACCTCACTCACCTCTAGAATGTGCCTCAGCTGCTGGTCATTGTGACTGTGAAATGAGGCCACATGTACAGAATGCTTAGCAAGGTGCTGGAGCATGGTGGACACCTGGTCATCAGAGTGCTCCAGCATAAGGTTATAGTCCTTTTCATATTTTTGTCCCAGGTCAGAGGGGTGAAAGGAGTCTTCCTGGCAAACCAAAAAATTGATGGGAAAGTTATGACGCTTATAACCTACAACAAGGGCCGTGACTGGGATTACCTGAGGCCACCCAGCATGGACATGAATGGAAAACCAACCAACTGCAAGCCTGTAAGTACCTCTGCTCACATCACACACCTTCCATGGGGTGGACACAAGATATGACTTCAGTAATCAAGAAGGTCAGAGGTGGTGATGTCTGAGAAGGACCATCTCAAACACATGAACCACCTATTTCTGATGGGCATGATGGAAAGGATCAAATGAGACTCCTTATTTTACAGAAAAGTTAATTGTAGATCAGAGAAAGAAGTGTATCAGTTAGTTTTTGACACAGAATTGCTGGGCAATAAACCACACCAAAACAACAATCATTTATTCTCCAGATCTACAGGTGGGCTCAGCTGGGTGGCTCTGCGGACCTTGGCTGGGCTCAGCTGGGCAGCTCTGCTGATCTTGGCTGGGCTCAGCTGGGCGGCTCTGCTGATCTTGGCTGGGCTCAGCTGGGCGGCTCTGCTGATCTTGGCTGGGCTCAGCTGGGCGGCTCTGCTGATCTTGGCTGGGCTCAGCTGGGCGGCTCTGCTGATCTTGGCTGGGCTCAGCTGGGTGGCTCTGCTGATCTTGGCTGGGCTCAGCTGGGTGGCTCTGCTGATCTTGGCTGGGCTTGCTCATATGTCAGGGAATTGACTGATTTAGGCTGGTCTCTGCTCTGCCCATCTTGCATCCTTCTCCTGGAACCAGCTTAATTCTCATGGTGATACCAGAAGTTCAAGAGGGGAAACAGAAACAGGCAAGTACATTTCAAACCTACTTACGGTACATCTGCTAAACCTTACTGGTCAATATCAAAGATATGGGAATTATACTGCCCGTGGGAGTGAGGGCTGGAGAGCAGACACTTGCTTCTAATCTGCCATGGAAGGCAGTGTACCATCACACTATCAGTAAGCGATGGGGTTGGGCCAGAGATCAGACATCATGAGCTCCAAAGCTGCCCCCACTATCCCAGGGGCACCTTTCTACATGAATTGAAGTGTAGACTGCCTGAGTCCTTGGTTGCCTAGAGTAGGAGAGATCTCTCAAAGTAGCTGGGATTCTTGCCAGCTCTGGTGTAGCTAGCAGAGAACCAGGTGGTGCACAGGCCCATGCTGGTGAGAAAGGAGAGGCAGAGCTGTAAGGACTAGGGCTCCTGGCTCAGGTGAGCACTCAGCTGCCAGGGACCAGTGGATACAAGAGAAGAAGAGGCTGAGTGGGCCAAGAGGGTCTGATTGGGTGTCCCACCCCACTTCCAACACCCCTGTGAGACCTGGCCTCTCCTGGGGCCTCTGTCCTTGCATACCACAGAGAGATCACCACCACCAGCATCCCTGACCCTTCCTGGGTGTTAAGTAACTCAGGGTGGGAGGAGGGTCTAGTCTTGGAACTGCACAGAGCTGCAGTCTTAGCTCCCTGACTGGCTGGGTGATCTTGGCTAAGTCAACCAGTGCCTCTGAGCCTCTGTTGAAAAGGGAGGAAGATAAAAAACATCCCTGTGGCATTGGGGTGAGGATGAGATGAAAGAATGCAGAGACCAGCCTATGCCTGGCACAGAGCAAACAGCAAGGAAGAGCCTTCCAAACAGCAAAGAGAGAGCTTCCCTTGCCTTCCAAGCTCTCTCTTTCCATGCTATGCCCAAGGCCCACAAGGCCCTTTCCCTTTTCCTCATCCAGCAAACTCCTACTGACACCTAAAAACCCTACCCAAATGTTCCCTCCACTGAGGAGCCTTCACTGGGCATAATTGCTTCTCTGTCTGTTTCCCACTGTTGCCCATAAACCCTCTTAGAGACTGCACACTGGGGACACCTGAACCTACCCATCACTCTGCCTCAGTTTCCTCATGTGTAAAATAGAAGGAACAAAAGTACCTGTTTGACAGGGTTATATTCAGCAAATCTACGCGAGCACTCGCTATGTGCCACGCACTGTTCTGCAGGTCCAGAGCACACTAAACCAACAAAACAGAAGACATTCTCTGTCTCCTTGGGATTCCACCCGCCACACAGCAGGGCTCAGAAAATGGTGAGCCCCCTCTCCCCCACACCCACCAGCCCCAGTGTTGGCCCATGGGGGCCATGGTACTAAGAGGAGAGCACCCAGAGAGCCTGACCCCAGAGCCAGGGCAGGACTCTGTGGCCCCCAGGGTGGCCCCTTGCTCTAAGCTGAGGCTTGAGCTCTGACTCAGGAGCACTCACCTCTCAGGGGCCCACTGCCCACCTCTATTCAAGCCCCCTCCTGCTGATAACACCTGTCGAGCTGTGTGGAGAATTAATTTTACAAAGGGGGCTGGCCTTTGTAAAAATGCTTCCCAGAACAGAATTGCCAAGAAAGGGCTAATTTTTGTATCATCATCGGCAAAGTTAAGCCATATTAATCTGTCAAAGCAAGTTTTTGCTAAGAATAGATTCTTGTCTGCGATTATGCAGCTCAGTGAGGAGATAACCTCAGTGAGATTTATGTCCTGGCCTTAAAATAATGAAATAGAAGCAAACTCGTGAGCGTGCGGACCCCAGGCCGGCATGTGGGAACCCAGCTGGGCATGGAGGGGATGCAGAACCAAGTACACGGAGCCCACGTGGGCACAGCAGACATCGAATCACAGCCTCACAGGCCAGGCGCAGTGGCTTACACCTGTAATCCCAGCATTTTGGGAGACCAAGGTGGGCAGATCACCTGAGGTCTGGAGCTTGAGACTAGCCTGGTCAACATGGAGAAACCCCATCTCTACTAAAAATACTAAAATTAGCCAGGCGTGGTGGCACATACCTGTAATCCCAGCTACTTGGGAGGCTGAGACAGGAGAATCGCTTGAACATGGGAGGCGGAAATTGCAGTGAACTGAGATCATGCCACTGCACGCCAGTCTGGCCAACAGAGCAAGACTCCATCCTAAAAAATATATCTGTCTGTCTGTCTATCTGTCTGTCTGTCTGTCTATCTATCTATCTGTCTGTCTGTGTGTGTGTCTATCTATCTATCTGTCTATCCATCTATCTATCTATCTGTCTATCTGTCTTGTCTGTCTGTGTGTCTTTGTATCTGTCTGTCTGTCTATCTCTCTGTCTAGCCGTCTATCTATCTGTCTGTCTGTCTGTCTATCTGTCTGTCTGTCTATCTGTCTTGTCTGTCTGTGTGTCTGTGTCTGTCTGTCTATCTGTCTGTCTGTCTAGCCGTCTATCTGTCTATTTGTCTGTCTGTCTGTCTGTCTGTCTGTCTGTCTAGCCGTCTGTCTGTCTGTCTGTCTATCCATCTATCTGTCTGTCTGTCTAGCCGTCTATCTGTCTGTCTGTCTGTCTGTCTGTCTATCTGTCTGTCTGTCTGTCTATCCATCTGTCTGTCTATCCATCTGTCTGCTATCTGTCTGTCTGTCTGTCTGTCTGTCTATTCTAATCTGCCACGGAAGCCAGTATACCATCACACTGTCAGTAAGTGATGGGGTTGGGCCAAAGCTCAGACATCGTGAGCTCCAAAGCTGCTCCCACTATCCCAGCGGCACTTTTCTGCGTGAACTGAAGCGTAGACTGCCTGGGTCCTTGGTTGCCTAGAGTAGGAGAGATCTCTCAAAGCAGCTGGGAGTCTTGCCAGCTCTGGTGTGGCTAGCAGGGATCTAGATGGTGCACAGGCTCAGAAGGCCCAGCCTATCCTGTGTATGTGGCCGTGGCATCTCCAAGGGCGAAAGGGCAGGGGCAGGACAAGCTGGGCCACTCGAAGGACCCCCTGACCGTGCTGCTCCTGCAGCCACACAGCCTCTCAATGAACGGGCAGACTGTACCTGAGGGCGTATTGCTCATAAAAGTGATGCCTGATTATTGCAGGATGCTTGGAAGATACAGAAAAGGGAAATAAGATACAACTAGAATCATCCATCCAGAAAAACAATAATTGGGTATTTTTGTTCTTTGCAATCTACTTGCTCACATACATGTCACGAAGTCATCATTGAGATCCCACACGTGTGTGATTTTTCAGCCCTCTGTTTTTCTCTTAACTCTGGGTCACGAGTCTTTGCCCAGGCCACCTGACCGGCTCCCTGTCTGGGGATACCTCCTTCCAGCAATGGGGAAACAAAGGGATGGCTTTATTTAACAACAGGAGTGGAATGATCAGGTCTGTTTTAGGATGACCCTGCTTCATTGGAAGATGGTTTTGAGTCTGTTTACCTCTTTAATTCGGCATAAACCTCATTCAGCGGGCAGCCCATGGTCACTCTTCTGAGATGTGAGGCTGCGGCAAGCACCAGGCGTCCCGGTGGTTGGTGCTGCAGCTCCCAGCCCTGGTCCATCTCGTAGGCTTTGATGATTTTCTAGACACTTCTTTAGAGCACCCTCTGGCCCCTATGTGCTGAACGGGCAGGCAAGAGAGAGTTCTGGGACAGCATGAGCCCTGAGCTTGGCCTCTGCCTCCAGTCTTGCAGGGACCCAGGCCCACCTCGGTCAACACTGGAGCATTCTGCACTGACTCCTAGGGCCACAGCCTCCCCCAGGGGTCTCCTGTCCTCATCCTGGCTGGCCTCGGAGGAAGCCCTGTCTCTGACCACATGCAGCTGCGGCAGGTCCTGGGGCTGCTGATGCGCGCTGGCCTGCCACCTGTTCTGGGCATCTGAGCACCCCATGGGTGGCCCCTCCAGGCCTGCCACCTGTGCCAGGCATCTGAGCACCCCGTGGGTGGCCCCTCCAGGCCTGCCACCTGTGCCAGGCATCTGAGCACCCCGTGGGCGGCCCCTCCAGGCCTGCTGGCATTGCCCTTCCTTTCACCTGGTGGTCCAGGCTCTCATGAGAGTGCACATGTCAGACACCAGCACAGTGCCTGCAGCCACCCCAGGAGCACGGGGAGACAGCTAGCTGCCAGCAGGCCCTGAGGCAAATGCAAAGGGGGTCACAGTGCTGTCTGTGGTTACCAGGGCCTGCAGAGCGTAACTGACCACCCCACAGGGAGCCCTGAGGAGGGTTCCACTTCTCTGGCCTGAGTGCCAGGCACCCAGGAGAGGCTACCAGTGGTGAGGGGTGGGGAGAAGGGTGGCGTTTGTGAAGCATCACCCTCTAATTCAGCTCTGCCCACTGAGCACACAGCAAGTGACCAGATGTGCCCAACTCATCGGGGGAATGGGTGAGGTTGATGGAGACCAGCCCATGAGCTCTGGCCCCTCCAGGCTCCACCTGGCCTTCCGGGAAACGTAGGACAGCAAAGCATGGCAGAGCCATGGCGGCCTCTGCCAGACACGCTGCTGCGAGGACTCCCATGCCACACCCCTGCTGAGTGTCTTCTCATTAGAGCTGCCTTCTGCATCACGGAAGCCCGACCCTGCCTACCAAGATCACAGCGGCCTCCCTCCACAGCAAGCCACCTCTGTCTTTCTGCCCGAGCCATCTGGGGGACAGGAGGTTGGAACTGAAAGGTGCCAGCAAGTGTGTTAACTCACAGGCCTGCTTTTCCATTGTAGGAAGTCAGAAGACTATTGCAGTGGGCAATGCCTTAACATCCCACAGGTTTTCAGTGGGCCCATTTGTCACTGTTCAATCCACGTGTTTCTGGAACCCTTCGATGGCTCTCCGGGGGTGACACAGAGTCCAGGCTCCTGCCAGCTGGGACCTGTGGGCTTCAGCTCGAGGCTCCCGGGTTCCCCTGGGGAAGGTCTGAGTCCCTCAGTCCTCTTCAGGATGTGCCTCTGCAGTGGACACGGGGCCACCTTTCAGCTGAATTTGAGACGTTTCTTTCTTTTGGTTTCTAGTAGGTGTGTTGCGATCTCACTCACACAGCACGAAGCTCACCTTTCACCTGCACAGCTCAGCGGTTTTTGGTATATTTGCAGAGTTGTGCAGCCACCACCACCGTCCATTTTAGGATGTTTTCACCACTCAGAAAAGCAGCCCCAGCACCTTAGCTGTCACCTCCCTGTCCCCCATCAGCCTCCAGCCCCTGGAAACCACCCGTCTATTGCTGGCTCTATAGATTCCCTGCTCCGGGCACTGCTCATGGGTGAGTCACGCAGCATGCAGTACAACCAGTCCATCTGTGAACCCCCAGAGCAGACAAATACAGGCCATCTGGTCGCACCACCACCTGGTCACATCTTACCCAAGTCAATATCCAATTTCCTGAATGGTCAACTTTTAACTTAGGATCACCTGCGTAAGACGGAAGCAGTTCCTGGGCTCAAAGGGAGTGATATGAAGATGGGAGGTGAAGACAGAGGACCTCTCTGACGTGGGTTTCAGAGGATGATATGATACTGCGGTGACAGTGGGATTCTGGAATGACGCCCGCAGAGCGGGTCAGCAGGCCTCGCTGTCGCTGGCTCCGTTTTACACATGAGGAAACTGAGGCCCAAGGCTGCCCAGAAAATTAGTCGTGCCTCCTAAGTGACAATCTGGATCTCTGGGTACCCAGTTCTAGGGTATTTCTAAGCTGGAGACTTTTAACAGAAAAAGAAATAATGTTAAGGCAGGAAATACAATGTTTACCATTCTTATAAGTAAACAATTGGACAGTACGTTGCCCTGGGGAAGGGCTGGACCCCGGAGCTGTGCCATATTAATCCAATAATCCCAAGAAGCAGAGGTGACTGCCCCATCTCACAGAGAAGAAAGAAAGGCACAGAGAGGCTAAGCATTTTTCCTAGGGCCACACTGCCATTTAGAGGAGGTACGAGGAGTAAAGCCCTGGCCTTTCTGTGACCAGCCTGAGGACTACCCTGCCTCGCCTCACCCTGTGGAGCTCCAGGAATTGGGGAAATTAGGAAGGCTGAGCCCAGAGTCATTACCCCTCAAACCCTTTTGGCATCTGCTGGTTCGGTGGGGTCTCTGTTGGTGCACCTATGTCACCAAGGAAGGCTCGGCCTGCCAGACCTCTGAGCACCAGTAGCTTCAGGCTACCAGAGGGAGGTCAGGAGAAACGGGGTCTCCAGAGCCAGCCCCCTGGAACTCTTGCACACTTAACCCACCCCTCTGTATCTCAAAGTGGGAGGGTCTTAGGGGTGACCCCTAGCTGTCCGCTGATGCCAGGGATACTGTGGTCACATAAGAGGTGCCCAATAAAGGTTCTGGGTAGGTGAATGAATGAGTATGAGCTTGGGCTGTGCAGCCTCCAGGGATCCCATCCCATGGCCCAGCACTGCACACGGGAGCCATGTTGGGGAACCCACCTGCCAGGACGCGTGCCCAAGAGCCCTCAGTGGGAGAAGCCCCAGCAGCTGCATCTGTGAGCAGAGGCACTACATCCAGATGCTACAGGGGTCCCTAATCTAGGCCAGAGAATCAAGGGATCGCCCTGGGGGCCTCACCACACCCAGATGCTGTGGTGGGTCTCTAATCGAGACTAGGGAGTTAATGGATCCTCCTGGGGTATCTCTCTGTACCCAGATGCTGCAGGGGTCCCTAACCTAGATCAGGGAACCAACAGATCCTCCCAGGTACCTCACTGGTACCTGCTTCCACCTCCCAACCTATTAGCACAGCACCTGCTGAAGTGGCCCTTGTCCTTCCCACCCTTTGCCTACAGGTCAGCCTCATACCTGCTTCCCATCCTCCATCCGTTCCTCCAAGGCACTCCTGGCCCAGTCTTCTCTCCCAAAAAGCCACAGGGGCAGATTTGCCATCAGGCTTAGTGTTCCTAAGGATGCTCCTACCCACATGCTGACAGTTGCTTCCTTCTTTTCCTTGCAGCCAGACTGCCACCTGCACCTGCACCTGCGCTGGGCAGACAACCCCTATGTATCGGGCACTGTGCACACCAAGGACACGGCCCCAGGCCTCATCATGGGTGCAGGTAGGTGGCTGCCATCACAGGAGGCTGGCAAGTGCCATTACAGTTCAAGAGTACCTCCAGTCTCAAGGGTAAAAATGGATGGTCATGGGCCTGAGGCCGTACTCAGTACCACTGCATCTGCAGGAAGCTCAGCTCTCATGGCAAATTCTGAGAGGTGAACGCATGGCCCAGGGTGGGCATGTGATATATGTTGGCTGAATAGAAAGATGAATAGATGGAAGAGTGGATCAATGGATGGATGGATAGATGAACTGATAAATGATGGCTAATGGATGGGGGGGGTGGTAGATGAATGGATAGATGGATGGATGGACGGATGGATGCATAGACAGATGGATGGATGGATGGATGGATAGATGATGCATGACAGGTAGATGATGGTGGATAGGGGATGGATGGGTGGGTGGGTGGGTGGGTGGATGGATGATGGATAGATGGTAGATGGATGGTGGATGGATGGATGGATGGTTGGATGGATGGATGGATGGTTGGATGGACAGATGATACATGACAGTTGGATGATGGTGGATGGGTGATGGATGGGTGGGTGGGTGGATGATGGATAGATGATGGTTGATGGATAGATGATGAATGGATGGATGGACAATGAGTGAATGATGAATGGATAGATAAATGGATAGATGCGTGGGTGGGTCAATGAATGGATGATTTGTATCATAGTTGATATTTATTGGCCCCTGAAGAAAGTTCTAGTTTAGTAGGAGAGAAAGACAAGTATACAACTAGCACTTTTTTAAAAAAGCAAAACTATAATTTTTGTGTTTGTCTCTTCCACTAAATTAGAACCTCCAATAATCGCAGTGTACTAATCAAATAATACCGTAAAATGAGGTTGATTGCTTTAGAAGAGCCATTCAAAATAGAAAGTAGAGCCACCTGTCTGAGGTCCCTTGGCTGGTGTGTGGAAGAGCCAGGCAAGACTTTGCACATTGGGGTCTGTGACAGTCGGAGAGGCAGCGTCTCCTGCAGAAACTGGAAGCAGAGGCACAGCCCCAGAGCTCACACTTCCTGAACCCAGGACCCCATCCCTCCATTTCCCCAGCACCATCTCTCACACAGAGGGGGTGGCCCTGTGGCCAATGGCCAAGGACCATATGGATGTGGACCCCAGACTCTGAGCTGGACACCACATCTGACCCTTCACCATATCCTAGCACTGAGCTGAGGCCTGGCCCAGGGTGGACCCTCCAAGGCTGTTTGTGAATGAGTAAATGAAGGGACAAGTGAATGAGTGACCATGTTGTGATGGTGGGAATGGCCTTCTGGGTAGAAAGGGGAGCATGGGGACCCCAAAGGACCAGACCAGAGTGCAGGTAGAGGCTGGAGGTGAAGCCTACACACAGGGCTGGATCTGATGGTGGAGGCTTGGCCTGTCTGGGGAGGCCGGGGCTTCGCCACAGGGAAGTGACACAGCTGGGAAGAGAGGGGATTGAGAACAAAGCCTTCAGCTTCTGCAGTTCCTCAGTGCAGTCTACATGCCCGGGGTCCTAGGCAGTGACAGCCCATCTGGACAGCCTCTGTCTGCTCCCACAGTGATCAATGAAAATGCAACCCATCAGCATCAGTGTCAGGCTGCTCACTGCCTATCAGCTTCCACGCACAGACAGGCTTGCCAGCCATGTCAGATGCCCCCAGTCCTATGGAGTTGGCTTGCTGGGCTTCTCAGTGACAGGGTATTTAAAATGTACCACCTTGATTGGCTGAAACCCCAAATTCTTGACCAAAATACAAAAGGTGTAACTTCCAATGTTTCCACTGCTCAAAGGCCCCGAGAGCCCGGGATGAGCGTCCTGGTCCCTCAGTGCATCCCTGAATTGTGCAGGAGTCATGCAGCACACCGAGTGCAGCCCCCTCACTCTGTGGGGGTGTCGGTCATAGCCTCCCCCCACCCCGCCTGCCTCCCACTGTCCCTACAAGGGCAGGAGGCTACACTCCTATTTTATTCTGCTTCCCTTCAGTCTTGGCCAGGGCCTTCCTGGAAGGTGGAGCCAGCCGTGCAGGGTGGGCTGATTGGTCAGTTGTTCCCATCCTCCTCTCCAGTCCTGAGCACCTGCTGGGAGCAGGAGAAGGCACGTGGGCGGGCTTCACACCTGCTGGCCCGACATGGCCGCCTGCCCTGGCACAGGTCTCGAGGCTAGGTGGCTGCACCGCCGGAGGCAAGGCAGCTTGAGGTGATGGCTACCTGTTTCCACGGGGTCATTCCCCTGCCTGCCCCCTCATTCATTCCTGAATTCCACCCGGAGACAGGCAGATGAGAGGGATAAGCCCCAGGTTCACGCCTCCCAGCTGTGGGACTTTGGGATTTCACTGCACTTTTCTGAGCCTCAGTTTCCTCATCTGCAAAATGAGAGAACAAAACCTCTGTCAGGATGAGATGGGGTAAGGCAGGAACCCTCCGAGGCAAGTGTGCTCTGCCAGGCTGTCCTCTCATATGAGGGGACACTGGACACCCCGCCCCCATACCAGGCATGGCACTGGGTGCTGGAAATGAGGGAGGGGAGACTCAGCCTCTCAGGTACACAGAGGCACAAAGGGACGATGACCACAGGGTCAGACACGTCCTGATGCCGAGTTCCTACAAGATGGTCCAGAGGGACATGGGGTATGGGCACTCGCTTCTGCCCTGAGGTTTGGGTGGAGCCCGCTGGGCAAATGGACATCTGCCAAGCCAACCCACAGGGAGGGCACCGCATGTGCAGGATGGAGGTCGGGGAGTGCAGTGCTGGGGTCTCGAGCTGCAGTAGATGCATTCCAGTCTCCAGGGCCTGTCCTCAGGTCATGTGCAGGATGGAGGTCGGGGAGTGCAGTGCCGGGGTCTCGAGCTGCAGTAGATGCATTCCAGTCTCCAGGGCCTGTCCTCAGGTCATGTGCAGGATGGAGGTCGGGGAGTGCAGTGCCGGGGTCTCGAGCTGCAGTAGATGCATTCCAGTCTCCAGGGCCTGTCCTCAGGTCATGTGCAGGATGGAGGTCGGGGAGTGCAGTGCCGGGGTCTCGAGCTGCAGTAGATGCATTCCAGTCTCCAGGGCCTGTCCTCAGGTCATGTGCAGGATGGAGGTCGGGGAGTGCAGTGCCGGGGTCTCGAGCTGCAGTAGATGCATTCCAGTCTCCAGGGCCTGTCCTCAGGTCCAGCCAGAGGCCACACTGCAGAGGGACCCAGAAAGGGGAGCTGTGGCTCCAACTATTAATAGAAGGGGATGGATTTGAGAAGAAATGACAGAAACTTGGCTTCTAACCACCCCCCGGTAGAGAACCAGCCACGTTGAGCCCAGAAATCAACCCAGCTATGGCTAAGGGTGCCGGTGACAGGTTCTTACCAACTGGGTGTGTCGCAGAACTGAAGGGCTGGCTCCCCTCCGAGTGCACCTGTGCTGGAGTGAATGGCTCTGAAGGAGACCTCATCTTCATCCTTCCAATAAACTAGGCTAGGAATCCTCACACTGAGTTAAACCCTGTGAGGTCAACGCTTCCTGCTCCATACCTTCAGGGCTCCCAGCGTGCCAGTGTTCCCTGGCCCTCTACAGCCGGTGGCCAGCTGCTTCCCACTGACCTCTTACCAAGGCTGCTCTCCACGCCCACGGCAGCCCCCGTTCTGGCTGGGTTCCTGTTCTGGCTCATGTGCCTCCCCTACAAAGCCAAAGAGTGCCAAGTGGGTGCCAGCCCCCACCTGCTCCTCAGATGCTGTGGTTGCCCCAGGTGGTGACGGAGCCCACCCCCTATGCTGCCCTTTGCCCCATCCTGGTCACTGGTCTGTGTCCCAGCTGATTGGCCAGACATGAGTCCTCAGGACCCGACAGAGCAGATGCTGGCAAACACTTCTCTGTCCCCAGCCCCGGCAGAGGTGATGATAGCATTCAGCCAAGGAAACCGTGAGGGGCCATTTTGGAGCTGGGAGCACTGCAGCCTGCCTTGCGCTGGCTTGGCTCAGGGAACTGAGTCTCCGAGTCATACGCAGCCCCAGCCCTCTCCAGCACAGCCCCTTTTTTGGTGACTTGGCCTGTCAGGGGCTCATCAATGTCAGGACATGTCTAGATGTGTGGGCAAGAAGCCCTTGGCCTGACCTAAGTCCCCCCAGCCCTGTGGATGCTCACTGGGCCCCTCTGGACCACAGGCAGCACCTGGAGGACCGTGGGGCAGCCACTCACAGGGCCCTGGCTGTGTCTTGGTGATCACTGGTGCTCCCTCTGCTCTTGGAGCCATTAGTATCTGCCCCACAGTCCTCCTTGGTGAAGTGCGGGTGGGGTAGATTTTGGTGTGTTGCTTTGCTCTGTTTTCTGGCTGCAGGGGCAGAGGAAGGATGGAGAGGAGGCACACCTTCATTCAGTGAGGACTGACTCCTACCAGATTCTGCTGGCACCAAGGAAGGGCAGGGGTCCTGGGCCTGGGGGAAGGAGGCCCAAGGAGACACCAGAACACTGGGCAGGGATGCAGCAGGGAAGCTTCTCCCCTTGTCACCTCCCCCGACCCGGGGCCTCAGTTTGCCATCCGTAAAGTGAGGGTGTCAGCCTCAGCTCCCTGCAGGCCCTTCCACTCTGACAGCCTGCGGTGTGTTCCGTGAGTCCCTCCTTCCTTCCCCTGAGACTGTTAGGTGACTGGCAGCCCGACAGCTTTGGTAGACAGAGCAAAGAAAACAAATAGCGTTCCTTAAAAGACAGACGTGTGCACGATTGAAATTACAAACTGCAAATTGGCCCGCTCCGTGTGCTGACTCTGCGACACTCACTGCTCGGCTCCACGTGTGATGTGTGTGTCCCGGAGCGGTGGCTGGGATAGCAGAAAGATAAAAGGTGCCCCTATTTCCTCCCTGCTGCTCATTCTGTTCATTCATTCTCCTCACTCACTTCATTCATTCAGCAGCCATTGCTTAGCACCTTTTGTTTGCCAGGCACCCCACCACACCGGAGAAGGGACGGGTCCAACGGCACCCAGATTCCACACCTGCCCCTCTGCCCCACCCACCCATCTGGCTTGCACCTGCCCAGGTCCATGCCTCTGCCTGGGCTGCTCTCTCTTCTTTGGACACCCTGTTGCCTTTCCCTGAGCCAGCCCTGGTCAGCTCTTTCCTGCTTGAGTGTCTCCTTGAGGCTCTCCTCATGGGTCCACTGCCCTGGCTCTGTATGCAACTGTACGGTCACCCTCTTCTGCTAGATTCAGAGCCCTCAGGGAGCAGGGGCCATGGCTTATTCAGCTCAGGCTCCCCGGAGCTCAGTACAGGGCTGTGCAGGGAGTAGACACTCAGCAAATGTCACTGAATATATGGCAGGAAGGAGGGAGTGCTAGAGCTGAGAAAGAGGTAGTAAGTAGATAGAGGGATGACTGGTTGGATGGGTAATAGATTAATAAAAGATGGATGGGAGGATGGTTAGATGGATGGATGAGTGGATGGGTGGATGGATGGATAGGTGAGTGGGAGGGTGGATGGATGGATGCATGGGTAGATGGGTGGGTGAGTGGATGGATGGATGGATAGATGGATAGGATAGGTGGGTGGGTAAGTGGGTGGATGGATGGATGAGTGGATGGATAGGCGGGTGGGTGAGTGAGTGGGTGGCTGGATGGATGCATGCATGCATGGGTGGATGAGTGGGTGGACGGATGGATGAATGGATGGATAGATGGATAGGATAGGTGGGTGGGTAAGTGGGTGGATGGATGGATGAGTGTATGGATAGATGGATGGATAGGTGGGTGGGTGAGTGGGTGGATGGATGCATGCATGGGTGGATGAGTGGGTGGATGGATGGATGAATGGATGGATAGATGGATGGATAGGTGTGTGGGTGGGTGGGTAGATGGATAGATGGATGAGTGGATGGATAGGTGGGTGGGTGGGTGGGTGGGTGGGTGGGTGGGTGAGTGAGTGGATGGATGGATGGATGCATGGGTGGTAGATGAGTGGGTGGATGGATGGATGAATGGTTGGATAGATGGATGGATAGGTGGGTGGGAGGGTGGTTAGATGGATACATGGGTAGATGGGTGGGTGAGCGGATGGATGGATGAATGGATGGATAGATGGATAGATGGGTGGGTAAGTGGGTAGATGGATAGATGGATGAGTGTATGGATAGATGGATGGATAGGTGGGTGGGTGAGTGGGTGGATGGATAGATGGTTGGATCGGTTGGTGGGTGAGTAGGTAGATGGGTAGATTTACAAGTAGGTAGGTAAGTGAACTTCAAAAAAGAAGACAGGCACACAAACGCTCGGCCACTCTTAGAACTCACTTTTAATTTATCTATTTGAAGACATTCCAACCCCTTTGCAATTTTCTAGACTTCTAAACCTGACCCTGGATAAAGTACTCCTGAAAGTGCCACCTAAATAAAGCTTTTGAGGGCAAGTGACATCCAAGTCACCCAGGGCGGGGCCTCTGGGGCCCCAGAACAGCTTCAGTGCCATCCTCAGGGTCCCCATCATCCTGGAGATTTGGACCCCTGTCTCTGCCAGTCATGGTGCAGCGGAAGGAAGCCCCAGATCTGTCTCATCAGAAATCCCTTTGTTCAGCCGTTTCAGGATGCTGTTTAGGGCAGGCCAGGCGCAGCACCAGCGGCTGTGAGGATTGTCCTGGTGGTTGTGCAGTCATGCGTGGCCATTGTTCTTTCTGTAGGAGCCTCATGCAAGTTCAGTCTCCTCATCTGTTACATGAGGTTGGCTTGGATGCCGGGCGTGAGTTCTTCCCATTCTGACACTACCCACAGCATTAAGTCTGAGCCCCTCCGGGTAGATGTCAAGACTGGTGATGGACCCAATCAACCCGGTGCTGGGGCTCCAGTAAACCCAAACCACATCCTGCCCCCCACAGTCGGTTTGGTGCCCACCTCACCATCCTCCCAAATATCTGGCCCGCAGATAGTGAGGCCCTGCTGTGTGCCCACCTGCCTTCTCTCCTGCCCTGCTTTCAAGCCCCACAGGGGCTGCCTATGAGCCCACATTTGCCCAACCTGGCCCACGTCCTCTCCAACCTGTCCCTGGCCACACTGCATGCTTCCTATTCGTGGCCCACACCTGTGGGTTCTCTGAGGCACCAAACTCTGCCTGCCCAGGGCCTGTGCTGGAGTCACCTGAATTTGGCTGTCATTGGGCAGGGCTGATCTTCCCCTGCAAAGACCTGGACCCAGGGCCCAGCACCGCAGGTCTGTGGGGGAGATGAAACCACACAGGCCACCATGGCTTGGGGATATTTCAGGGCTCAGACTTGTTAAAGAGGGAAAGCTGGATGATCCTAGGGTCAGTGCTGCCCCTGTTCTTTTGGATTAGGTAACCTGGGCTCACAGCTGGTGGAATATAAAGAAGAAATGTACATCACATCAGACTGCGGACACACCTGGCGGCAGGTAAGCTGGCCGGGAGGTGCCCGGCACGGCACCCACCGCCCCGTTCAGCCGTGACCCTTAGGAGACAGCTCTGTTCTGTCATCCCGTCCATTCCACAGGTTCTGAGGGAGAAGCTCTGAGCCACGTCTCCTGTCTTGCAGCCAGCCCTCGTGGCTGGTCCAGGGCTCACTTTAGCAGATGTGCGTCTGCTGCATTTGGAAAGCAAGTCCAGGCAGCCGGCTCAGACCACCCAGCTGGTCTTTCCATGGCCACCGATGGGGAGTGACAGATACGAGAAACATCTCCACAGTCAGACGTGTCACTGCGAACGTCTGAGAAATGGGGATAAATGCCAGGGAACAGAGAGGGGAGGAGGTCCCGGCCAGGAGGCCATGTGGTGCTTCTGAGGCTTGACTGGGACTCTGTCAGGAGCCCAGAGAGAGGCCAGGAGAGGGCTACGGGAGATTTCAGGTTCCTGGCAGGGACTGTGGACACAGCAGGAGAGGATATGGGGGAGGAGCAGGTTGTGGGTGGGGGTCATCGTGAGTCTGGGTCGGGGTATCTGGGGGCTGTCCCAGGGTAATGACTTGAGGTGGCACTTCCGAGAAGAGAAGGAAGCGAGGAAAGGAGGGGTGTACTTAGGCAGGAAGCAGCCACTCCAGCAGCGCAGGACGGCCTGGGCAGGGCCCCTCTGCACTCTGTGCAGCCCCACTCGAAGCTCAGATTTGCAGACCAGAGGGGAAGGTGCTGGTGGTCCTCAGAGCATGGACATAGAGAGGCCAAGGAAGGCCAGTTGGTGCCGCGTGTCCTGTGAGGTCCAGGTGGCTCCAGGATCCAAGCCCAAGCTCCCCACTCCAGGAGCCTGGACTTGCTTTCCAAATGCAGCAGAAGCACATCTGCTAAAGTGAGCCCTGGACCAGCCACGAGGGCTGGCTGCAAGACAGGAGACGTGGCTCAGAGCTTCTCCCCCTCACTGTGCACTGGTCATTCCTTTCCAGTCGGGGGGACATGGTCTTCCTGGCTGAAGTTGGCCTGCCAACCTCATGGAGTGGCAGTGTCTGCCTTCTATACTAAGGAAATGAATCAAACTTACGTGCAACTCTCTCCTTCCAGACAAGACATTCTGTTTTAGGTCAGTGTTTTACATGCCTGAGTACCCCAGCCAGAGCCCCCTCCCACACAGCAGTGCTCTGGGCACATGTGACCACCCAACGTGCCACCTTCACCGGCAGCCTGGGTGGAAGGCCTTGACGTTTTTAAAAAATATGCAAGAAACATGGAATTTTCAAAAGGGCAGCAGCAATTTATTGTATTTTAATATTTCTATTTCACTAAAACTAGTGAAACATGCCTGAAGTTTCTTAAAGGTCACATCTGCCCATTTATTACAGAAGTTTCCCCCGCATTAGACTCAATAGACAGGGTGAAATAGAAGGTTTTCTAATTTTATAGGAACTGATTACAAGACAGTCATAGCAGTCTCTTTGGTCGAGCAATTAGCTTCGATTTCAAACTTGGGAATGTGGGAATTAAAGAGGAGAGCATCTGGGAAAGTGCTGAGCTGCGGCCTGGTCACAGCAGGGCAGGCAGGGTGCTCTTTCCCTTCCCGAAGGACGGTGGGGTGTGGACAGGCACCCAAAGGGAGAGAGCCTGTGTGTGCGGCAGGGGAGGGAGAGATGCTCCTGTGGGTTTTTTTTTTTTTTTAGTTTCTTGGGATGGGCTGGAGAGGAAGGATACCCAGGCAGGGGCAGAGTGGGACAGAGGCACAGAGGGCAGGGCGGTGAGCCCGGGCAGTCTCCACGGTTTCTCTGGCAGCCAGGTTGTCAGGGATGCATGGGAGATGCGTCTGAGAGAGAGCTCAGAATACGAATGCGGAACGCCAGCGTGCGTCTGGTGTAATCCACATAACCTTTCAAAACATGAGCTCTGGAGGATGATCTGTTTAAAGCCAGAAACCATCACGGAGCCCCTGGCTGAAACTCAGTGTGGGAGAGGCAGAAAAAGGATGAAGGGGGTACAGGGGCTCTGCTCTCCCCTCCCAGCCCTGCTGCTTGGTCAAGGCACTGGAAACCACAGCAGTGGATGTCTAAAGACCTTGCAGCCCTGCTAGTGGCGTTTGGAACACCCTGGAGCCACATTTACCCAGAGCCCCGGTCTAATGAGACCAGATGTCATTCCCGGGATGGCCAGAAGGCACCTGTTCATCTCCCCGTGGGTGGTCACAGCAACACCCCCCTGCCTGTGCTTGGGGAGGAGGGTGACTGGGACAGATGTCCAGGGGTCCCAGTGCAGAGCCCTGGTGCGCACTTGCTCAGGAGGCCAGCTCGGTACCAAAGGGAAATTGCACTCCAGGACTGTCAGGCTCTGGGAAGCCCACTGTCCCCTCACTGTGTCACAGCCTGCAGTTCAGCAGCCCCATCTCCCGCAGGGGACCCTCAGAGCAGCCGATTAGACCCCTGGTGGAGTCAGTGAAGGGGGCTGCAACCACACCCTAAAAGGGCAGGGAATGGTGCTTGGGCGTGGCAGGTGAGCTTTGCCAAGAGGCCCCTCTCCTTCAGCCTCACAGCACCCAGCGTGATCTCCACCATCCTCCTGGCCACATAGGATTCCACTGCTGTCCCCACGAGTGAGACTCGCTTCTCCTCGGATGATTCCTGAGACCCCTCATGTGAGGGAGCCTTGCTTCTCCTGGAATGTTCCCCAAGACAGAGAGCTCACTCTTCCCTGGAGAGGAGCCCTTTACTCAGGAATTCATTTTCCTCCTAAATCAGTTTGGGAGTCTCTAACGAGCCCCTGCCCCTCTGGTCCATCTCCCCCAGTGCCCAAGGAATCTTCTGAAAGGAAGTGTGCTTTTGTCACTCCCCAATCAAGCTTGGATGTCACACCGGCCTCCAAGCTGCCCGTCTGTCCCAGGGCCTCTCGGTGTGCCTCCAGGGCTCCAGCCCCAGCATGTGTGTCCAGCTCCCTGGACACAGCTGCCCTCCTGACCTCCAGGCCTTTGCCTTTGTTAACTGCCTGTGATGCCCTTGCCCCTCCGAAGGTTTCCCCAAGCTCCACCTGCCCTGTGAACCCCTCCCTGGGCTGCCCACTGACTCGAGTCTGGACTTTCCTTAAAACAAGACGTCATTTGTCCCCAAAACATTGGCTGAGCCCCTCGTCCTGTGGCAGGGCCCGGGCTGAACACTGGGCTTGGGGGGTGGAGATGACAGGGTTCCTCTCTAGCTGCTGGTACCCAGTGGGCAAGTCACTGTCACTGTGCAGGGTCTGCCTCCGTGGGGGTCTCTCCCTAGGCTGTGAATTCCTAGAGGCCAGGCCTGCATCTATGCCGGCACCTCCAACAGAGGCTCCAGACCACTGGGTCTGTGGGATGGGTAGATGGATGGGGAGGAGAACTGTACGAAGTTCTGTCTCATAGTCCCCCAGAATCTGTGCCTGTGACACCCTAAAGCCTACAGGCCATTAGCTTGCTTGTCCAGGAAACAGGTTCTATGAATGTTGCTGGAGGTGGTGTGCTTCTCTAAACATTTTCCTGAGCTAGCGTCAGACAGAGGACCAGGGCTTGGCAACTCCCCTGCCCCCACTCCACCCCCAGGCAGACAGGGCTGTGAACCCAGGCAGGAGCACAGAGTTTTGGGGGACATCTGGGGAGCCCCCAGGTTAACCCTGAGTCCCCACTCCAGCCTGTGACCCCATCACCCATAAGAGTGTGTCCCCATTTGTGTGGGGGCAAGATGCCCACAGACACAGTCCCCATGGAAGGGGCAGGGGTTGGTATCTGACAGTCACGAGTGGCCTCAGGCAAGTCACTGTGTCTCTGAGCCCCAGTATCTCTGGAAAATGGAGAATAATCTGAGAGCCTGGCTGTCAGTAAGATCCTGTGTGCAGCTTGCTCATGGACACAAGGTGGCTGCCTGGATCCAGCAAGTCCCAGATGGGCAGCAGCACCCCCACCAGGGTGGGGCTCATCCTGTTTGGTCCCGGTGATTCCACCTCCTGTGTCATTTTGCCTAACCTGACAGACCCCCACTCTAAACAGGAAGGAGTAAGGGAGGGAAGGAGGGAGAGGCGAAAACAGAGGGAAGGGGGAAGGGAGAGAGAAGAAAGAGAGGAGGGAGGGAGGAAGAGGGAGGGGGGAGACAGGAAGAGGGAGGAAGGTTTTGGGACACAACTGCCCACCCCCATCATTTTTCATAAGGAGCCTCTCCTCTTTATTCAAGGCAAACGTGCTTCCTGGAGAATTCCTGGGAGCTGTGGGCAATGCCAGCCGACTCTGATAAATAACCAGGGGAAATGCCTGGGGAGGGGCTTTGCAGGGCGGGAGCAGCATGTGCTGAGGGCCTGGGTGTATTTGGGGAAAGGAGCGAGGTGAGCAGGGGCCCCTCCTGTGGGGACCTGAGGCCATGGTAGGATTCCGGATTGACTCTAAGGGTCACAAAATATTGGAAAGTTCTGGTGGAATTGAGGGGTATGGGGATCAGGGGACCTGCTGGACACTGTGGCAGAGGGTGTGGCCTGCCGACACCCACCTGGGTCTGCTGGGGTTCGTGTTCCTGCAATGTGGGGCCTCGGTCCATGTCCTCCCTGGGGCCCTCCTGCTGCTTCCTGGAAACCCCAGCATTCAAACTCCAGGGGAGACTCCACAGGGAGGGGCAGACGAAAGACAGGGGCAGGTGTTTCTCTTTTAGAGTCCCCATTATTGTTCACCAGCTGCCCTGGAATATCCCCCCTAGAGCCTAGGGTGCCCCCAGCTCAGCCCCATGGGGACAGTGCACATGTGACCCCATTAGGCTCCACACCTGCCTGGAAGGGGTCAGCCGAGCCTCCCTACTTATCCTGCCCCACACACACGAAATTGCTGTGTGTGTATCCCTGGAAGCTCTGCACAGCTGCGCCTCCCCGGCTTAGGAGCCTGGCTCAGGTGGACGTGTCCATGGTCCCCCAGGGCTCCCGAGACTCTGAGCGCGCTGAGACAGATGAGCATGCTGGCCCTAGTGGGGGTGCCTGGGGTGGCTGTCCTCTGTCCTGGGGGGGCTGTCCTCCGTCCCTTCCTGGGCTTCCTTGTGCCCTGCTGTGGACCGCAGGCCTGGAAGATGGATGGGAGGAGGGTGGGAGGGCAAAGGGGGCCACTTTCGAGGAGGAGAGGTATGGGGTGAGGACGACATGGGGGAGACAGCAGCTCCCTTGCTGGGCAGTGCTGAGATACATGCTGACTGCCTGTACCTGCGTGTTCACTGGAGATTTGGGGCGGGCCCCACGTGTCCTGGTGTGACTTTGAAGCGATACCCAGCTCTGCCACCTTCCAGCTGTGAGGCCTTGGCATACCCTCCACCCCTCAGAGCCTCCTCATCCTCACATGTACAGTGGGACCCCATCCTGGGGCTGCTGGCCAACAGGCAAGGCCACCCTCCATGTCTCCTCCATGGGAGCTCTGTTCAGGCCACTCACTCTTGTCCCTTGGGGATGTGACGGTCAGTCATTCATTCACTGTTCCCTTATTCATTCCACTCACTCCCTGGGCACCAAGGTCTGGGCTGAGCTCTGCGGGGCACAGAAGCCTCAGAGCGGCCCTGTCTTTAGGAGCTTTGGCTGAAAGAGACAACATAGTGTAGTTAAGTGTTGGGGCATGGGCTAGGAGCCCAGAGGCTGTTCCCCACCCAGCCTGGCATCAGGGAGGGCTTCCTGGAGGAAGTGGCACTTGAGCTGAGTCTTCATGTCAAACTGAGGTATGCTTTGAGTGATGCTGTATATCCTAAATGTTCTTCTAAGATCTGCCATTTCTTCCTTACCTCCATGTTGCTGGCACTGTTCATGCATGGCTTTCACATAGAGAAGGCCGCGGGCCATGCCCCTGGGTTTTGACCCAGAGAGGGCCTCATGCCGTGCTCCTCTGCAGCTTCCTCATTCCAGTCAATAGGGTAGAAGCTGCTGTCCACCATTCGGTCCTGCAGGGTGTGCTGGGTCCACGTGGGCTGGGAGAGCTTGGGGCTGGCCCAGGACATGATGGCCCAGGGCAGGCAGGCCTCTGCCTTAGACCAGCCCCGGCCTCTGCCAGTGCCCCCACCCCCCGCCACCGCCCCATCTGCACGATGACCACCCTCCTCCCAGGTGCGACTCTGCCTAGAACGACCTCTGACCTTCTCAGGGCCCTGCCTTCAGCCCCCTCTGCCCCCACTCTCCCCTGCAGGTGTTTGAGGAGGAGCACCACATCCTGTACCTGGACCACGGCGGGGTGATCGTGGCCATCAAAGACACCTCCATCCCCTTGAAGATCCTCAAGTAATGGCATCTGCTAGCCTCGGGCTGGGCGGGTGGGCTGTGGGGTGGGACAGGGCTCTTTCTTTCCACCTGGGAACCCTCTCAGACTATTCCCCAGAATGTCCTCCCCTTGGGGACACAGGACCACAGGGCAGCAGCACTAAACCCTAAAGACCAGGGCTGGGGCATGCTTCACAAAGCCTTCCTGAGAGCTCACAGGGTGGCCTTTGTCCTGCCCTCGGGAGACGGCACAGAGGGAGGCCCCTCCCCGCCTGGGGAGCCAGGAGGGCCTTCCCCGAGGAGGTGAGGAATTAGTAACATGCAGGGATTGGGGCCAGGCGACCCAGACAAGGAAGTCAGCAGCATATGCCCAGGTGAGAGGGGTTGGCAGCTGAGGGCCTTCACGGGGAATGGAGGGCAGGCGTGAACTTGGGACCCAGAAGGCACAGCCAGAGCAGCTGCCAGGAGCCAGTATCACTGTAGTGTGAAAAAGAGCTTACTCTTCTGCAGGTTGGTGGCACTACAATATCGGCCCTGCCTTGGGCCTGGTACCCCGGGCCAGGCTCAGGCCGTGGATGGGGCCATTCAGGGGATGCAGAGTGTCTGAGGGCTTGCAGCGGGAGGTGGGTAAGCAGCTGTGATACCACCTGCATAGGCGAGGCAGGTACCGCAGCCCTCGCCCCCCACCAGGACCCGCAGGGCAGAGGAGACACAGGGAGCATTCCAGCCCACCGGAGGCACTGACGCCCTTCTCCCGCAGGTTCAGTGCGGATGAGGGCCTCACCTGGAGCACGTACAACTTCACCAGCACCTCAGTGTTTGTGGACGGGCTGCTGAGTGAGCCAGGGGACGAGACACTGGTTATGACGTGAGTGCTGGGACAGGGGTGTGGGTGCCGGGCGGCGGGACAGAGCCTTCCAGCAGGCAGGCCGTGCTGGGCCTACTGTGTCCTTCACCCCCAGCCACCTGGGAACCAGGAACATCTGCCACCTGCCCCAGGTCCCCTGGCTGGCAAGGGCAGGACTGAGGCTCCAAGCCGGCTCCACCATAGCCACAGCACCTCTCGAGCTGGAGATCATGTCATGAGTATCACTAACTGTTGGTACCTTTCTCAGTCATATGGCATGAAGGTCATAAGGCTTAGGGCCTGACACCCAGTCAGGCAGTATAGGGCGGAGCTGGCTGTGACCTGCCTGTCACCCATCCTGGGATCTGAGGCTGCAGCACTGGTCCTGCCCAACTTCCTTCTGCTCAGCCCCAGCTTGGGCCAAACAAGGCACCGTGAGGGACAAAGGGGCCTCAGGAGCCTCTGTCATTCACAGCCTCTCTGCCCCAGGAGCAGAGACGTGGAGGACAGCGGGGACACGCAGGGTTTGACTGTACCTCTGAGGCTGCAGTGGGGAAGAAGGTGGTCCCCAGGAGCCAGTGAAGTGAAGGCCCCTCTGGGTGCCTTCAACCGTGGGCACTGGTGAGAGCCCAACTGATTCATGGCTGGGCAGGGCCTGCATGTCTAACGGCACCTGAGACCCTGCCCTGCGGCAGGGTAGGCCACCATGTCCTCTTCCTGCCTTTCATGGCGATGCCTGAGATGTTTGAATAGAGTTTCCCAAATTCATGTCCCCTCTGGAACCGTGTTGGGCCCTTATTTGGAAATAGGGTCATCGTAGACGTGATCAAGCCAAGATGAGTATCTGGAATAGAGCAGATGCCAGCCCAGTGACCGTCCTGCCAGAAGGGCACAGGCAGGCCTGGGAGGAGGAGGCAGGGGTGGAGCTGAGCAGCTGCCAGTCCAGAAACACCTGGCCGCAGGTGGATGGGGCAGGAAGGCTCCTCCCCTCAAGACCCTGGAGGGAGCTCAGCCCTGCCAACCCACAATTTCAGCCTTCTGGCCTCCAGAGGACCGAGAGCACATGTGCAATGCTTCAGCGTGGGAGAGCGTGTGTGATGACTGAAACCAGCAGAGTTCATGGTCATTTGCCAAAGTGGCCCCAAGAAGCTGCCAAGCAGCCATGACTCTTCCACCTCGAGGCAGGGGCTCAGGGAGATTGGACGCCTGGATTTTGGACACCTTGTCCTCTTCTCTGTCCTTTCTGGAGCAGGCAGGCCCTGCCCTACCCATTCCCTGTAGAAGAAGTTGGGCACTGTGCCCCTCACCCCTGCCCACTCGGCTGGAGTGGCTGTGTGCTCTGTGGCAGGTGTCCACTCGGCTGGAGTGGCTGTGTGCTCTGTGGCAGGTGTGGCTTTATGACTTGGGACTGGTTCTCTGACTGTGGCTTCAGTAGGAAGTGCTGGCCTGGCTCATTCATCAGTTCACACCCCGAGTTTTCCCTTCCAGCTGGTAATGGGCCTTAACGTCCTTGACCCTGACTGCATCTTCTACTGGCCCCTGAATGTCCAACAGGGGCCCACAAAGATAAGCCTCCAAGAATTTCTGACCCCAGCCCCAATCTCCCTCCATGTGCCCTGCCCTCCCCAGCAGGTACATAGCTCCCAGGAGGCCATGGGGACACAGATCCAGGCAGTGGGGAGCAGGCCTGGTTTTGGAAAGAAACTGCCCAGCTAGGACAATGTTGCCCACCCCGCCCAGGCTGGCCTCTGCCTGGGCAGGGGTGAGGCTGGGGTCTGTAGACAGGTGTAAGGCCGAGGTCTGCCTGGGAAGGGGTGAGACCAGGGTCTGTGTACAGGGGTGAGGCTGGGGTCTGCCTGGGCATGGGTGAGGCTGGGGTCTGCCTGGGCAGGGGTGAGGCCGGGGTCTGTGGACGGGGTGAGGCGGGGGTCTGTGGACACGGGTGAGGCGGGGGTCTGCCTGGGCAGGGGTGAGGCCGTGGTCTGTGGACAGGGGTGAGGCTGGGGTCTGCCTGGGCAGGGGTGAGGTTGGGGTCTGTGGACAGAGGTGAGGCCAGGGTCTGTGGACAGGTGTAAGGCTGGGGTTTGCCTGGGCAGGGGTGAGGCTGGGCTCTGTGGACAGGGTTGAGGCCGGGGTCTATGGACAGGGGTGAGGCTGGGGTCTACCTGGGCAGAAGTGAGGCTGGGGTATGTGGACAGGGGTGAGGCTGGGGTCTGCCTGGGCAGGAGTGAGGCTGGGGTATGTGGACGGGGTAAGGCTGGGGTTTGCCTGGGCAGGGGTGAGGCTGGGGTCTGTGGACAGGGGTGAGGCCGAGGTCTGCCTGGGCAGGAGTGAGGCTGGGGTCTGTGGACAGGGGTGAGACTGGGGTTTTCCTGGACAGGGGTGAGGCTGGGGTCTGTGGACAGGGGTGAGGCTGGCGTCTGCCTGGGCAGGGGTGAGGCTGGGGTCTGTGGACAGGGGTGAGGCTGGGGTCTGTGGACAGGAGTGAGGCTGGGGTCTACCTGGGCAGAAGTGAGGCTGGGGTATGTGGACAGGGGTGAGGCTGGGGTCTGCCTGGGCAGGAGTGAGGCTGGGGTATGTGGACGGGGTAAGGCTGGGGTTTGCCTGGGCAGGGGTGAGGCTGGGGTCTGTGGACAGGGGTGAGGCCGAGGTCTGCCTGGGCAGGAGTGAGGCTGGGGTCTGTGGACAGGGGTGAGACTGGGGTTTTCCTGGACAGGGGTGAGGCTGGGGTCTGTGGACAGGGGTGAGGCTGGGGTCTGCCTGGGCAGGAGTGAGGCTGGGGTCTGTGGACAGGGGTGAGACTGGGGTTTTCCTGGACAGGGGTGAGGCTGGGGTCTGTGGACAGGGGTGAGGCTGGCGTCTGCCTGGGCAGGGGTGAGGCTGGGGTCTGTGGACAGGGGTAAGGCTGGGGTCTCACGGGGCAGGGGTGAGGCCGGGCTCTGCCTGGACAGGGGTGAGGCTGGAGTCTGCTTGGGCAGGGGTGAGGCGGGGGTCTGTGGACACGGGTGAGGCGGGGGTCTGCCTGGGCAGGGGTGAGGCCAGGGTCTGTGGACAGGGGTGAGGCTGGAGTCTGCTTGGGCAGGGGTGAGGCCGAGGTCTGTGGACAGGGGTGAGGCCGGGGTCTGCCTGGGCAGGGGTGAGGCTGGGGTCTGTGGACAGGGGTGAGGCCGGGGTCTGCCTGAACAGGGGTGAGGCAGGGGTCTGTGGACAGGGGTGAGGCCGGGCTCTGCCTGGACAGGGGTGAGGCTGGAGTCTGCTTGGGCAGGGGTGAGGCCGGGCTCTGCCTGGACAGGGGTGAGGCTGGAGTCTGCTTGGGCAGGGGTGAGGCCGGGGTCTATGGACAGGGGTGAGGCTGGGATTTGTGGACAGGGGTGAGGCCGGGGTCTATGGACAGGGGTGAGGCTGGGTTCTGTGGACAGGGATGAGGCTGGGCTCTGCCTGGGCAGGGGTGAGGCTGGGCTCTGCCTGGACAGGGGTGAGGCCGGGGTCTGCTTGGACAGGGGTGAGGCCGGGGTCTGTGGACAGTGGTGAGGCTGGGGTCTGCCTGGACAGGGGTGAGGCCGGGGTCTGTGGACAGGGGTGAGGCTGGGGTCTGCCTGGACAGGGGTGAGGCTGCGGTCTGCCTGGACAGGGGTGAGGCTGCAGTCTGCCTGAACAGGGGTGAGGCTGGGGTCTGTCTGGACAGGGGTGAGGCTGCAGTCTGCCTGGACAGGGGTGAGGCCGGGGTCTGTGGACAGTGGTGAGGCCGGGGTCTGTGGACAGTGGTGAGGCTGGGGTCTGCCTGGACAGGGGTGAGGCTGGGGTCTGCCTGGACAGGGGTGAGGCTGCAGTCTGCCTGGACAGGGGTGAGGCCGGGGTCTGTGGACAGTGGTGAGGCTGCAGTCTGCCTGATCAGGGGTGAGGCTGGGGTCTGCCTGGACAGGGGTGAGGCTGCAGTCTGCCTGAACAGGGGTGAGGCTGGGGTCTGCCTGGACAGGGGTGAGGCTGCAGTCTGCCTGGACAGGGGTGAGGCTGCAGTCTGCCTGGACAGGGGTGTCCCCTCATTTGTAGGGGAGGTTGGGCAGACACAGCCCCTGAGTTCCCCTGGCTGCTGCGGCTGGAGCTGGGAGCACAGCCTTGGAAATCACCACCACTGACCCCTGCTGCTTTCATGCCCACCACCCCTCACACCCACCCACACTCAACCAGCTCTGCTGCTTGACAATGAAAGAAACCGAGGCTCTGAGAGGGGAGGTACGTCGGCTAATGTTGCAGGGGAAAGCCTGTGGCTGAGTCCAGCTCAGACAGCACTCCTGGGCAGCTCTGCGGGCAGCAGCCTGTCCTCTCCGGCAGAACAGAGATGAGAAACCCTTCAAGGATGCTCCTCTGCTCTGTCGTCAGCCAACGTGCATTAATTGAGCACCGACTATGTGCCAGGTGCTTTTGAGACGCTGGGAGGGTCAGCAACACAGCACACTCCAGCCCTGGCTTCAGGGACATCTGGTGATGGAGAACGGGAACTTGTCCTCACACTCAGAGGACACCTAGCCTGCCTCCCAGCTCCTGGCCAAGGAGGATGGAAGCTGGACGTCGGATTTAGCAGCAAGAAGCCCTCAGTTCCAGCTGAGCCAGGGGGGGAAACCAGGCTTTGGGAAACCGAGATTGCGTGGGGTGGAAGGACAGGGACGTGCTGAGTGTGGACCCCTCTCGAGGTGTTTGAGATGAGATGGTCAGCAACTGTGTGAATTTCTGCCACCTTCAATTCCGCCCCAGCCCAGGAGCGCCTTGCTTGCCACCAGGCCTGGGCTGCCTGGCCTTACCCTCCATGGATCTGATCCTGTCTGCAGGGCCCGCCCAGGGCTGCAGGAGGGACTGACTGCTGGCTTCACTGGTGCGTACCCCGGACAAGCACAGCACCGGGTGTGGAAGAGGGTCTTGGCGCTCAGTGAACGTGGCTTGAACAGATACATGGCGATGCACCAGCAAAGGTGACGTAGGGGTGGAGACAGTCGCTCAGGGGCGAACTCGTGCACGAACCGCCCACGGGGACCTGGCTGGGGAGAGGAGACCTGGGCCGATCACCCCCAGGACCAGGGCCCAGCACAGCTCACAGGGCCCTGCCGCCTCTCCAGATCTGGGTGCTTCTCTCCAAGCCAACGTCCCTGGGCGATGGAGCACACATCCTGCACCTTGGTTTCCACAGCCCTGAAATGGGAAGTGAGCCGGATTGAGGGGCTGCCCAGGAAAGGACAGTTCCCTTCCAGATACCTTGGCTTCCTTGTCTGTAACATGGGGACTTAATCACCCCCACCCCAGGTCACCGGAAATGAGCCCTCAACTGATGCCACCTGTGATGCTTGGGGTCTTCTCACTTTCTGGGTGATGAGCAAGAAGTCACCTGCTTAGACTCTGATTCTCGTGTAGAGGCCCGATCTCTGCCCACTCCACAGCAGACAGAGAGGTCCCGCTGGCTTGTGGTGGGATTGAGGGGATGCTCGAGACAGTTCTGTCCTCACCTGGAGTCCCGGGCCGCGGGAGCATTATTTCCAAGGTGAGGGTCCTCTCACTGGTCTCACTGAGCATCCAGCGCCCGCTGCAAAGTCATATCTAGGCCCCTTCAGCAGCTCTTTTCTAAGAATTAACTAGATGGCAGGTATTTCTCATGGCATCAGCTGAGGATTTAGGTTTCATGAAAGGCGGGACTTCAGAAATGTGAAGAGGGTTAATCCGTCAACCAAACGGGCCTCTCTGCTCTGCCCCAGCTCAGAACAGCGGTGAGACGGGTGGTGAGAGCGGGGCCTCCCCGGGGTTTCTGCAGCAGTGGGGCCGTCGGTGTCGTGCTAAGCCAGCGCCCGCCATGTTTCCGCGCAGAGCCTCACATCTCCGGAGCCTCCTGCCCGGGTTCCAACACCGGCCCCTCCAGGAGGTGGCCTGAAGCTGTGCTGTCCTGGGCAGGTCCCTGGCCTCAGCCTCAGTTTCCGTGTCTGTAAAAGGGGGCTTTGTCGAGGAGGAGATGGAGGGATACGGGGTTGAGCGTGTGCCCAGCCTGGGGTGGGCGCTCCGTACGCATTGGCGGCTGCTCTGCTGTGCCTTTCCTGATGCCACGGGTCGCAGGAGCGCGTGAGGATGCGCTCAAAGATCTGGAAATTGCCCCTTAAAAAACATTTCTTGAGAGAAGACCTCAGACTGTTGAAGAGGCCAGTGCAGCAGCCTTTGTTGAAGGAAGATCCCCCATGTGTTGAGCTGGAGCTCTGCAATGTGGCGTCCATCAGGAGACAGACAGCAAGTGGGACCTCATCCCAATACAGGTGCCCTGGAGCCGAGACCACTCACAGCTGGGGCCACCATGCAGACCACGAGACTCCCGTGGGAAACGGCGCCTGCAGAAGCAGGCAGACGCGGCAGAGTCACAGCCACACCTGGGGACCTCCCCTGTCCTTGGTGGGTGTTGCCATGAGCAGCTAGGAGGCCTCAAGCCCCATTTTCCCTCCCCTCTGAGAAAGAAAGAGTGGCCTGGGGCTTGTGACCTCCATGTGCAGGGAAGACAGCAGATGGAATCGTGAGCCCAGAACCAAGGGCCCGGCTGGAATGAGGACTGGCAGCGACGTGGCAGGAATGCGGGGCGGAACCCGCCTCGCTGCTCCTGCAATGAGCCGGCCTTATGGGAGCACAAGGAGGCAGGGTCCCCCAGGAGAAGGTCAGGAGAAGACAGAGGGAGGCCCCATGCCCAGCCTGCAGAGGCTTAGGGTTTCATCAAACAAAGATAATAGTGTCTGCCCCGTGGGACTGTTCCGGGGAGCGGAGGCAAATGCGAGGTCACAGATGTAGTTGAAGCGTGAACCGCACAGGCCTGCCTGGCTCAGAGGTGCCCCGTGGAGCCGAACCTTCAAATATTAGCCTCAGACACTCAGGCCCCGGCATCATGTGCTCAGAAATACCTACAAGACCTTTCTCAACACCACCTTAGAATGGGGCTGTCCTTTCAGCTCACAATGGGCCACCCTCAAGTATCCAGGCCCAGTTGGAGGTGCTCGACGGGGACTAGACTGGAGCAGCACGCATCACCTCCCCTACCCAGATGCTTGGCCTCTGGTAACATGGCCAGAGCACCACAAGCTGGACTAGAGAAAGCTGGGCCCACCTTCTGGGGTGGTCTTTGGAGCCTAAGTGTGCGATACCGGGGGATGGAGTGGAAGGCACTCAGCCAGCAGCCCTCCCAGCGGGGGAGACATTGGGACACCCAAGGGCCATTCTGAGTGATGGGCACTCAGCAATGACTGCTAAGTGTCAAGCAGGGCGAAGGAACAGCACAAACAAGCTGTGTGACCTTGGGCAAGTTACTCAACCTCTCTGCGCCTCGGACCCAGCCCACCAGGCTGTGCATGCATAGCTTCCAGCACACACGGGTGTGCCCTAAGTGGCCAGCCTCCCTATTCTCTTCTCCTCTTCCTCTGTTCCTCTGCCCACCTAGGCTGTGATGGCTGAACCCTGCTTCTCCCACGGGCTCTGAGCTGGGCCTGCTGACTCGTTATTTCTCTTTGAATCACCACCTCTGCTAGGGAGCAAACGCCCTGTGGCCCAGCGATAGAAAGCTGGGTTTCTGTAGCACGGGACCTTCACACGGGAAAGCCAGGGAGAAGGCGGACAGCCACAGACGCAGACGCCTGACCACAGATCACTCCGCAAAGCATAATGCAAGGACCAGTGTGGGGGCTGTGGAAGGGCTCTCAACCCTGCTGTGGACCTGGGCCTCCTTCCCTGTCCATCAACCAGGGCTCTCAACCCTGCCGTGGACCTGGGCCTCCTTCCCTGTCCATCAACCAGGGCTCTCAACCCTGCCGTGGACCTGGGCCTCCTTCCCTGTCCATCAACCAGGGCTCTCAACCCTGCCGTGGACCTGGGCCTCCTTCCCTGTCCATCAACCAGGGCTCAACCCTGCCGTGGACCTGGGCCTCCTTCCCTGTCCATCAACCAGGGCTCTCAACCCTGCCGTGGACCTGGGCCTCCTTCCCTGTCCATCAACCAGGGCTCTCAACCCTGCCGTGGACCTGGGCCTCCTTCCCTGTCCATCAACCAGGGCTCTCAACCCTGCGTGGACCTGGGCCTCCTTCCCTGTCCATCAACCAGGGCTCTCAACCCTGCCGTGGACCTGGGCCTCCTTCCCTGTCCATCAACCAGGGCTCTCAACCCTGCGTGGACCTGGGCCTCCTTCCCTGTCCATCAACCAGGGCTCTCAACCCTGCCGTGGACCTGGGCCTCCTTCCCTGTCCATCAACCAGGGCTCTCAACCCTGCCGTGGACCTGGGCCTCCTTCCCTGTCCATCAACCAGGGCTCTCAACCCTGCCGTGGACCTGGGCCTCCTTCCCTGTCCATCACGGGGGGCTGTGGGGGATCAACCAGAGTGACCCATGCCAGTGCAATTGACACCTCATAGATCACGGCTGGTAGCTGTGGGAATATTCTCATGAAAGCCACGCTCAGTGCCCGGGGCAGCCTCACTCTGATCCCCAGCAAGGGCAGGAGAGGGATCTCTGTGCCCATGGTACAGATGGGAACAGAGTCCGGACGGGACATGGTTTGCAAGGCAGGACAAGGCCTAATGAAGGTGGCTTCTCTCCCTTCCCTCCTCTTCCCACCCCAGGGTCTTTGGCCACATCAGCTTTCGCTCCGACTGGGAGCTGGTCAAGGTGGACTTCCGGCCCTCGTTCTCCAGGCAGTGCAGCGAGGAGGACTACAGTTCCTGGGACCTGTCCAACCTGCAGGTGGGCCGGGATGGGGCTGGACCGGGCAGGCGGGGCGCAGGCTGCAAACACAGGCCCACTCTGCCTGCCAGAGTCCTCCCCGGCAAGCACCTCCCTGCCTCCAAGAAGTCTTCAGGGAATCCCAGTGCCTTTAGATGCCCAGGCCTCCTGTGGACTTCCTAGACCTTTCTGGGTCATGGGGCTACCTGGGCTGAGGGTCCTCAGCCACACTCGGGGAGTGTAGGGCCACAGGCTCTATCCCAGGCCCGTGGAGTCCAGTGTGCTTGGAGGTCAGGATTTTCAGATCTTAGGAAGGTAACACAGGCCTGTACCATATAAGACAGTTGGGTCTGGGTGTGGAGTGGGGTCTGGGGCGAGCCCTCCCTGTAATCGAGACACATAACTATTTCTATGGCAACTGTGTAATATTGACACTAGGCGGAGTAAGTGGAGTGTAAAGGCCATCAGTCCCCCTCTGTGGTTCCAGTCAGGCTGTGCTGTTGGCAGTGTGGTGGGGAAGCCTGGGATTTCAGAGCATGGGGACCTGGAACTGCTGGGGGGATGGGTAGTTCAGTTAAAGAAGAAATGATTCACTGGTGCTTGTTAAAGCATGGGGTGGAAGACTTTACGCCGGGCCATCACGGCGGGCACAGGGACCCTCTCCAAGGAGAGACTGGGCTCAACTCGAATTCAGCATGGGCAAATGCAGTTCAGAGCCAAGGTCAGTGGGTGGAAACTGACTAAGGAAACAGCAGGCATCAGAGGATCTGACATCTCCAAGCCTCTCTGACAGGGAGGGCGATGGGATATCACCTCAGAGAAACCTGGAGGGCTGCCTGGAGGAGGTGAGGGTGGGCGGTGCTTAGCAGGGTGCATTGCTGAACCTGGATTTCACAAGGAAGTGCTCAGATGGGCCTAGGAGGAGGTCCAGGAGCCTGAATACAGGCCACCAGGCGTCCTCGCTGGTCCTGCCCTGTCACTGCTATAGCAGCCTGTCCTGATTGTCCCCCGAGGGCCCACTGTGTGCCTGTGAGCCCTTGAAGCTGTGGCTCCACCCAGCTCCCTGCACAGCACCTGAGGGGACGGGGGAACCTCAGAGGGGCTGCACTTCCAGCAGCACTGTGACCCCTTGGATTCTGCCAGGGCTGCACACAGGAGGGGCTCAGCAAATGCCCGTGGGTTGAGATGAGAGAGAGGCTTCCCCAACTTGACCTCAGACATGGCATGATTCATTCTGGGCCTCAGTTTCCCCATCTGTAACCTGAGGCATCAGCCATCTTCAGTCTGTGGCAGGCTCAGCGCCACAAGCCCACGTAGAGCAGTTGACCTGTCTTGGGCAGCTCCTCACCCTGATGTTCCTGCCACAGGGTGACCACTGCATCATGGGCCAGCAGAGAAGTTTCCGGAAGAGAAAGTCTACGTCCTGGTGCATCAAGGGGAGGAGTTTCACATCAGCACTCACATCCCACGTGTGTGAGTGCCGGGACTCGGACTTCCTGTGGTGAGCAGTGGGCTCCGAGCCGAGGGGCCTCAGGCATTGCTTGAGCATCCTCACAGCATGGTGGCCGCTTCCCCCAGAGTGAGGGAGGAAGCCTCGGTGCCCTTTTATAACCTGGTGTCAGAGTCATACACTGCCACTTCTGCCTCACGCTATCTGTTAGAACTGAGTCACCAAAACCAGCCCACACTCCAGGAAGGAGCTGTAAGGAATTAAAATGTGGGTGCATTTTAAACCCCTCAGTGGCTGCTCATGGGCAGGAGGAGAAAGTGAGGAACAGGTCAGGGCATCTTGGGGACATGCTGCACCCACCCTGGCTCTCTCCATCCAGGGGCTCTGCTGAAAGCCACCCAACTTGTCCCTTGCTGTTCTCAAAAGCTGCCTGTGACTGCCCAGTGCCCACAGGACAATTTGACAGCTCACACACCTGCCACCCACCTCACCCCTCCTCATTCCTGCCCCATGGCATTCCAGCCTCCTTTCTCTCTCTCTTTCCCTACCTGTCTCTGTCCATCCTTTGATATTGCTCACCTCCTCCAGGCAGCCCTCCAGGTTTCTCTGTTTCCAGCATCCCTTTGCGTCCCTTGTCACCCTGTGTCCCACTCTGGGATTGGGCTATGGGTGTTCCTTCATGTCCTCACAGATGGGTGTACAGCAGGCCCTTGGTATAAGATTCCCTTCTCAGCTCCCCCAGATTTCACCCCAACCCTAGCTGACTCCGGTTCCCACCTGTGCCTGTCACCTACTACTGCTCTTCCCTCCTCCCAGCGACTACGGATTTGAACGCTCCCCCTCCTCAGAGTCCAACACCAACAAGTGCTCTGCCAACTTCTGGTTCAACCCCTTGTCCCCGCCTGACGACTGTGCCCTGGGCCAGACCTACACCAGCAGCCTTGGGTGAGTGTGGGCACAGGTCTCTCCCTGCCCGAATCTGGGGGCAGAGTATGGTACAACCCCGAAACCGTGCATTCCTGGCTGGCGCCTGCAGCTCCCAACTGGAGTTGAGGAAAGACAGGTCAAAGCTGAGGATGCCCTGTGTTCACAGCACAGAGCCTGGCTGTGGGGCTCATGGGAGTCACCAGACGTGATGAATGAATGACCTTAGAACCTGCAGGGTTCTCCCATCCAAGCCCGTGTGGGCCAGCACCAGGAGAAAGCCGCCTTGAGCTGGGTCTGGACAGAGAACAGCAGACAGAAAAGGCCCAAGGCGCCCATGGCTCCCACCTGAGGCAGCACATCTTCCCCTGGTATTTCTGAGCCTCTGCAGTGCTAGGACGATTCCCCATTTACCAGTGCCCCAGTAAGCCAGGCCATCCCCCGTCACCAAAGCTTGGGTGCTGGAGGTGCTCCTGCTGCCTGCAGGTCTCCGCTTAAATGGCACTTCCTCCAGGAAGCCTTCTCTGACCACCCACCCCTGACCCTGAGCTTACCTCTGTCACAAATCCCAGCTGTTGTCATCACTCACTTAATTGTCCTTGTTGCTGAACTGTAAGCTCCACAACACGTAGTGGGTACTCCTTCAGTCTGTGGTATGCTACGCAAGAGCTGTGTGTGAAGAGAAGCTGTCAGCAAGTACCAGCAGTTAGGATCCTTTTCCTCCACCAGAGGCTGGGCACCTTGCTATGAAGGATTCGCTTCGTGTAAAATGTTAAGTACAGAAGAGCTGTGGGTCTTCCTCTTTAGGAGGTCATCGAAAGGTCCCAATTTCCCCATTTCTCTATAAGGACATTTTCAGAGAGGAAGAGAAAAGCCCATGAGTGTATTAGAAAATCCCCATTACTTCCCCTGGGGAACATGAGGGAACAGGAGACAGGACCAGAAAGCTTCTGGTGCAGCCTTGACCTGCCATCCACCCACACATCCATGCAGTCACCCAGCATCCCCCATCCACCCATCTATCCATCCGTCATCCATCCGTTCATTCACCATCCATCTATCCATCCATCTACCCATTTATCTACCACACATCCATGCAGTCACCCAGCATCCCCCATCCACCCATCTATCCATTCATCATCCAGTTAGCCATCACCTGTCCATTTAACCAGCCATTCAGCCATCCATCTTTCCATTCATCCTTCCATTCTTCCAAGCATTCAACTACTATCCATTCATCCCTCTATCTATCCATTTACCCATCCATTCATCCATCTGTCCATCCACCATCCATCTATTCATTCACCATCCATCTATCCATCCGTCATCCATCCGTTCATTCACCATTCATCTATCCATCCGTCATCCATCCATTCATTCACCATCCATCTATCCATCTGTCATCCATCCGTTCATTCACCATCTATCTATCCATCTGTCATTCATCCATTCATTTACCATCCATCTATCCATCTGTCATCCATCTGTTCATTCACCATCCATCTATCCATCCGTCATCCATCTGTTCATTCACCATCCACCTATCTATCCATCTATCCATCCATCATCCATCCGTTCATTCACCATCTATCCATCCATCATCCATCTGTTCATTCACCATCCATCTATCTATCCATCTATCCATCCGTCATCCATCCGTTCATTCACCATCCATCTATCCGTCATCCATCCATTCATTTACCTATCCATTTATCCTCTCATCAATTCATCCATCCATCCTTCCAAGCATTTGTCCACTATCCACCTACCCATCTATCCATCCATCATCCATCGACCCATCCATCCATTCATTCACCATCCATCTATCGATCATCCATCCATTCATTTACTTATCCATCTATCCACCCATCAATTCACCCATCCATCCTTCTAAGTATTTGTCCACTATCCACCTACCCATCTATCCATCCATCATCCATTCATCCCTCTACCCATCCATCTGTCCATCCACCATCTGTCCATTCACAATCCATCTACCCATCTATTCATTCATTCACCTATCCATCTATCTACCCATCAATTTACCCATCCATCCTTCCAAGCATTTATTCGATATCCACCCACCCATCTAACCATCCATAATCCATTCATCCATCTATCCATCCACCATCTGTCTATTCATTCACCATCCATTAACCCATCCATCTACTTATCTATCCGTCTACCCATGCACCCATGTATCATGAAGCTGCAGTGGTCTTTCCTGCATGTCCACTGGGGCTTGACAACAGGGACTCTTGTCTAAAGTCTCAGAGCCAGGACCTTCACCAAGGCAAAGGATTTCATCTCATGCCATCTGCACACTGCAGGTGCTGCAGGTGGGTGGTCCTTAGAGAAGTATATTTTCTGTCAAAGTGCTAATGAAACGGGCCTGTGCATGATCACCTTCTGAATGCTTACTCAGTGGCTGAGCCAGCTGGGAGATTTTGGCCCTGAGGGCAAGAGGGGGACACGCCCCTGAGGGCGTGGGGGAGACAGATACCCCAGCACCTGGGCAGCAGCGCTGCTTTCCCAGACTCAGAATCCTAGTATTGCCTGGGGGAGCTTCACAAGCTGCATGAGGCCACTGCTGGGTGGTTTTCAGGGGCTCCTAAAAGCTCGCCCAGGGCCCCTATCCACCTCAGGCCACACCTCCCCCCCTCCAGGCTCAGCACCCACCCTAGGGCCTTTGCACATGCTGTTCCCGTGGCCTGGGATACTCTTTCTTCTCGTGCTCACCCTCACAGTCTCAGCTGAAAGCCCCTTTGTCAGGGGCCAGGTCCCCAGGGGTGCCCAGCCAGCACCGCCGCAGCTGTGGGTTCACTCTGACGTGATCTGCTCAGGTCCACTCTCCACTAGACGCTCTGCTCTACACACCATCCAGAAGCTGCATGTGGTCACCCCCGTTCCCAGTGCCTGGCCCGTAATGGAGGCTCAGTAAAGGGGTGTCTCGTGAATGCGGCGATGACTCAATCACCCAGTCCAGCTCTCTCAAGGGAACAGGGAGACGAAGCCCAAGAGGAGGGGTGTGTTTGCGCACAGTTATGGCCACGCCGTGAGCCAGTGGCAAGGTGGAGGCAGGATCCCAGTCCCTCTCGAGCACTCTGCCCTCCACCTTTCTCAGCAAGACCATGACATTCCAGCCGGCTGCTGAAAGCTCCGCCTCTGCAGCACTAACGGTGGCTGTGATTATTACTGTGACACGACCAGACCAAGGAGATGCCAGCGCCTCCACAGCACACCCTGCCACCATCAATCCCTCCTCCTCTGAGCCTCGGTGTTCTCATCTCTAAAATGGGGCCATAGCAGCAGTTGTGTGGAGTCAGGAGGTGGCTGGGAGTTAGTAAGTGGAGCCCCAGGGGTGGGAAGCCAAACGCCACCTCTGGGTGGCAAGCACATCCCTCCCCAGACTACGGGGCCCCATCCCTGGCCACCTGGCTCAAGTGGGCCCTGACCCTCTCTTGTCAATCCAGGTACCGGAAAGTGGTGTCCAACATGTGTGAGGGTGGTGTGGACCTGCAGCAGGGTCCCGTGCAGCTGCAGTGCCCCCTCACCCCGCCCCGCGGCCTGCAGGTCAGCATCCAAGGCGAGGCGGTGGCCGTGCGACCTGGAGAGGACGTCCTGTTTGTGGTGCGGCAGGAGCACGTGAGTGAGCACCTCCCAGCGGGCTCCCGGGACTGTTGGGCAGGCTCGACTCCAACTAGGCACACAGAGGCCATGGTGAGGGGTCTCTGCCTGGAAGTGGCTCAGGGCGTCGCGGTGGGCCAGCCTGTCTGGCCTGCAGGAGGCAGCAGAGGATTGGAAATCCACTTCCTGGGTCCAGACCAGCATTTAACAATGAGACACGGAGGAAAATAGAATAGGACGTAGGGGGTATCAGGTGCCTGATGAGCAGGAGGAGATGGTTTCATACGTGGAGGGGCGGGGCGGTGGTTACTGGCCTTGGTATAAAATGTATTCATTCCCGTGGGCAGCAGCACACTTTTTAAGCTGGTAATTATATTGATTTAGTTAATTTGGGATCTTATGAGAAACAGAAAGTTAAAAACACTGTTACTTATAGTTACACAACCCAAGATAAGTCCTGTGTGTGCCTGGACAGATACTGATAGAAATACTCACACAAACACAGATGGAAATTTCTTCCCAGCCTCCCACGCTCGCTTTTTTTTACATTTTCTTCTGATGTTAAAAATAATGAATGTTCATTGTAGAACGTCTGGGAAACACACACAAAACATCAAGAGTATAAATATCTCTCAAAAGCGCCCCCAGTCCTCTGTGGCAACAACTGTTAGTTTTCCATATTTCCTTCTAGTCTTTTTAAATTAATTCTTAACATGCTTATTTTTCTGACTCTAGAATAAGCTAATGCTCATTGTAGCAAATTCAAAACCAAAACCTAGAAAAACTTACAAGCAGGCAGAAAATTCAAGACGGAAAAGGACAAAGGAGAGTTCGAGGTCCCCGTGTCGCACCCGAGGGGGGCGCACCTAGGACCCTGGGCTCTCTCCTGGCACACAGCTTTCCTGGGCACTTGGCTCTTGGGTGAACAGCACGGGGCATGCAGCAAGTGTGGCTTCACAGCGACACGTGTCCTGTTTAAATGGCCTTCAAAATACAGTGCCAAGGTGGGGTGGGATGTTGGTGACAGAGGTCTTTGGAGTTGGAAAGCAGGGAGCCTGGTCTAATGCAAACAGGGAAACTGAGGCCCAGGAGCGCACAAAGCAGTGGGAGGAGCGCCTCCGTGGGGGGCGCCGTGCACGAGCCACTGCCTGTACTCCTGGCACAACCTCGAGTGGTGTCCTTTTGCCAACCTGCTGGGGACACTGAGGCTTGGACACTCAAGGCCAACAGGAATGAGTGGCAGGGCTGCCATTGGGTCCCCGCCCCCAGACTCCACGTGGACAGAGTCTAGGCACCCAGACCTGAGCGGTTCCCTGGTGCAGGCGCTGCTGCTGATGGAGATGGGCCCTGGGACCCACACTCCTCAGAGCTAGGGGCAGCCCTGGGCGCCTCTGTTTGCAGCAGACAGAGCACAGAGCCACTGCCCCGCCTGGACCCTCAGAGTGGACCCCCTGTGGCTCACTGTCCAGGGCCGACTTCCATGAAAAATGGCCCTCTGCTGCCCCCTAGAGCCTGGCGTCTCAGCAGCACAGTCGCGTCTGCAGAGTCTCCAGTGGGAACCCGTCTACCACCTGCCCAGGGTGCCAGGACCCTTGCTGGGACTGCTCTGTGGGCAGGAGCTGGAGTCGGCGGAGGCGAGGAGAGTGATCAAAGATGCTCTTGGTGGGGAGAGTCGCCCCACTGTGTACCTACTGTCAGGAAGAGGCCACCCGCCACACTAGGGAAGGGGTGAGGGTGTGGGATCTGGGGTGGCACACTCACTGGTGTACATGCTCACACAAACACCCAGACACACATGCCTACACGCTCACACACAAACTCACAACCAGGCACATACACCTACAGGCTCACACATACACAAGCTCACACCCACACATGTTACACACTCGCATACACCCACACACATCTACATGCTCACACATACAAACTCACACCCAGGCACATGCCTACACGCTCACACACAAACTCACACCCAGATGGACCACATGCCTACACACACACATACTCACACCGACGCACACATGCCTGCATGCTTATGTATACACACAAACTCACACCCACACGTACGCCTACATATGCATACACACAAACTAACACCCAGACACACATGCCTACACGCTCACGCATACACACAAACACACCCAGACACATACACCTACACGCTCACGCATATACATAAACTCATACCCAGATGCACACATGCCTGCATGCTCACGTATACACTCACACCCAGACACATGCCTGCACACTCATGTATACACACAAACTCACACCCACACACATGCCTACACACTCACACAAACACACCCACACACCTACAGGCTCACATATACACATATACAAACACACCCACACATATGCTTACACGCTCACACATACAGCCAGACACAGCTACACACTCACACAAACTCACACACAGATGCACACACACCTACACACACACACCCAGACGCAGACATGCCTGCACGCTCATGTATACACACAAACTCACACCCAGACACACCTACAGGCTCACATATACACATATACAAACACACCCACACATATGCTTACACGCTCACACATACACCCAGACACATACACCACATTTACACACACAAACTCACACCCAGATGCACATGCCTACATGCTCACACACACCCAGATGCCCACATGCCTGCACACTCATGTATACAAACATTCCCAGACACACATGCCTACACGCTCACACAAACACACCCAGATGCACACACACCTACATGTTCACACACACACAAATGCACCCAGATGCTCACACATACAAACTCACACCCCGACACATATACCTACATGCTCATGCATACACACAAACACACCCAGACATACATATGCTTACATGCTCACACAAACTCACACCCGGATACACATATGCTTTCATGTATACACACAAACACACCCAGATGCACACACACCTACATGTTCACACACACACAAATGCACCCAGACGCTCACACATACAAACTCACACCCCGACACATATACCTACATGCTCATGCATACACACAAACACACCCAGACATACATATGCTTACACGCTCACACAAACTCACACCCGGATACACATGCTTTCATGTATACACACAAACACACCCAGACATACATATGCTTACACGCTCACACAAACTCACACCCGGATACACATGCTTTCATGTATACACACAAACACACCCAGACATACATATGCTTACACGCTCACACAAACTCACACCCGGATACACATGCTTTCATGTATACACACAAACACACACCCACTTGCATGCTCATGTATTCACACTCATGTGTAGACATATCTGTACACACATACACACTCTCACACATAGGCCAAGCAACTCTTGCAAACAGCACTGGGTTTAGGGGAGTCTACGTTTTTAAAATATCTTAAGAATTAAAAATCAGGTCTGATAGAGGCCCCTGTAAATATGGAATAGATCCATGTAAATACGGCTGAGGGGTGTTTGATGTGTGTGCAGAAACAACTCACTGAGGCGAGGGCTTATTCATCCAATAAAAATGACCTAAACCTCACGTCTGATAGAAAAAATGAACTCAAAATTGCTGAGATTTCAATGTAACATGTAAAAATCATAAACCTTTTAGAAAAACTATGGGAGAAAATATGTAGGGCTGGGAAAGGAGTCCTCAGACTTCACACTAAAGGCAGAATCAAAAGGAAAATTGATAAATTGGGCTTCATCAGGACACTTTTGCTCTGTGAAGCCCCATGTTAAGAAGATGAAGGGCCAGCTACAGAGTGAGAGAAAATATTTACAAACCGCATATCCAACAGGGACCAGTACCTGGACTAGAGGAAGATCATTCAACGCAACGGCAGTGCTAGAAACAGATGCTCGGTGCCGCAAAGAAGAATCAGCACTGATGCAAAGGATCTTTCAGCAACGCAATTTTTACTTCCTGGACTGCAGGAAGGGGACCCTCACTAGCCATCGTGCTACAAGAGTGCAACGCACAAAGGAAAACACACAAAGTTATTCCTTATGTATTTGGGGTTGTCCTTGCTGCTGTGTCTGATCTCCGTTGGCTGGAGCCTGACCTCACAGTCTAAACTAAAACCCGATTGGCCAGCAACATAAAATGTTTCTAAACAGGTAAAAGCAATGGAGAGCTGGGACATGCTGTGAGCATGGCGTGTCTCACCGCTGCATAGGATAGGGCTTCCCAAAGTTATTAGCATACTTATTCTTTAACAAGAAAGGAAACTTTAAAAAGGAACTTTTCTACTTCCCTCAAGCAAGAAAACAAACCATCCAGTTAGAAAACGAGCAGAACTGAAAAGACTTCACCAAGAGGATGGGCAAATGGCACGTACACACATGAAAAGATAGTCAACACCGTCTGCTGCCAGGGAGGCCCACAGCCAAACACCGCTGCGCACCTACCAGAGTGGCTGGCATTTGAAATAGCGCCCACACGAAGTGCTGGTGGGGAGGCAGCGCAGGGCGCTGGATCCCTCACGTGTGGCTGGGCTGCTGGAGAATGGCCCCAGTGATCTGGAAAACAGTCCAGCCTTTTCTTAACCAGAGGACCCAGCACCTGCGCCAGTGGCAGTGACACCGGAGAAACAAAGACTCTGTTCACACAGAAACCTGCATGTGTCTGTTCATAGCAGTGTTATTTATAAAGGCCAGAAGCTCAAACAGCCCAGCGCCCTGCAGTGGGTGAGGGCTTGCACAGGCTCTGGTGCCCCCATGCCAAGACACCACGCGGCAATGAGAAGAAACCTGTTATTAATACCTGCAGCAGCAGGGCTGGGCACGGCGGCTCACATCTGTGATCCCAGTACTGTGGGAGGCCGAGGTGGGCGGATCACCTGAGGTCAGGAGTTCGAGACCAGCCTGGCCAACATGGCGAAACCCTGCCTCTACTAAAAATACAAAAACTAGCCAGGTGTGGTGGTGCATCCCTGTAATCCCGGCTACTTGGGAGGCTGAGGCTTGAGAATCACTTGAGCCTGGGAGTTGGAGGTTGCTGTGAGCCAAGATCCAGCCTGGGTAACAGAGTGAGACTCCGACTCAAAACAAAATAAAATAAAATACCTGCAGCAACCTGGACGAGCCTCAAGTGGATCATGCCGAGTGAAAAAGGCACTCCACGTGATCCCATGCTGTGCGGCTCCTTTATGTAACACTCCCGAAATACAGAGATGGAGAGAGAGGATAGAAAATTGTCAAAATTATAGAAGGAAGATTCGTGGTTGGAATGCAGCTGGGCTGATGCGGTGAAGTAGGTGTGTCTGCAAAGGGCGCCTGGCGGGGCCTGAGTGGAGGATGAATTGCCCTGTCTCCTTCCTGTATCAGTGTCCACGTCCTGGTTGTGACATGATCATTTGCCAAGATGTTAGCCTTGGGGAGAGCCGGGCATGGGGCACACGGAGGGGAGAGCCAGGCATGGGGCACACGGAGGGGAGAGCCAGGCATGGGGCACACGGAGGGGAGAGCCGGTCATGGGGCACACAGAGGGGAGAGCCGGGCATGGGCACACAGAGGGGAGAGCCGGGCATGGGGCACACAGAGGGGAGAGCCGGGCATGGGGCACACAGAGGGGAGAGCCGGGCATGGGCACACAGAGGAGAGAGCCGGGCATGGGGCACACAGAGGGGAGAGCCGGGCATGGGGCACACAGAGGGGAGAGCCGGGCATGGGGACACAGATGGGAGAGCCGGGCATGGGCACACAGAGGGGAGAGCCGGGCATGGGCACACAGATGGGAGAGCCGGGTATGGGCACACAGAGGGGAGAGCCGGGCATGGCGCACAGAGGGGAGAGCCGGGTATGGGGCACAGAGGGGAGAGCCGGGCATGGCGCACAGAGGGGAGAGCCGGGTATGGGGCACAGAGGGGAGAGCCAAGCATGGGCACACAGAGGGGAGAGCCAGGCATGGGCACACAGAGGGGAGAGCCGGGCATGGCGCACAGAGGGGAGAGCCGGGCATGGGGCACACGGAGGGGAGAGCCGGACATGGCACACAGAGGGGAGAGCCGGGCATGGGCACACAGAGGGGAGAGCCGGGCATGGGGCACACGGAGGGGAGAGCCGGGCATGGGGCACACGGAGGGGAGAGCCGGACATGGCACACAGAGGGGAGAGCCGGGCATGGGCACACGGAGGGGAGAGCCGGACATGGCACACAGAGGGGAGAGCCGGGCATGGGCACACAGAGGGGAGAGCCGGGCATGGCACACAGAGGGGAGAGCCGGGCATGGGCACACAGAGGGGAGAGCTGGGCATGGGAACACGGGGTGGTTCTGGATCATTCTTTCTTACTGCATAGGAACCTACCATTATCTCTAAAGAAAATGTTTCATTTTTTTTAAAGCGCCAGTAATGATGGATCTAAATGAAATATACACCACAATGGGAATCACCGGTATTATGATGAGATTTAGGTTTTTTTCTTTTCTTTGCTATTTGTATTTTCTATTATTTTCTACCTTGAGAATATAGTACTTTGGTGGTTAGGAGAGAAAAGGAAAAGTTATTTTAACCAAGCAAAACATTTAAGAAGTCAAACGGGCATCAGCGTGGCACTCGCAGGCAGGAACCCAGGCCCCGAGAGGTGGCACCTCACACAGGGTGACCGGATCACGGGTCCTGACTCTGAGTCACACATGCCCTCTCCTGCCCAGGATTAGCACAGGAGACCCCTCCCTCCATGGGAGCAGCTCAGACTCCAGAGCTGCCTCCTCCTCATTCCCCGCCCCCTCCCCCCCCACCACCACCCCACGAGGCTGCCTTTAAACAGAGAACCACGAACAACAAGCAGCCTCCTGGGGCCTGGACTTTGGAGAGCCTCAGTCTTCTTATCTGTCAAATGGAGAGAATGGAGCACCCCACAGCCTCCTTCCTGGGGACCTCATAACATGTGACCTCATGCCAGGTGGCCCAAACCCACACAGGGCTCCAAAGGAGAATCCATCACACGTCCTCCAGCTTCTGGGGCTCCCAGCACTCCTTGGCCATCTGTCTGTGCTCAAATCTCCCTCTCTCTAACAAGATGCCCGCCACTGGATTTAGAGCATACCCTAATCCAGTATGCCCTCATCTTAACTAATGACCCCCATAAAGATCCCCAGTGAGGTCACGTTCTGAGGTTCCTGGTAGATGTGAATGTTAGGGAGACTCCGTCCAACCCAGTTTACTGTATCTAAACAGATGTTACGTAATGTTTTCTATCCACTTGCAAAATTTGGCTGGTGCACCAAGAAGATGGCTGAGCCGTTAGTGACCATGCATTAGTGACCATGCTGCCTTCTTCACCACTAGGAGATGGCTTCCTGGTGCCCCTGGTGCGGGCAAGGGAACAGGGAACAGGGAAGGGGAGGAGCAGAGGGAGGGAGGGAGGGAGAATGTGATCATGAGACATCAGGTCCAAGTAGTTCCTGTTCCTTCACTCAGTTCCCAACTCTGCGAGTGGAACTCTGCGAGGGGATCTGGCAGGAGGTGGTGGAGCAGGCTCCATGGGTGACTCGGGGCCTCTGGGGATGGCAGTTGGTGGGATCTCCTCTCCGTACCCACCCTGCCACATCTCAGCGTCACTCCTGGTACCACGTGGTCTGAGAAAGAAAATCAGGAACCACAGCCTCCCAGAAGGGAAATCCTGCTTCATTAGCAGGTGGCTTAGGCGCTTCCAGATGTCTGCCTCTCCCCTGCCGAAACCCTCCACACTATGGGAGCTCCCCTCACCCTCCTGGCTCCAGGCCAGGCACTGGCCTCAGTGGGCAGGGACCCTCCCTGCCCCCCAGCTGCTCTCTGGTGACAGCTTTGGGCCTCCCCCCTCCCTCTCTGCCACTGGGTGATTGTTCTGAAGTGTCCCCCGGCCACAGCGCCCAGTTAAACCAGCTGCCTTGGTCAGCCCCATGCTCCAGGCAGAATCTCCAGGGCAGAACCAGACCCAGTCCCCTGTGGGTCCCCAGACCCACTCATTTCAAGGAAAGGCCAGAGAGAATGAATGAATGACTGAGTGAGTGAATGAGCCGCTCTGGCCTCTCAGCTTCAAGGCTCATTCCTGAGTGGCCACATGGTGCTTCCCTGCAGGGCGATGTCCTGACCACCAAGTACCAGGTGGACCTCGGGGACGGCTTCAAGGCCATGTACGTGAACCTTACGCTGACCGGGGAACCCATCCGGCACCGCTATGAGAGTCCCGGTGTCTACCGCGTGTCTGTGAGGGCAGAGAACATCGCTGGCCACGACGAGGCGGTGCTCTTTGTCCAGGTCAACTGTAAGTTTGTTGCCCTGTGAGAGAACCTGGCTTTGGGGGAAACACAGGGAATCCCTCAGGACTGCTCTAGGCCCCTGGTACTCAGGGCAGCAAGCCCAAGGTCAGGGAGGCAGAGACGCTGGGTCAAGCCCACACCCCTGATGACCCATACAATAGTAGGGTGGGGCTGGTAGCTGGTGGTGATATTGATGATAGTGATGGTGGTGGTGGTGGCGATGGTGGTGGTGATGGTGATGATGGTGGTGGTAGTGGTGATACAGGTGGCAATGGTGGTGGTGCTGATGGTGGTGATAATAGTGGTGGGGATGGACATGGTGGTGGTGATGGTGGTGGTGGTGGTATTGGTGATGGTGGTATTGGTGATGGTGGTGGGGATGGTGCTGATAGTGGTGGTGATAATAGTGGTGGGGATCGATGTGGTGGTGGTGATGGTGGTGGTGATGGTGGTAGTACTGATGGTGGTGATGGTGGTGGTGATGGTGATGGTGGTGGTATTGGTGATGGTGTTGGGGGTAATAGTGGTGGATATGGTTGGTTCTGGGAATGGTGCTGATAGTGGTGGTGATAATAGTGGTGGGGATGGATGTGGTGGTGGTGATGGTGGTGGTGATGGTGGTGGTGATGGTGATGATGGTGGTGGTGGTGATGGTGGTGGTGGTGATGGTGGTGATGATGGTGATGGTGATGGTGGTGATGGTGGTGGTGATGCTGGTGGTGATAGTGGTGATGGTGGTGATGGTGGTGATGATGGTGATGGTGATGGTGATGGTGGTGATGGTGGTGATGATGGTGGTGGTGATGGTGGTGATAGTGGTGGTGGTGATGCTGGTGGTGATGGTGATGGTGATGGTGGTGATGGTGGTGGTGATGCTGGTGGTGATAGTGGTGATGGTGGTGGTGGTGATGGTGGTGATGATGGTGATGGTGATGGTGGTGATGATGGTGGTGGTGATGGTGATAGTGGTGGTGGTGATGCTGGTGGTGGTGATGGTAGTGGTGATGGTGATGCTGGTGGTGATAGTGGTGATGGTGGTGATGGTGATGGTGGTGATGATGGTGATGGTGATGGTGGTGATGGTGGTGGTGGTGATGGTGATGGTGGTGATGGTGGTGGTGGTGATGGTGGTGGTTATGGTGGTGGTGATGCTGGTGGTGATGCTGGTGGTGGTGATGGTGGTGATGGTGGTGATAATAGTGGTGGTGGTGATGCTGGTGGTGATGATGGTAGTGGTGATGATGATGCTGGTGGTGATAGTGGTGATGGTGGTGATGGTGATGGTGGTGATGATGGTGATGGTGATGGTGGTGATGGTGATGGTGGTGGTGGTGATGGTGGTGGTTATGGTGGTGGTGATGCTGGTGGTGATGCTGGTGGTGGTGATGGTGGTGGTGATGGTGATGATGGTGATGGTGGTGGTCATGCTGGTGGTGGTGGTGATGGTTATGGTGGTGGTGATGCTGGTGGTGGTGGTGATGGTGGTGATGGTGGTGGTGGTGGTGATGCTGGTGGTGATGGTGGTGGTGGTGATGGTGGTGATGGTGGTGATGGTGATGGTGGTGATGGTGATGCTGGTGGTGATGATGGTGATGGTGATGGTGGTGATGGTGATGGTGGTGGTGATGATGGTGATGGTGATGCTGGTGGTGATGCTGGTGGTGGTGGTGATGGTGGTGATGGGGATGGTGGTGGTGGTGATGGTGATGGTGATGCTGGTGGTGATGATGGTGGTGGTGATGGTGGTGATGGGGATGGTGGCGGTGGTGATAGTAGTGAAGGGGAGGGATGGTGACAGTATTGGTGTTGGTGACAGTATTGGTGGTGATGGTGATAGCAATGAAGTTGCTGGTGACAACAATCACTAAGCAGCATCTGAAATGTCCCGTGCCCTGATATTGTCTAACCCTGGCCTTTTCGGGTCCCACAGCCCCTCTGCAGGCCCTCTACCTGGAGGTGGTTCCTGTCGTCGGCATCAACCAGGAGGTGAACCTCACAGCTGTGCTGCTTCCCTTGAACCCCAACCTCACCGTCTTCTACTGGTGGATCGGCCACAGCCTGCAGGTGCGCTGGCCTTGCCCCACTCAGCCCTCCTTCCTGCAGGCTCCCCCGAGGTGCACAGTGGGGCAGAGCATGGCCCCAGGTGTTCAACAGGAGGACCCAGTGCAGCGCACACTCCTCAGCCATGGGCCCCTCCTGGGGCAATTGAGAGGGACACGCCCTGGGGTTCCTCCACTCATCACCTGCTGTGGGTGCCTGTTCAGAGCCCATCTTCTCAATAGTGCTAGATGAGTCAGACTAGATCCTGCCTTTTCCTGGGAAAGAGGGGAGAACACAGTGGCTGACCGAGTTGGGGGCGGTAGGAGTTACAGGGACAGGTAGGTGGGCTACAAGAGAGCTCCAAGAAAGGAGGGGGCATCTGCAGTGAGGGGCCCAGGGAAGGCTTTATGGAAGAAGAGGTCACGGGGGCTTAGAAGCCTCACTCAGAGGCCTGGGTCATACCCTGTCTGCAGTGGGGAGCCACAGATAGTTCTTGAGTAGGAGAGAGCCCAGATCAGCAGAATGCCTGCCCTGGGGGCAAGACCCAGTGACAGGCATCCTCCATTCATGCAGCAAACAGCCCAGCACCGCCAGGCAGGAAGCCTCCTACCAGCAGCTGAGAGTCCTGACACAGAGGCCCAGCAAGTGGAGGGGCTGTGGGCTCTGGGTTGTGTTTCTCTGCAATGGGGAGGGTTGAGAAGGAGCCCAGGGTCTGGGTTCAGGTCTCAGCTCTGCCACTTCCATCTGCATGCTCCGTGCACATCGCTTCACCCTGCAGAGCCTCTGGATCCACATCTACACCTGTGGAGGGGCTCTCCTGTCTGTGGGGCAACACAACGCCCACCCTGCTAAGTGTGCACCACCCCCATGGGGGGGTCCTGAGCCAGGCGCTGGCTTGGAGCTGTGGATGCCAGAGCCATGTGTGGGGACGGGAAGATGACGTGGGTCAGGGTCTGGCAGCCACATCGGGCCTCCTAACTACCCATGTGGAGGGGCCTGGGGAGCTGTCAAGAAGGAAGGGGGTGCTGGGGTCTCGTGCTCCTGCTGTGTTGGCTTAGAACCAGGTGCCCATGAGGTCAGGAGTTTGAGACCAACCTGGCCAACATGGTGAAACCCTGTCTCTACTAAAACTACAAAAATTAGCCAGGCGTGGTGGTGCGTATGCCTGTAATCTCAGCTACTCAGGAAGCTGAGGCGGGAGAATCACTTGAACCCAGGAGACAGAGGTTGCAGTGAGCCAAGATCACACCACTGCACTCCAGCCTGGGCGACAGATCAAGACTCTGTCTCAACAACAAAAAAAAGAACCAGGTGCCCCCCACCCCCCATGCCTCCTTGGGTGCTGCCAACACAGGACATCCATAATGGGCCCATTTGCTGATGAGAACAAGGAGACAGTGATACTCTCAGTGAGGCAGTGACCACAGGCCAGCATCCCCCATGGCCGCTGCCCAGCCAGGACCCTGAGCCCTGCTGTGCCCCTGCAGCCCCTGCTTTCCCTGGATAATTCTGTGACAACGCGATTTTCGGACACGGGCGACGTGCGTGTGACCGTGCAGGCCGCCTGCGGGAACTCGGTGCTGCAGGACTCCAGGGTCCTCCGTGTGCTGGGTGAGTCCTTCCGGGGTCTGGCAGCTCGGCCTCTGCACCCCTGCCGCTGTTCAAGGGGCTGGGCTACATGGGTTTCATAAACCATGAATGATCACCCTGGGTGGCCCTGGGGTGAGGAGGGAGGGGCTGGATCAACAGAGCCCTGCCCAGTTAGAGACCTGGGCAGTCTCCCAGTCTCTCTGGCCTCAGTTTTCCCATCTGCAAAATAAATACTGACAACTTGTGTCCCAAGACACTTGTGGGACACAACACACAGGGACAGGGTCACCCAGCATCAAGAGAGCCAGGTTTGGGTGCTGGCTCTGCCTGCCTCCCAGGCCCCTGCCCTCTTGGCACCTTTGGCCACCTGAGCATTGTCTCATGATTGCAGCTTAAAGAGGACTCCCATCTATAGAAACGCTGAGCCTCCTGTTCTGAATCTGCATCCTCATTTCTCTGCGCTCACTGGGGGCTCTTAGCCCCTCGTGGGAGATATTGACAATAGTAATTGGTCCTAAGACTGGAGGAGACCCCCCTCTGGCATACCCTTTTCCCCATCATCACAGCAATAAACCCTCATTTTGCTTTAAGAAGAGCCTCTACAGTGGACAGCAGCCATCAGTTAAATATTTAGCTGGATAAGTATGCAAAGGGTTGGGGTGCCCACACAGGCTCGTCACACCCTGGAGGAGGCTGCCCTTGGCTGCTCTTCATTCATTGTTGGCCCAAGAGCTTTGCAAAGGCCGTCACTACCCTTATTGTAGATGTTGGGTTTGCAGTTCTCAAAGCACTGGTCCCTTGAGCCCCTGAGTCCTGCACAGCCTCCTCCCACGGTTTCTATGTGAGAAAACTGAGGCCTGAGAAGTGGAGAGGTTAAAATTTAGCTCTGAAGCCCCTGATGACTCTAGAATTGGGCTCTGAGCCATGGACCATGGGAAATGTGGGGAAAAGAAGAAGACAGGGCCTCTGCTCTCAAGGGACTCTTAATTTGGTGGGGGAACCAGCCAGTTGAAGTCCATGGACCACTGAGGGATGAGAAGCTGACGTCCTTGTGAGTGAAGGAGGCAGATCTCACAGAGCAGGCTCGGCGCACACCAGGCCTCCCTCCTGGGTCACTGTGTCTTTGTCACCATCACTAGCACCTCCGTCACGGCTGTTGTAAGAAGGCAGCCAGTGACATGGGTCCTGCCTGGGACAGGTGCCCAGGGAGGGAGCTGGTTTCCAAACACAAGATCAGGACTGCTCTCTGCCTGCTCGAGAAGACGATGGGGCTGCTGGGCCCTGGGACCTGAACCCATCCACATGTGGCTGAACCATCCACATGTGGCTGCCCGCCCCCACCCTGCCCCACGGCAGGAGACGTCAGATCCAGGCTGTCCAGGACTGACCAGTCTCCCTCCTCTGCCTCTTTCCAGATCAATTTCAGGTCGTGCCTCTAGAGTTTTCCAAGGAGCTGGATGCCTACAACCCCAATACGCCCGAGTGGAGGGAAGATGTGGGCCTGGTGGTCACCCGGCTGCTCTCCAAGGTGTTGCCCAGAGCCTGGAGCCTCCGTAGCCCAGTGGTGCTTCCAGCATCTAGAGAAGTCCAAGGACCCCCGGGGCACCCAGGGCAGGGAGAGGCTGGTGGCACTGCCCTGGCACATGATTCTGTGGCCTTCGGGCTGGCTGGGGTTGTTGGTAGCTACGGTGGGGGTGGGCAGCGCTGCCCTGGCTCAGGGGACCTGCAGCTGGAGTGCTACCTCACAGGGGAGGGACTACAGGGACCCTCCATGAGCACTGTACAGGGAGCACCTGCTGTTTGCAGGAGACCCTCTGCCGTCCTCCAGTGGTCCAGAGTCTCTTTAAAGCAATTTTCCTTCATTCACTGAATTTCTCTTCTGGGCTGGACACTGGAGACAGAGAGAAGAATCCAGTGTGCTCATTACTCTCTGGGAGCCCCCAGGAGGCAGGCATCAGGGTGGGCAGTAGGACGCCAAGGCCTTTGGTCCCCCCAGTGAGAGACCAGTCCTCTAGAGTCATCTCAGGCTGTCACAGGCTGGGGCCTGCTCTGACTAGGCTTCCCCTCCTCCTGTGAATAATGCTGGTGAAAGGGTCCTGGGCACTGAAGGGTGAATAGGGGTTTGCCAGAAGGAAACCTCCTGACTTCAGGAGGCAGAGCCCCCTCCATGAGCAGCGCCTGTGGGTTGAGGGAGTTCTGTGTGGGTGTGTGACCCTAGGTGGGCCTGGGGTGTTGGGGAGTGGGAAGGGGGAGGCAGCCGGAGTCAGTGGGGCCAGTCACGGGCCTGGAGGGGTGTGGGAAGGGGCTTTGTCTGAGAAGACAGTGGCCAGGGAAGGAGGTGCTCGTTCCACTCACGGTCTGAAGGGTGGACTGAGGGCCAGGCCTAGCCAAGGTGAGAGCACAGGGCCTGAATAGCAGGGCTGGGGGTCCTGGACAGCTGGAGTGCTGCCTCACAGGGGAGGGACTGCAGGCACCTCCATGCACACCCTGGGACCCTGGAGCCATCCCCACGCCATTCAGGGGTCAGGAATGGCTTGTAGGACAGGTGTCCAGGACTCAGGCCAAGAAGGGAGAGAGGGTGTTCCTGGGGGCCCTGGCACGAGGAAGGGGATGAGGAAGACAAGCAGACCAAGGGGGCTTCACTGTCCCCGCAGGAAACCAGCGTCCCTGAGGAGCTCCTGGTGACTGTGGTGAAGCCGGGGCTCCCCACCTTGGCTGACCTGTTCGTGCTCCTTCCCCCTCCCAGGCCCACAAGGAAGAGGAGCCTCTCAAGTGATAAGGTGTGTTCTGCGGCCACTGGACCCCCAGGGCTCGGGTCACTCCCAACAAGCAGGAACATCTCAGTGGCTTATGGCACAAAGGCCTCTTTCTGGCTGCATCACAGGCTGACTCAGGCATCCTGTGGCTACACCCTCTGGAAGTCATGCAGCCTCTAAGGTCATTGTGGCAGAGGTAGTCGGGAGAGGGCACAGGCTGAACCGCCTCCTGAGGGGGACTCACTCACTTCCTCTCCCATTTCATTGGCTGGAGATGGTCACATGGCCCCAACCTGACTGCCAGGGGCACTGGGAAGTGTGGGTAAGCACTGTCAGTTAAGACACCCAAGAGTGTGGGTTTCAGGACCAAGCAGAACTTGGCCCCCATGCAGTTAGCAAATGTCCTCATTACATAGGACAACTTCTAAATCATAGCCCTCATAGAGAGGATAAGAGACCTGCCATGTGACAGGTGTGGGAAGGCGACACAAAGATGAACCAGAATCCCTTCACACCCACTAGGGTGACTAAAATTAAAAAGCAGACAATTCCAAGTGTTGACATGAAAGTGGAGAAATCAGAACCTCTCACACTGCTGCTGGAAAGGGTTCAGCTGCTGTGCAAAACAGGCTGGAAGTTCCTCAGTAAGTTACACCTAGAGTTACCATATGACCCAGCGTGTCCACTTCTGGGTATATACCCAAGGGAAACAAAATATACGTCCACAGTACATGGAGTCATAGTTAGGTGACTCATCATAGCCACAAAGTGCTCTTCAGGTGATGAGAGAAGAAACACGTGTAGTCCAACCTTACAATGGAAGATTCTTTGACCACCAAAAGGAAGGAAGCCCTTGCCACTTCTGAAAGCATGGACGAACCTTGAAAACGTGATGCTAAGGGAGACAGGCCCATGGCAAAAGACTAGGAAATGCCCTGAGCAGGCAACTCTGTAGAGACAGAGAGAAATGGGTGTCACCAGGGGCTGGGGGAGGGTGCGTGGGGATTGAGTGCTAAGGCTGCGGGATTCTTTGGGAGATGATGAAAATGTGCAGGAATTAGATGTGGCAATGCTCACACAACTTTGAAAATATACTAAAATGCCTTAAATCGTATACTTTAAAAGAGTAAAGCGAGGCACGGTGGCTTACACCTGTAATCCCAGCACTTTGGGAGGCTGAGGCGAGAGGATCACAAGGTCAGGAGGTCGAGACCATTCTGGCTAACATGGTGAAACCCCATCTCTACTGAAAAAAAAAAAGATTAGCCAGGCATGGTGGCATGCTCCTGTAGTCCCAGCTACTTGGGAGGCTGAGGCAGGAGTATCGCTTGAACTCAGGAGACGGAGGTTGCAGTGAGCCAAGATCGAGCCACTGCACTCCAGCCTGGGTGACAAAGTGAGACTCTGTCTCAAAAAACAAAAATAGTCAATGTTACTATCAGTTTCTAAAAATGAAACAGAAGCTCACATAGCCTGCCCTGGTCATGGAGACCGATGCCCACTCAGGTGATCTGGAAGGCGTAGCCAGCCCACAGGAAGGGCAGTGTACATCCCAGCATACCCGTGCGGTGCCACATCCCATTTTACAGATGAAAGGAGGGAGGCTTGGTGAGGGCCCCAGTCAAGCCAGAGGCATTCAAATAGCAGAAGTGCTTCTGGACACTGACCACAGGCTGTCTGGAAAGGAAAGCAGGAAAACAACCCTGCTAACGGGATTTAGCATCGAAAATTCAAAGTCAAATCAACTACTTAGGAGCAAATGAACCAAGGAAGTGACAAACTTGTGCACTGAAAACCAGAAAACACCCAGGAAGGACTGTGAAGATACAAATCGACGGAAAGACATTCTGTGTTCATGGATTAGAAGAATTTATGTTATGAAGATGCCCATGCCGCCTAAAGTGATCTGCAGATTTAATGCAATGTCCATCAAAATTTCAATGATGTTTTTCACAGAAATAGAAGAGACATTCTAAAATTTGTATGGAACCACAAAAGGCCTAAAATAGTCAAAGCCATTTTGAGCAAAAAGAAAAAAGCTGGAAATGTCACACTCCCAACTTCAAAATGCACTATAAAGTTAAAGTAATCCAAACAGCATGGTACTGGCATAAAAACAGACACATAGACCCGTGCAACAGAATAGAGAGCCCAGAAAGAAATCCATACATATACGGTCAGTTGATTTTCAATAAAGCTGTCAAGGACACACAGTGGAGAAAAGAGTCCCTTCCATAAATGCTGTTGGGAAACTGAATATCCACATGCAGAAGGATGCAGTTAGATTCTTACATCCTCTACAAAAACCAACTCAAAGTGGATTAAAGACAAGTATAAGACCTGAAACGGTAAAAACTCCAAAGGAAAACGTAGTGAAAAACTACGCATCAGTCTGGCCAATGCTGTTTGACCCCAAAAGTACCTACAGCAAAAGCAGAAATAGACAAATGGGATGATATCAAACCGAAAGACTTCTGCACAGCCAGAGAAACAGAACTGCAGGAAAGATGCGTAGAGCATACCTCTGACAAGGGGTCCAAGGGAGCCAAGCAGACCTTCCGCAAAGGGAGACACGCAAATGGCCAACAGGTATGTGGAAAAAACAGGCTCAGCGTCTAGAATCATCAGGGAAATGCTCATCAAAGCCACGATGAGACAGGCCTCGCGCCTGTTAGAATGGCTACCGAGAGCTGACCAGCGCTGTGGAAGGCGGCCGGGTGTCCAGCCCTGCCCAGCCCTGGGTGATGCTCAGATCCAGGAAGGAGTGAGAGGGGCCGGGAGGGCACCCTCCTGTGCACCAGGCACCTCAGCATTTGTCGCGTCATGCAGACCCCAGAGGAGGATGCCCATGGCCCACAAGGCTGGCTGCCTTCTGGTCACCACCCTCTCCAGCCATAGATGCCCCCCACCCTGCATCCCTTACCCCACAAGCCAGCAACATGTACTGGGATATCCCTCCCTCAGGTAGGGGGTCTGATTCACCTGTCCTGCCCTGTCTCATTCTCTTCTTGGTCTTCCACCTCCAGGAAGCCTTCCCTGACCACCACTGGGGGATGGAGCCCCCTGGAGCACCCCTGCCTTAACCCAACTTGACACACTCCATGGCCTGTGTCCCTTTTACATTCCCAACTAAAACAAGAGTTTGTGGAGGGCAGAGCCATGTCTGGGTCACCTTTGTGTCCCATCCATAGTTCTTGGTGAAAGTTCCCTGGTGGGTGATTACTCTCATGGTACACAGAGGCTCAGCGAGGCCAGGTGGCCTGCCCCAGCCCCATGGCTCCAAAGGGTCAAAGCAGGACTCACACCCATCCACCCAACTCTCCCATTCCCCACTGGTGGATCTTAGGGCCACTCCCCAGCTCTCCCCACCACATCCCCATCACTCTCCCCACCCCTCTGGTGGATCCCAGCAGAGCATGCTTGCCTCCCCCCATGGAGGACCCCCACCTCACGCTCTACATCAGAGGAGGGCCCTTCTTCCCCTTACCCATGTGGCAGATCCCCTCCCCCACCCCCCGTGGAGGATCCCCTCACGCCCCTCCTGGAGGAGGACTCCATCTCCCCACTTCAGGTGGAGGATCTTCTCACTCCCCCGCCAGGTGGAGGACCCCCGCATGGAGGTCCCCTTCACTCCCCCCCAACAGGTGGAAGACACCTGCCCCGGTGGAGGCCCTTTTCACTGTCCCCTCTGGCAGAGGCCCCCCTCCTCCCTCTGGCCAAGACCCCCTTACTGTCCCCTCTTGGCAGAGGCCCTCCTCACTCTCCCCCCAGGTGGAGGTCCCCTTCACTGTCCCCTCTTGGTGGAGGACTCTCTGTCTCCCACCTCACTGTCCCCTCTGTGCTTGCAGAGGCTTGCTGCCGTCCAGCAGGTGCTGAAGGCTCAGAAGATCAGCTTCCTCCTGCGAGGGGGGGTCCGGGTCCTGGTGGCGCTGCGGGACACAGGCACAGGTGAGCCGCCGGAAGCACCCCAGCAGAATGGGTGGAGGAGGCATCCAGGCCCTGGAGAAGGCATGTCCCTGCAGGGCCCTCGGGTAGATGGCTAGCACCCCCTCCTGGTGGGTGTTCACCTCTGAGGGAACCGAGAACCCACCCAGGTCAGACTCAGGGCCCCGCTCTCCTCTGCAGAGTCCCCGTGGAGCGAGGCTCTTACCTGACACCCACGCTTCGGGTCTCGGATGACTCTGCCCCTTCCCTGCCCCACAGGGCTATCTCCTTGGTCATCAGTCATCCTTTCCCCTTTGGGGCAAAAACTGAAGCTGAAGAGCTTTTCTCTGTTCTGTAAAGACACTGTGCCCTTGAGACTTGGCAGGTTCACCCATGCCAGCATCAACATAGCCGGGAGCTCTGCCCACACCCCCATTCCCAGCCAGAGCCAGGTAGAGGGCAGGGACTTCAAGGTCACACAGGTAGCGCCCCTGGTCTCTTATGGCCTCTAGCCCTTCTCAGCCGTGTCAGGAGCACCAGCCACGGGCATGGAGGCTGGGGCAGGGACAGGAAGGGGACGGCCAGGGACAGGTGGGGGATGGGCTGAGTAGGGAATGGGGGTGGGCTGAAGACAGGCGGGAAACAGGCTAGGGACAGGCAGGGGACAAGCTGGGGATGGGTGAGGGACAGGCGGGGGACAAGCTGGGGATGAGTTGGGGAAAGACGGATGGGCCGGGGACGGGCCAGGTATGGGCGGTGCCTGTGGCCCTCCACTGACCACTGCTTTGCTTGCAGGTGTGCAGCAGCTGGGCAGTGGCGGCGGCTACTGGGCGGTGGTGGTGCTGTTTGTCATCGGGCTCTTCGCCGCGGGAGCGTTCATCCTCTACAAGTTCAAAAGGCAAGGCCCTTGGTGCCCTCGCCTGCTGGGCTCTGACCATGGGGCAGCCAGGCCAACTCACTCAGGCCACTCTGGAAAGGGCCCCAGCAGGGCCCCGGCCGGGCGTGGTCAAAGTTTGTTTCTGTGGTGGGCTGCAGAGGGCAGGGGCGGTTGCCTGGCTCCATACCACCTGCGGGGTTCCCAGAATTGACGGCTACCACTGCTCACAACGCCTACCCCCTCCTCACTCTGCCCAGGACATTCCAGCCATCATCCCGTTCAGCTCCACCCACCCAGCAGGGAAGACACTGCCCATCTCACAGATGAGGAAAGCCGGCTCAGAGAGGTTAAGCCACGTGCCCAAGGTCACACAGATAGCCAGCCTCAGAGCTAGGACCTGACCCCAGCCCACGCAATCCCAGGCTTCTGCCACCCGCCAGTCCCTTCCCTCCCCTAGAGAGCTCTTGAGAGCTACAGAGCTTCCTGCCAGGCGCTCCCACTGGGGAGGGCTCTGGGCAACCCCATGAGGGAGCTGCTTGTGCCAAGGCTGGAGCAGGGCAGCAAGAACAGCATCTGTTTATTGGGAGGGGCTTTTGTACCTCTTTCTTTCTGAGGCTGTTCCCTGTCTATGGAATGGGGGTGATGTCCCCATGCTGGGACGCGTCTTGGCCACCCTTCAGGGGTTGAACAACCAGAAGTTCCCTGGACATTAGACCTGGAATGAGCAAAGTGACCCAGTGGCATCACCAGACTCCTTCCCTGTGAACGCAGCTTCTAGATTTGGCCCTGTGGCTTCTCCCCGGCCCGCTGGTTCAGCTCTGGGGGCCTCGGTCTCCCTGTTGGGATCAGCCTTGAGGACCGTCAAAAGCTATAGCTCACCCCTTCCTCTTGGCTTATTTGGAGCCTAGAGCCCTTCCCCAACACCAAGCCCCAGCCTTTCATGGGCCCTGCCCTCCCCCAGCCCCTCCTCCTGCCCCGGTCCCACCATCTCTGATGCACTGCGGGTCTTTCGAGTAATAGTTTTATGTGTGCCCCATGCTGCAGGCTGGCCCACACTGGGACACAGCACTGCCTGGGAGTGAATCCAGGAGCTCCTCACCTGCCTTCTTACTCAGTTACACCCAAAGGGGTGGCCTGAGGCACTCAGAGCTGAACCAGAGAATCTGGGAGGACTTCCCTGAGGAAGTGACTTCTGGTGGGGATCCTGAAGGATGAATAGGAGTTTGTGGGGCAAAGAAGTAGAATAGGGTCCTGGCTGTGGTCTTTCCTAATTTCCAAACTCAGAGAGGCACTGGCTTCCCAAGAGGTTCATCCAGGGGTTCCATAGGCACTGCAAATTCGAATCAAACCCGGCATCCTCTTCCCCCAAACCTGGTGCTGAGCAAATGACACTGTCCTCTGCCACGTGCCCAGGCCAGGAATCCCACCTCCTTCCCATGTGCTCCCTCCCCCAGCCTGTATCCCACGGCCACTACAAGTGGGGTTTGTCACAGTGGGGAGGTGGCAGGAGCGGCCTTCGAGGCCAGGCTTTCAGGTCCTCAAGCCAGGCCCCAGACTGCCCTGGAAACAGAAGCAGCTTAAAGTTAGCGCTGACAACCCCCAGGGGCTGTGAGTCCAAGCTCTGGAGTTGAGTGTACTGGGCATGGGCAGAATCGCCCCCCTCGAAGACCCCTCCCGAGCCTCCTTGAGCAGAGTCTTCAGACGAGATTGGGTGTGTTCGACGTGGTGTGGCCACAGACATGCTGTCTTCAGCTAGACGAGGGATGCACTTGACCCTTTTGAGAGACAGGTGCGCACTCCTTCTGCCCATGTGGGCGTTTCTGGGTCGCCTTCAGATGCGCCAGGCTGGGCATCTTCTTGTCTGCAGGAGAACTGCAGGCCGTTTTGTTTCTGATGTGGGGCCGGGGACCCAGTGACTTCCATTTGGAGGGACTGCCCTCGGCCTCAAGGCTCTGATTTCCTCCCTGTGCCCTGTCTGTCCCTGGGGCCAGTCCCAGACCATTTCAGCCCCACAAGGGACTTAGCCTGCAGAGGGTGCGACATCTGCCCAGAAATACACAGGTGCCTCCCAGGGAAGGTGCTGCCCTGCTCCCCACCCCAGTCGCTGTCGTGCTCCCCGTCCCACCTTACCAGGCCCATCTTCAGTCTGTTCAAAATGCCGCAGCCCTCAAATCCCTAAGGAGAGCCTCAGAGAAGCCAAAGGACAGGCAGCTGCCAGCTTCCTCGTGAGACGAGCCTGGGGTGGTAACGGCAGAAAAGGCATAAAACTGGCTCGCCACAGGCACATCAGGGAAAAGGCTGGTGGGAGCCGTCATAGCGTCTGGCTGCTGCTCACAGATGGCCAGGTCTCCGGCACCTGGATACTGCGGTTGGCCCCCCCAGGCAACCCCAGGAGCAGGGAAGCCCCCTCTGGGCACTTTTCCACAGGCCGATGTGACAAGACCGCAGCCAACTCTGCCCCTTCTGAGCCTCTGCTCAAGCACCTTTCACACGGGGCTGCAAGGACTGCAGGGTGGCCCCGCACAGTGGCTGAGGACAGGGTCAGTCTCAGAGACCTGGGCCACACCCCTGCCCTGCTGCTGACTGGCTCCGTGGCTCAGGGAGTCCCTTTTCCTGAGCCTCAGTTTCCCCATCTGTAAAAGAAGACTCAGAAGAAGGAGTGGTGAGGAGGGGAGAAGGGGAAGAGGGAGAGGAGGAGGAGAAAGGAAGAGGGCCGGGCGCAGTGGCTCGCACCTGTAATGCCAGAACCTTGGGAGGCCAAGGTGGGCAGATCATGAGATCAGGAGTTCAAGACCATCCTGGCCAACATGGTGAAACCCATCTCTACTAAAAATACAAAAATCAACCAGGCATGATGGCTCATGCCTGTAATCCCAGCTACTTGGGAGGCTGAGGCAGGGGAATCGCTTGAACCTGGGAGGCGGAGGTGGCAGTAAGCCAAGATCATGTCACTGCACTCCAGCCTGGGCGACAGAGCAAGACTCTGTCTCAAAAAAAAACAAAGGGAAGGAAGAAGGGGCTGGGGAAGCGGGAGCAGGCCCCCTCGGACAGGCATTCTGCTGTGGTTTGCCTTGCATTGCCTCTGGGGTGTGGGTTCTGAGCGTCCCGTGCCCTGCAGGGGAGGCCGGCGGCACGCTGCCTCCCAAGAGCTGTGCTGGAGACGGCCGCAGTGGCTGGCCTCACCGCTCCTCACGCCCTCCTGAACATCAGTTTCATCGGAGCTTGGCCCAGGCACCCGGAGAAAGGCCGTTAGAGAGGTGCTCACTGCCCCGGGAGGAGAAGGCAGGCCTGGCCTCTCAGGGCCCACACAGGGAGGCCATGGCAGGGATGGAACTGTGGCCTCTGTGGGTGACACTTTTCCCCATTCTTCAGGCCACCCGGGGGCCTGACTGTGGTGTCCACGAATGCCTCAGATTCACTGTCCACAGTATGAAAAGTCCAGAAGGACTCTGGCTCGCCTCGCACCTGGGGGCTGGGGAAGGGAGGAGGGAACAGAGGGGAGGAACTTGAGGGGCCAAGAAGCTGCCTGAGGAGGCAAATGCAGGTGGCCTCCCAGCACCAGGCTCACTCATTCAGTTCCTGCCTCTGGGGAGATGGGGGGCGTGGCCATGGAGCACAGCTACGGGGGTGTCTGTGTCCCCCACCCCAGCAGCTCCAGGAGCTCCACTGGAGGAGAGCAGTGGAGCAGTGCCCCATTTAGCCCCAGGGCCTGAGGCTTTAGGCTCCGGTGTGGCCTGCACCCTCAGGAGCTCCCAACTTGCTCATGGGCTGGACTGGATGGCGCTGACAACCCGGGCAAGGCCCACGGCCACATGTCCCAGGGCCGGCGGGGGCTTGGCCATCCACAGCCACAAGTCCCAGGGCCGGCGGGGGCTTGGCCGCCCACAGCCACATGTCCCAGGGCCAGCGGGGGGTTGGCCGTCCACGGCCACATGTCCCAGGGTCGGTGGGGGCTTGGCCGCCCACAGCCACATGTCCCAGGGCCGGCGGGGTTTGGCCGTCCACGGCCACATGTCCCAGGGCCGGCGGGGGCTTGGCCATCGTCAAGGCTCTAGACTGAGGGGCCAGGGCTGCTTGGAGCACCTGCATCCAGTGGTGATGCGCTGCAGCCTGGAGGTGACACTGGCCACCTTCTGTCACCCTCAGAGCTAGTCACAGGGCCCGCCCCATTCTGCCATCAACATGTTTCCAGAGGGCTGGCAGGGTTCATCAGCTGCAGCTGAGAAAGGCCCCTCTCCCGGAGTCTCCATCCCCTCATTTGTGAAATAGGACCCTGAGCCCTGGGGTTTGATTGGACTAAGTGGGGTATCGCACATGAAGGAACCTGGCCCAGGGTGGGTCCTGTGCCCAGCCCAGTGGCAGGGTGGCCAGGCAAAGGGGGAGGGAAGAGGATCTAATGCCCTCTCCCTGAAACGCACCCTCGCTTCACTTGTCGGGGAGACGAACAGGTACACAGTGATCACCGAATGTGTCAGGGCAGAGGGAACCCCAGGGCCGAAGGAGCACACAGGAGGGAGGGCTTCCTGGAGGAACTGGCTTTGTGCAGAGATGGGGTGGGAGGCAAGACTTGGGGCTGGGGTAGGCGCGTCTGGAGTTCTGCAGGCTCCCATGCACCACGCTCGGGGTGGACAGGCACCCAGCAGAAGGCCCTGGGAGCAGGTGGCCTGGGATGCTGCCCAAGCTGAGCTGCTGCCCAAGCTGAGCTGCCCTCGCCTCTGTCCAGCAGGAAACGGCCCGGCAGGACCGTGTATGCCCAAATGCACAATGAGAAGGAGCAGGAGATGACCAGCCCTGTGAGCCACAGCGAGGACGTCCAGGGCGCCGTCCAGGGTGAGGAGTTTATAGATGATGATCTCAACTCACAGACTCTAGGTAACGCCCGCCCCAAACCCACCCCGCCACCCCACAGAGCCGCCAGGGCCAGCAAAATGCACGGGACCCTGGCCCAGCAGACCTGGCTGGTGGGTCAGTCAGGTCCACTACATTCCCTCCATCTGATGAGGGGATGACGGGACCTCCCAGGGCTGCCCAAAGAGATGAAATGGAGGCCTGTGGAAGCTGAGGGCTCCATGCCTGGCAACGAGCAAACAGCCCCAGGCAGCCCCGTCGAGGCAGGGATAGGACAGGAAACAGGGCCAGCTTTAAAGGAAGCCCAGCTCTGGCCTAGGACGTCGGGGGCCTTTCCCCCACAGCCCCTCCCTCAGCACTCCCAATCCTCTCCTTCATCACAGTAGTGATTTAGGGAGCATCCCACACATGGACATACAGCATCACACTTCATAGTTTATGAAGCATTTCCACTGATGTGATCTTCGCTCCTGGCCATGCCCGGCGGAGAGAAGTCCAGTCAAACTGCCCACCTCAGCGGCACAGCATAGTTTAAGGCCGTTTTCTCTGCTGGCATCTGGGAACTGACGGGGCTCGGCCGGGCCGTTTGCTGTCAGGGTCTCTCATTGACTGGTGCAGCAGTCCTCTCAAAGGCTGCCGCCCTCCGATGTCCCACAGTCAATGCCGGCAGTCAGCTAACACCTCAACAGGGCCATCGACCAGGACACCTGCACATGGTCTGGCTGTGTGGCTTGGGCTTCCTCCCAGCATGGCGTCTGACTTCCAAGAGCATGTGGAGGGGGGTGGCCAGGCAGGAGCTGCACCCGCTTCAGAGCCTGGCCTTGAAGTCCTGCCCTGTCACTTGTGTCTTGCCCTGTCCACGTTTGAGGGGAGGGGCACAGACTCCACCCCTCAGCTGCAGTCCGAGCATGATGCAATCCTCCACCATGGGTTCTGCAGCTCTTCCTCTGGGGGAGGGGTAACCGAGGTCCAGGAGGCTCTCCGTATGGCCAGGGCGTGGCACCAGCCCTGCTTGCCGTGTCGGGCAAGTGCAGCCGGCAGCTGGGCTGTGTGGGCACTTTCTATGCCCATCTCAGCAGCCAAGCAGGCGGGCTCTTCCCTAGGGCTGTGGACATGACAGTGCAGGGAAACGGACTGTCCTTGCCCAAGGTCACAGCTAGTGGGGGGCGGAGCTGGAACTCACATCTCAGCAGACCCCAGGGACCTGGCTTCTCCCCTATGGTCCGTGTTCTCTCCTAACAATCCCCGTCCAGGCCTGATTTTATGATGATGTCAGCACACACCTCTCACCTTTGCTGGGGGCTCCAGCTGAAGCTTCTGGAGCTGACGGGACACAGGAAGCCACAGAGGTCTCGCACGACCAGCTGCTGCCATTGCAGCTCTGATTATCCGGCTTCGAGTGTCACTCACACCCTGCATCCAGAATGTCCTCAGAACATGAGCGGCGTAAACCTCTGTCCCCACTTTACAAATTCTTGAAAGTGAGGCTGACAAAAAAGAAGTTGCTCACCTGGGCCCCGGCCAGCCAGAGCCCGGCCAGCCAGACCCCAAAGCCTGTGACCTTCATGCTCTCCTGAGAGGGGTCAGGGAAGCCAAATGGATGGGCTGTTCCTTTCTGCCTTCCCTGCGCTCTCTGCAGACCCTCACCAGGCCTGTCTGCCCCAACCTCGGCAGGGGTCCCTGGTCCCCCCATCGCCAGCGCAGGTGTGCTCCTCATGGCGCCATGCGCCTGTAACCTTGGAAACATCACAAGGGTGGTATATTTCACTGAGCACTGACTCTGTGTCAGGCCCCAGCTCAGTGCCCCCCAGGCCCCTCTGACCCCCTGAGGTACTCACCAACATTGTGTCCATGGCACAGATGAGAAGGCTGAAGCTCAGAGCCATTACTCAGCCTCCCCAGCTCACTTAGTGAGTGACAACAGGTGGAGCGGGCTCAAGCCCGACTCAGTGGCTGCACAGCTGTGTGCCCCCCGAGCGCCACGGGCTGCGGGTGAGTGTCTAAAGACCCCTCTACTGGTCTTGCTCCTGCCAGAGCAGGAGGTGGTCTTGGGGCTCCCCCTCCTGCAGTTGGCATCACCCCTGTGATGGAGGCAGGTGTGAGGCCCTGAAAGAACCCAGACCTTCTTCCAGCGGAGAGGGCATGGGGGTCTCAGGAAGATAGGGCCCCACTCCCAGCCCCCAAAGGCTCTTTGCTTCCAAGCCCCTAAAGAGCAATCCTAGCAGGGTAATCAGATTTGTGCAGCCAAGCCCTTGCCAGCACAGCACTTTCCTGTCTGACCCACCACACTCCTTTGAGGGGTGCGGTTGACCCTCATGTTAGAGATGACAGACCCAAGGCCCAGCCAGGTGAAGGATGGGCGAGGACTCGGGTGTGGCCAGGCTGTGCCTCGGGGGCTCCCAGCCATGTCTCCTGGTGCCCTTGAGGTGGGGCAGCTCTGGGTCCCGGGTCCTCGTCTTCTATTCAGCCCCCACCTGGGACACCCAGCTCACCCCTTGCACTGACATCCCTATGGCCCCCTCTCGCCCACTCTCGCCTCCTGGGGCCTCGCCACTCCACGCCCTGCAGCGCCCACTGCCAGGAGGGGGTGGAGCCTCAGCCCCTCTGGCACCCTCTTGCTGCTGATGCGGGGGGGGGCAACTCCCACCCAGGTCAGTGGACGCGACGGGTGGGGGCCGGCCTGGGCGTCACCTCTCAGGCCCTCTGGGGCCCACTGCTTGTGGTGGCGCTGGGAGAGCCCACTCCTCAGGTACCACCTAGAAACTGTGGAGACCCCCCTGCACCTGCACAAACTGAAGGAACCCTGGGATGCCCACTGCACATTGGCTCAAGGCTCTGGCCGAGGCCACCACCGTGTCCCCCATGGCCCTGTCCCAGCCCCGGCAAAGGGCGTATGCTCATGGGGCCTGCGTCTCTTCTGTTTCCTAGGCAACCACTCCGGCGTGGTCCTGAGCATCAACTCCCGAGAGATGCACAGCTACCTGGTGAGCTGATGTGCGGTCGCCCAGCATCCATCGTTTCACCCTATGGAGGCACAGAACCACCGGCGAAGCCGGCGGCCAGACTGATGGCCCTCGGAGACCTGCGGAAAGCCCCACTCCCTGAGTCGCCCCCATGCCTGGCGACAGGCACCACCCCCTCTGATAAGTCCAAGACCCCCAGGCCCATGGGGGTCCACAGGACCCCCAGACACAGCCCTGCCCCTATGGAACACCAGGCCTGACTCGAGCAGGTTCTGTTCCCAGACCCCACACACGGCCACCCCATGTGCTGTTGCTCAGCCTGAGGCCTGACTTCTCTGGGCTGAGGCTGGTCGTCCTAGAGCCCGCCCAGTACCTTGGGCTTCAAGAGCCTCAGACCTGCTCAGACATGGCCTGGCGGGCTCCTTCCCCGCAAAGGCTGGGGCCTCCCTGACGTTGCTTTCTTCCTCACTCCCATCTGCGTGGCCGCCTGGTCCCTCTGTGGGAGCCGTGAGCCGGGCCCTCCCAACTCCACCCTTCAGGCCCCCAGTGCCCTCCACCTGGAAGCTGCAGCTCTGTAAATGCTTCTCTAGGTAGCTGTGGGCAGTGTCAGGGGGTGTCTCACTCTCCATCTTTATGGCCAGCGGTAGCCACTGGGGTCACTCTATCAGAGCCCCATACTCGGGAGCCCCCTTCCCTGAGTGCCCTCCTCTAGAGCCCCAAGGGGCAGCAGCTCTCCCTGGTTCTCCCCAGGGCAGACGGGGTGGGACGGGCACAGGACCCATGGCTCCTCGCCCTCACTCCTGCCAGCAAGCAGCACCCTCCCACAGGCTTCTCCCACCTGATGGCTCCTCTCCCACTGGGTCTGGGCTCCAGAAGGAACCAGGAACCCCCAGAAAGGTGGATGGTGGAGACGGCGCCAATGCACGTGTTTTCTGCACTTCTGTATAGACGGAGGGACCGGGGCAGAAACCAAGCTGGGAGAGGGAGGCTAGGAATGACAGGACCGGAAGGGCCATCACAGTGCCCCGTTTTCAAGAAGGGGAAACTGAGGCCCAGGGAGGAGAGTGACTTTCACAAGGTCACAGCAAGATCACGGCAGAGGTGGCCCTGGACCCAGCCCTCTGCGCCCCAGTGCCATGCAGTCTCCACACCCTCCACCCCCCAACAGTTTCCTAGAATCAGGGATGTTAGCGTAATTCTACACATGGGAATTTACGGGGGGTGGGGGGTCACCTTTTGCCTTGAAATGGGAAGTCAGTAGCCCAGTAACCCTTTCCTCCTCCTCGTCCCTCCTCCCCCTCCTCTCTGGCAGGGCTCCCTCTCTGAGGGGAGAACGCCAGAGCCAAGACTGGTGATGCCAAGGCTGGTGACACACTGGCTGGGGGCAAATCCAAATGAGGGAGCAGACATACTCCTGCGCACCATGTCTGGGCCTAGGGACATGACCCCATTTTCCCTAGAAAAGAAACATGGCCCGTTAGAGGAGGGAGCCCTGGGTGAATCTTCATGCCCAAAATAGTGCCCGGTGGGGAGGAGGAGCCCACTCCTTGTTGAGTAAATGACCTGTGGAGACTGGAGCCTCATGTCCCTGGGTTGGAGGGTTTCCAGGACCACAGGAACAAGGGGAGCACCCTGGGTCAGGCAGGAGTGGAGGTGTCCCCACTCTCACCACCTGCCCCTCAGACCCAAAGCTCCCTCCCCACCTGCCTGCCCACCTGGGGCTTCTGGGCCACCCCCAACCCCAGAGGCTGCCCTGCAAGCTGTCATCAAGGTCCTCCTGGAGGTGGGATCCATGACGTAGGCCATGACTCTCTGGGACTTTGCCGCAGCCCCCACTCCTCTGCTGGCCATCTGCAGGGATGCCCCTGTGGGGGCTTTCATCCTGCTAGCCACCCCCACACACACGCCTGTCCCTGGCCAGCAGCCCGCCTGCGAGCATCAGGCACACAGGGACAGACACGGCGAGCACAGCCCAGGCCCGGGGCCCACGGCAGCATGGACCCTGGGAACTGCCCTCCCCCTAGCTCACAGTGCCTGCGGTAGCCACTCTAGGCCTCTGGCCTTCCTTGACCACTCCATTTAATTCTCTCTGCTGTTTGGGTAGGGTCTTTCCCCTTAGTTATTTGTGGTTTTCCTGTATTTTATGTTAATATTTCTATTAAGAACATTTTGGGCACATGGACCCAAGCCCCTGGGAAGGAAGTGGCGTCTGGTGGAGCCTGATGTCTCCCCGTCCACGCACCACGGATATCCATGCGCAGGCCCAGGGCTGTCCCTGCTTGTAAATCGAGGGTCTGCAGAGTTCACGTTCAGGTAGACGTGGGTGCCTGGGAACGAGGCCATCAGCTGTCGTGCACATAACAAAGGCGATGCATTCCTTCTTATTTTTCCTTTTTAAAAATCGATGAATCATTTGTGATGCTTTTAACAAAGATTAAATGAATTTGATCAGCTTTTGCCTGATTGTGAAGATACTTTCCTTATTTCCCTGAATGCACGCGGGTACACATATAGGCCCCTAGGATCATGGTCCCAAAGGCGAGGTGGCTGAGGGCCTCGTGCCAGGTACAAGGAGCAGGCTCGGCACGTGGGGACGTCGCAGGAGGCTGCACGTGGCAGTGGCTTCAAAGCACTGCTCTCCCCAGGCAGCTCTCAAGCACTTTCACACATCTGGCCTGTTCTGTCCCTCAAGGCCAGCAGAAGGGGAACCAGAAGTGTTGGCCAATTTTCCAGAAGAGAAGCAGAGACCCCTGGGGGCTGAGGGCCTGCACCTGTGCAGCACAGCCCTCCTCTGAGGGGACTCCTTCATTTCTGAATGGCCATTTGCTTTAGTCTTTGAGGTGACAGAAGGAGGCATGGACTCCTCTATCCCAGTGGATGCTCCAGCCTCAGAAACTGCACTCACTACAGCTAGCGACTGAGCGTCCACACCTTCTCTGAAACGTCAACTGTAATAGCTGGAAAAGAACTCTTCTCCCTCATCTTACATGGTTAGAGAGAGAAAGAGATGGATGAACATACTTTACAGATGCATTCGCATTTGCTAACTGGTCCCCAAGCCATTTCCGGAAAGAATGAGGTTGCAATTGCCTAGTGGCTGCTCAGCGGGAGAGAGCTGGCAAGGGGCTGACGGCAGACGCCCTGGCATGCAGCGAGCTACTGCGCTGAGGAGGCCTTTCCCCTGAGACCGACATCCCCAGATATGGCCAACTTACACATGCAACGTTCACGTGAAAGTATTTTCAGAGCTGTAATAAAACAAGCATTCTTTTCCCAGCAGGGAGTGAGATGATTCTGTTTCTGACTCGCACCCCAGTCAGTACAGGGTGGGGAGCAGGGACTCGCCCCCACGTGTGACCACTGAACCATGTCCAGTTGGGGGGGAATAAAATAGACCCACTAAGGTGGGGTGGAGTGCACACACACACACGCGCACACACATGCACACGCACACGCACGCACACACACGCGCGCGCACACACACGCGCACGCACACGTGCACGCACACACGCACGCACACACACACGCGCACACACACACGCCCCTCCTTCTCTGGGCCATGGCATGTTCTTGTGGAGTAAAAACTGTGGTTTTCAACATCAATGTCCTCAAAACTTCCTGCCAGATCTCATGCCTCTTTGAATTTGTGCCAGGGTCTGGGCTGGGCTCTGGGCCTGGGGCAGCGAATGAATGACTCGGGTTGGGTGAGGTGGACGATGACTGCACAGCTGAGCCAGGGAGGCCCTGGCCCAGCTAAAAATCCCCCGTTCAAAGCCGGAGCTGAGCTTGGCGCAGGATGACTGCAGGTGCTCGTGAGAAGAGCAAAGGAGCCGGATGTCCAGGGCTGGTGCAGTACGAAGGCCAGCCAGGGGGGTGTGCGTGTGCTTGTGTGTGTGACCAGGGACAGAGAGAGAGTGAACACAGCCGGGTACCTTGGAGCACTTTGCACGTGGCCGTTTTATTCCCTTGTGCTGACTGCCGGGACTCAGGGAGGAAGTGAGAACCTGTCAGACACCCTGTTTGATGATTTCCATTCCCACTTCAGTGCGCCAGGCCCTGTGAGTGACTTCTCCCTGGGAAAAGCTACTGAGTGTGGCGAAAGCTTCATGCTCCCACTGCATCCAGCTGGAACCTTCTGCTGGAATGATCTCCCCAGCTGGCAGCAGGCGGCTGTGTAGGCAACAGGAAGGCCACAGTGGAGCTAATGAAGATGTCACCTGTTCGGGTGACCGAGCTAAGGGGGGCGTCACCGGCTCGGATGACAGAGCTAACGGGGGTGTCACCTGTTGGGATGATGGCAGCAAAGCATGCCCATTGCCCTGCAATGGAAACCTGCCACACGACACTGGCCTCTTCTCCAACCTGAGCTTCATGTAGACAGGGCAGGTACAAGCAGCCGGGTCACAGATGAGGAGATTGAGGCATCCCAGGTGTCTGGGAAGGGGGCAACAATTTTTATCTAAAATGTGAGGCACTGCTTGAAAGCTCCAGCTAAACCCCAAATTCTAGGTAGCCTTGAATTTAGTAGAGTCATTTGAGAAACAACAAATCTCAATGGAACGGGAAGAAAGATGCAATGTCATGGACACATCGTGTCACGAAGACAAAAAACCCTCAGCCCAATGATCCGACAGGCTGATTCCTTTGGTTCAGTGGGGGAAAGAGAAACGGCCGATGGTGGAAGGCTCTGGTCATCAATCGCAGCAGCTGCTCCCAAGGCCTCCCTGCGGCAGGGCAGTTGGCCACCAGGGCCATTTGGTGGCTCTTGGGAAAGGGGCATTCTGTGTGTGCAGCAGGCCCAAAGAAGGGCAGCCACCTCATTTCTCAGTCATGTGGCCCCAGAGGCCCCTTTCCGTGGCATACCCGGGACCCCCCCCAGAGGATGCCCCAGTAGTCCCAGCCCCAACATGCAGGGACGTGCCCCCAGAGGTACTGTGGGGACACTGCTTCCAAAGCTGCTGTTTCCATGGGGATTTGTGCAAAGTCAGGACTGGTGGCACAGAGGAAGTGGCCCTTGGCATCTGGAGCCACTGGCACTCCTTGTGGTGCCTGGGACTTCCCCTGCCCAAGACACACAATGTCACCAAGCACCAACACAAAGCGAGGCCACCCCAGGATCAAGAGGAGTCAAGGCAAATGTGAGACCCTGTGCAATCGGGCCACACGGGGCACCGTCCAACCCCAGGGCCACACGGGGGCACCGTCCAACCCCAGGGCCACACGGGGGCACTGTCCAACCCCAGGGCCACATGGGGGCACCCAGGAATGTGTGGACACCTCTCCCTGGCTGAGATGGGCGAGGGCTGCTGTGTCACCGGCTCCTGCCTCCCCTGAGGCACCCCTCCCTCTAGAGAAGATTGATTGAGACACCTGATCCTTGCATGGCCCCGCCTCCTCACAGCCCCCAATCCAGAGCCCAGCCCGGCTTCCTTGAGTCCGCCTCCAAATCACCTCGCACTGCCCACACCTGACAATCAGGCCCTTCTAACCACTCTGAGAAGCCCAGGTTCCCCTCGCTGCACTGAGTGATAACCCAGCTTGCTCAGCTACAGGTGAGCTCTGGGGTCCCAGGCTGGGGGTCACTGACAGTCCTCTTTTAGTGGGGCAGGGTGGCACTGGGGAGGAACCAGTGTCTGCACATGGGCCGTACAGACCCCCTCAGCAGGAGCCCCAGATGGAAACCCACGCCAGTCCCAGCTCAGTTCCAACAAAAGCAGAGAGACGCAGCCAACCTCCGGCCACTCCTGCACACGTGGGATGGGGGAGCCTCTGACTTCTCCACCTGTCCCAGCCACACCAAGATTCCTTAGGCAGGAAAACGTGGCCTGAGCCTGGGGCTGCTGGGATGATTAGCAAGTGCTGCCATTTCCAACAGGGCTCGGTGGCGCTGGCACTTCACAGCTGTGCCGGGCCTGGCATGTTCCAATCCACCGGGATGCCTCCTGCAGCCTTCACAGCCTGGGGGCTTTTTGCAGTTGAGTGAATTCAGACTTGCTGTTCCAGGCCTCTCAGTGGCACCAGCCCAGGCATTTAGTAATGTGTGCCCAGAACCACGGCCATTTGCATATGGTTACAGTTGGGACTTGCAGGCAGCACCAGGCCCAGCGGATGGCCTGCTACACTCCTTCTAGGGTTCTAGGGTTCTTCCCGGCTTGGCACTGGAAGGACAGTGCCAGCCCTGTCTTCTGCAGCTTGCAATGGCCCACGTGTTCAGCTCCGTGTGTGATCCAATGAGTATTTGGGCTTTGGAGGCATAGGCAGTGCCAGCCAGCAGAGCGCGGAGCCCAGTGGGATGGCAGGTCCTCTTGGCCTCCTCATTCAGTCTGCAGTGCCCCCAGCCCAGCGTCAGGCACATACGCCCCTCTTGCACCACGCTGGTAGCAACTCCGTGGAATAGATGCCTCCGTCCCTGTCTCAGAGTCCAGGGAATCAGGACTCACAGAAACCAAGAGCCAGGACCTCAGTGAGCACCAGAATACCTGGGCCCTCCCATGGCCACTGCGCCTCTGCAGGGAGCGCAACGTGAGTCTCAGCAGAAGGGTTGTCGAGGACCCACGGAGTTAGGGGGTGAGGACCCATGGAGGGGGCAAAGCGGGCAGCCCGTCGCAGACAAGGTCAAGCGAGAGGGGGCAGGATCTAATCTTTATAAAGTATCACTTGTGCATCGAGAGAGGAAGCTGGGTAACTGGGAGGAGGCTGGTCTGAGCTGGTGTCCTGAGCGCCTTGGTCAGGGTGAGCGGGTGAGACGTGGAGTTGAAGGAGGGAAGTCGGTGACAAGGCCTTGTCCAGGGCCTGGGAAACCCGGTGACCAGAGGCCCCAGGAACTGACATGGGCAAGAACAGGGAAGGAGCAGGCCTGGGTAAGTAATTACAACCTCTTTTCTGGAGTTCTTACAATGGGGCACCTGCCTGTCAGACGCCCATGTGGAGAAGCCTCCGGAGCCACTGGCAGTGCAAGTGTGGCTCTCGGTGGGAAATGTCTGAGCTGAGAAGGAGTGGCCACCCTGCAGAGGGAGTGCCCAGGGGAGAACATGGTGTCTGGGGGCAGTGAAGACAGACTGCCGAGGGGGGCTCACAGGCTGCAGAGAAGCTGAGTGGATGATGCGGCCAGGCGAGGCCTTCCGTGGGTGTGAGGACAGAGACGGCTCAGAGCGGGTGGAGGGAATCGCAGAAGGTGAGGGAGAAGACAGCCAGCAGGCATGGTAACACTATCTAGAAGTTTCTCGTAACTCAGGAGCAGAGAATCAGTCAGCAGCTGGGCGTGTGTGACTGCGGATGGTTTTGGGAAGAGGGTGGTGCATGGAGGGGACTGAGCCAGCAGACATAGAGAGACAGGCGGGGGCAGTCCTATCCCAGAGCAGGTCCTAGAGGGGCGAGTGGGGCAGAGCCCACACCCAGGCAGAGGGCCAGTCAACGCAGAAGCAGAGGCCGCATCCCTCAGATCAGGGCCGGT